TTTTACTAGTTATACTTTAGACTTTAATATACTATATATTTATATTTACTTTTACTAAGCTTTACGTAAGAGTTACGCTTAATATTAACTATAGTTAATATTCTAGTAGAGTATTATAAAGAATTAATAAATAAAATATTTAAAAATTTTAGTATTCGAAAATTTTAGTATTCTAAAATTTTAATATTCTAAAATTTTCGCTAAGTTTTATAGTTTTAGCCTCTACGCCCCTCTAAATCTAAATAACTTAGACTTATAATTTATTTTATTAAAACTAAAAACTATTATAATATAAATATATAGTTTATTTATTTTTAATATTATATCGCGGGCGACGCGCGCGTTAAATAATAAAGATTACTATATAAAAAATATTTATTAAAACGCGACGCGTTAAACGTATAAAATCGCGAATAGATATAATAGAATTTTTATAAATATATTATATAAATATATTATATTCTTCGCTAGAATACGACTTAGTAAAGCTTTAATAGCGCCGTAAATATATCGTATTAATAGTATATTTATATCTTTTAGTTAGATTAGATTTTTTAGTTAGACTTAACGTTAAAATTTACTACTCTCTTATTAGCTAAATTAAAGAAGACGTTAGATAATTTTAAGTTAGCGACGCGATTTCTCTAACTCGTTTCGCTCTATTTATTCTTCTACGCGCGGTAATAGCGGTAGCGGCGAGTATTACTACTATTAATAGCGGCGGCGGCGGCGAGCGTTTACTAGTAGTAGCGGCGGCGGCGAGTATTACTACTAGTAATAGCGGCGGCGAGTACTAAACGTAACTAAGACGTTAGAGCGGATTATAGAGGAGTTTTAGAAGCGGTAGTAATTACGATCTATAATTACTACCTTACTATATTATAAGTGATAAAGCCCCAGCTTCGCCGGTAGACCCTTTAATAGATTTTACCTTCGCCAATCTATTAACAGCTTATACTACTACTATTTTCGCTCCTCTTCACTCTCCTGAACGAACGACTCGCAAAAGCCCAAAGCAACCTGCGCCGACGTAAAGGTTAGAGGTCTCCCCTTCGTTGGCATATCCGCAGGCTTGCCGTCCTTCGGCGTATCATCCTCCTGACGTAGCGGCATTTCCAGCGGCAGTGGGCTGAACGGCGAGCCATCCGCGGTGGCCAGCAAATGCATGGCGTCCTTGTACGGCGCGTAGTTCTCGTCCTGCCAGTGCAGCGACTGCAGCATCTGGAAGACGGCGCGCACGGAGGACTCGAGCGAGCCGACGACCCAGGCGTGGTGCGCCGAGGCGGCCTCGCCGATGAGGTACAGCCAGCCGTTCGGCCGGATGATTTCGGGCCACATCTTGCTGAACTGGCCGGGCCCGAAGTACGCGAAGGCGCCGGCCGTGTGCGGGTCCTGGTTCCAGTTGTACGCGTGGTGGGTCTCGTACGCGCCCTCGATCGTGTCTCGTACTGGTTTGTACTTGGTGCTGTCTTCGGCGTGGAGCAGGGTGAGGTTGTGGATGAGGACTTCGCGGAGCTCGTCCTCGGAGGAGGGCGAGGAGCGGGAGATGAGGGAGCCCATCCGATCGGCGTCTTGCGCCCATGTGTAGGAGCAGAGGAGGACGGCGGAGTGGTCTTTTGGAGTGTCGAGGTTGTAGGAAGGGTAGACGCAGACGCGGATTGGGAGGTCGGTCTTGCCCATTCCGCCTTTCTTGATGTTGAACGGGGCTTGCTGCCACCACGGCGTCTTGAACTTGATAGCGACCTTGCAGGAGGCTCCGTAGCCCAGGGAACGGATCGCTTGCTTGGTGCCATAGCGCAAACCGGCTTCGGTGAGGTCCATGCGCTGCAGCGCGCCGAGCGTGGTTGAGTTGAAAATGGCGAAGTAGTCTCGGGTTTCCGTTGTGGACGAGTCTGTGTGCTTGATCTTGAGGCTCCTTTTGCCCTTCGGGCTAGCTGTGATGGCGGTCACTTGACGATGAAACTCGGGCTTTTGTCGCATTTGCTTCACCATTTCCGTTGCAACCTGCTGGGATCCTCCATTGATACAGAACCAGTCGGCGTTCTCGTCGAAATCCAGCGACTCGAGGACTGTTTCTGTGAGAGACTGGTCATACCAACCGGTCCCACTAGAGGCGAGATTAGCCATAGCCATCACCGTTACAGTTGATGGACCTACGTGTCAAACGTTTCCAACCACTCAATGGTGTTGAAGTTCAAATCTTTCTTTCTGCACAACCTTTAGTGATTTTCCATGCTGAAAACTGGCTGGGTGATACATACGAGCGGAGGTATTGACGGGTGCTCATGAAATCTGCCTTTTTCAAGGGTATCCAGTCTTTCGCCTTCGCGTTCCCATTTTCATTCTTCGTTCCATCACGCTTGGGTTTCTGGAGATGATTTTGGATCTGCTCCTTGTAGTCATGAAGTATTTCGTCCATGACTTTGCTCGAGCCTTGCTGCATCAGACTGAACATGTCTTTAGCTTAGTTGGTCAGCGGAAGGAAAGCGTAAACTTACTGATCAGGTATCCGATTATTTGGAGGAAGCCCTTCGTTCATGGCGTATGCGTCTCCTTTAGGAGGGGTACCAACCGTGTGACGATCGTTATAGTACGCTGGGCACACACCGTTCGTATCTTTGAAATGGTAGGGGATGAGTTTCGTGTCGATACCCAACTTTTCAAACAGCCGAAAAGTCCTAAGTTCTCTCAGTATTAGCGATTTCATCGTCGGAAAGGGTCGGATGTATTGAAATACCTGTCCATGATGGGGATTTTGGGGAAGCGCATTGCACCAATATCGTAGTAGTCCTTTTCCTCGGGAGAGAAATGATGAGTGTAGAGCCTCCCACCAAGACGCTCGGATCCATTAGCCTCGAGAACATCGTAGGTGATGTTGAGGTCCGTGATATTCTCATTGATGTGGTCCAAGATCATGGCTGTGAATAGTCCTGCACAACCTGCACCGACTATACCAACCTTGAACTGCCCTTGGGGCTCTGGACGATCCCCAGTGAGTTTCTCAACTGGTAGGATGTCGGTGACCAGCTGCGTGAGACTGTTGGCAGAACGTAGGTTTGGGCTGTCTTTCAATTTCTTGTTCAAAATGTCGAAGTCGTCAACGAGATTTTCCCGCACAACCTGTCGAGCCCATTTGTACTTGTACGAATGGTGTACAGGTCGCGTGGGTAACTCGAGTTCTGTGCGGCTCGGCATTTTTTGGGCTCAATGGACACTGGAATTGATGTGGATAACAAGGAAGAACAATGAGGCTTAAGGCAAACGTAATTCCCTAAGCAATGTTTCTATATATCTACGGCAGGCCTTAAGGGCTCCATCTCCTCGGTTCATTTGGAAACCTCTTGGGTGAGCGCAGCTAGCAAGGGGAACAGCTTAGTATTGGGCGTTCATCCCCTGCGTCCGGAAGGTCTAGATGCGACTGCTAACTGCTGTACCATACTATCTGCCCAGCCTCGAACTCGAATATCAGTCTGTTTGCAAAAGTTGCACAAAGCAAGGGGTCTTATCTTTGTATAGTAAGAGTGCTCTGTGGCACCGAGAAAGAGACGCATCCTTTCGTTACTACTGCCCACTCTCCGTAGCTCTAGACCAAAATTTGGACCGGAAGCGCGCGTCATGGGGGATGCATCCGGAATGCAGCCCTGCAGAGGCGTGGCCAGAAGTTCGGGTAGACACCGGGAGCAGCAACAACGAGCGTGATGGCATGATGGTCAGTAAAGGGAGGCGGGATTCCAGATTTCTCCCGCGCAGATGAAACAGTCCACCGCCGTTCCCAATAATCCAAACTACATGGATGAAGAATTCGCCAGATACTCCGGTTTATGTGAAGCGCTCTCAGCTGGCATGTGCAAATTGCTACTTGTGTGAGGAACACCATCTTGGCAAAGATTTTATCGCTACCGAAAGGTGGCCATGGATCGACACTGCGGGGACGTGATTAGCGCAGTTCAGAACATGTAACAGGAATGAAGGAGTGGACGCATGCGGACCGCGACCAGTTGTGGAGTTGGGGCGTAATCGCAAAACGACAAAAGCTGTGGTCGACATGTGAAGCCCGCTTGTGGAAGAAAAGAACGGATCGAATTTTCCACCAGGCCAGCTATATCAACGTCGAATAATGAACTTAGATGTTTTCGTCTACCAACCTTTATATTCCGGTAACGGCTGCTCTCCGATCCACCATTTCACCCCGCTAGAATGAGTTTTGCCATCGTTCCGGCCAGCCTTCTACGGAAAAACTAATATACTTGAACAAGCAACAACCTGCGACAGATGAAAGCTGCGCTGCAACGCATTGGAACTTGAGAACTCGCCGTCTTTTATCCAGCTCGACCGACCCCAGCTCCAAGAACCTGTAGTAAGACATGATTGAAATAAAGTAAATGACTCGTCCACGCCGAACTCGTGCCTGACATCACTGGCACACTACTCCTTGACCAAACGCGTGGCTCGGCTCGTATCGAATGAATAGAAGTGCTGGAACGGGCCCGTTGGGCTTGCGCGGACCGCCCCGGATGAGCTGTTCGTCGCCGTGTGTGAAGACGGTGACATTCTGCGCAAGCCGCCTTCGCCTCGAGCGCGTACTGTCTTGCCTACCTGTGAAGGGTGTGTGCCGTAACTCGGCAGACAGGAAAGCGATGGAGACACAAGCTCTTATCTGTCGTGGAGTGGTGTAGCGACCCGAGGAGCATCCAGCCGTGTGATTGAGCGTTCGTCAGGCGGCACAAGCCGCTACTACTATACTACCTCTCCATTCACGTATACATCCAGCAGGGGTGGGGAGGAGCAGCAGGAGGAAGAGGACGAGGAAACGGAGAGGAAGAGGAAGGAGCCGTGTATCCCCGCATTCCCGGTCATCCTCATCGGCCTCATCGCCGCGAGCGCCATCGACCTCGGCGCCATGCACGAGGAGAAGCCAACAACGGCACCCGGTGATCCGCAGCAGCAGGCAGCCAGCCTTACCACCACCATCACCCGCAACCCCTCCATCACCACCGCCACTGAGACCGTCACCGTCACCGCCAAGGACTGCCCCATCTCCCCCACCGACTTTGACTGGGTCTGGATCTGCGACGAAGCCTCGCGCCGCCGCGCCTTCCCAACAATCGACTCCGACAACGACGCCGAGGACTTCGCCCACCTGAGCGTCCACGACATGAAGCTGAAGAAGGCGCAGAGGGGCAGCAAGGCCATCATGCGCGCCCTGCGCGGCTACGCCCGCGGGGGTCTGGCGCTGTCGAAGTCGGCAGCCGCGAACATCGTTAATGCGTCCAATTTGCTCGTCAGCATCGCGCCTATCGCGGCGGGCGCCGCCATCGCGAACGCCCGACTGCTCCGCTACAGGACTTTTGTCGGCTCGTTGGTGTTTGTGGACGAAACGAGGAGAGGAGCAAAGGAGTAGCCGCTAACGCTCGGACAGCATATAGAATTGCGGCGCGGTTGTGCTGGTGGGCACGTTGGCGCTGTCCGCCATGAGAGCTGGCAGAGGCGGGGGCTTTGTTGTGGGAGGCCTCCTAATTGGCTTCGGAGCAGACGCAGCTGACACACGTGGTGTAAAAAAGAAAAAAAAAGAAAGCTCGTGAGATGCTCGCCTGTGGTTATCATTGGATGGTGAGCGAACAGCCAACCACTTATCGTATCTGTTGCTGAAAATAGACATTAGGCTGTCACTGAAGCCCTCAATCAGCCTTGCCAGTTGGCGACCTACTTAACCATCCTCGCTGCGTTCCTTGAGATCGAGAAGCCCCCGTTCATCGTTCGCACGCCATATATTCGCAACCTCTTCCGTACAAAAAAAAAACGAGCCTCAGCAAACAATGGCCTTGACCAACATACACGAAGATGATTCGCACTCCGAACAAGGCACGCAGAGCATTTCCGACGATCAGGGTCGAAGAAGCGACAGAGTATCCTTTCACACATGGTGTGGTGAGGCTATAGAGCTACAGCGACTGGATTTGGACTTCTCTCTAGACGACACGGCACACGAATCTGTGGAAAATCACAGCAACTTCTATCTGGCGAAGAGTCGAACCAGGCAGGACACAATAGGTAAGTGGATCCTTTCCGAGACGATGTCCGAGGACGCTAATATCAACGTTATACAGAGACCGATTCGCCGACGTCAATCGATTTCTGCCTTGGTTTCCTCACTGCAACCCTGAACACCCTCAGGCTATGACGATGTCCGTTTGGCTCTCGAAACAAACCACTGCTCTCAACATCCAAATAGTGATCTCATTGGCGATTTTGGCATTGAATATCGCTTTCACAGTTTGGGCTGCAATCGAGGCAGGATTGTCGAATGGTATGGGCATGATCTACCGAGGAGATTGCCAAATCAGCAGCCGCTACAACACCGCTCTTCATCTACTCATCAATGTCCTCTCGACAGGTCTTCTTGGAGCAAGCAATTACTGCTCGCAGATCTTGATTGCCCCGTCTCGGGATGAGGTAGACATTGCCCATGCGAAAGGCATATGGCTCGACATTGGCATCCAAAGCTGGCGAAACCTATTTGACATTAGCCGGAGACGAAGATGCGTATGGATCGTTTTGATGATTAGCTCTATTCTGCTTCACCTTTTGTATGTATACCCCCAGGGGTTTCGTGGCCCAGAGCTGACAAAAAGCAAAGTTGGAACTCGGCACTATACTCTTCGACTCCCGTCTTTGTATACACGACAGCTGTGGTTTCTGATGACTTCCAGTCTAATGACGTTCCTTGGAGCGATACACTTACGGCTCTGGAAAACCTTCAATACAACATCAGTTCCCTCGAAAAGCTGGACAACATGGAGTGCATCAAACGTTACACCGACGCACTCGGCAGCCCACGAGATCTTGTCGTGGTCACGAACTATACTCTGGAGTCAACGTCCGCTGTTCAACGCAATTCTTCTCTCGTTTCTCATTTCCAGAATCCAGCTCAAGGGGAGAATTGGTTCCGTGGTCCGAAGTGGATCTGTTCCGAGGTCTACCGCAAATTCCAGAATGACCAGAAGCAATGCACCATTGAACTTATGAAAGACCACGCGCTGGACTGGCAAATTTGGATGGAACCCTTTCCGGACCCTTTACATATTGAATATTGTCTCAGCGCTGGGGTGCAAAAAACAAAGCAGTGCGACGTTCGTTACAGCATCTCCATATGGATTCTAATATGCATCCTCAACTTCTGTAAATGTGTCTGTATCATTTACACCAGATGCATTCATGCGGAAAACCGCCTCGTTACAGTCGGGGATGCTGTGGCGAGCTTTTTAGAACAGGCAGATGAGACAACGAAAGGACTCTGCCTCGCGACTGTGAAAACAATGAGAAAGACTGGAAAATCCAACATCGAAAGCCCAAAGAATACCTCGGGATTGCGGAAAACCTGGCTGTGGGTCAGGAAACACGCTGCGTATATAGTAAGAGATATCCCAACAAGGAACCTCCCGACTCCAGATAGACCTTCATGGTCAGATACGCGAAGGAGGCGGGACCCGGAAAAGGGACTACGCTGGTATTACACTGCTGAAAAAAGCCGATAGTTTACTACATATAGATTGTAGGTTATTCCCGATGCCGCAGAATAGTGCTTCACGTAGCTAATCAGCATGAATGCAGATGCTCTCTAGTCATCGTAATAACGATATATCTACTCGTAAGCTCCTTGAAATCTCAAGTAGAAAGCGGCCTTTCAATTACCTTTCCATCTCTCTTGGCTCGTGGATTTAGACGGCCATCTTCAGCAAATATAGCCCTCTCAGGGAAATCCGACTGGACCCTATATACCGCCGTTCTGTTCACCAACTCATTTCAACTTCTGCTGAGCTTCTTATACATTCTATACAACCGGCTTCTTACATCGCTACTCGTAGCTTCCGAGTGGACTAGCTACGGATTCAAACGCAAGGCTCTACGGGTGTCTAGCCCTCGAGGAATTCAGCGATCCTCTTACTTCTTAAGCATCCCTTTCAAGTTCGGAATTCCCTTAATGCTATCTGGCTCTATACTCCACTAGCTTATCTCGCAAAGTATATTTATAATCGTCACAACTAGATTTAATTCAGATAGGACTAAAGTCGGTAATTACGATACCTTCACGCTCGGATACTCCAGCATTGGCATCGTTTTCACAGTCTGTGTCGGAGGAGTTATGGTCTTAGCCTTAATGGGAATCGGATGCCTCAGGCAGCCGGGGGATACAACAGATGAGCATGCAGGTGACAGCGTAGATACATCGAAACTGTCCAGGTGGAAGTCATCACTCAGGATAGCAAAGCTCTCCGAATGGTGGAACAGGAGCGAGGCGGAGCGTCTGCAATGGTATGGCGAAGGATGGACGCCGCCACTGGTCTCCACATGCAGTGCTGCAATCAGCGCGGCATGCCATCGGCCATCTGAAGATGTATATGCGCATCTATTCCCTGTTAGATGGGGCGATGTGGGTGAGTTCGAGGGTGCTGAGTTCGATGAAGCGTCAACTGCAAGACCTCGCCATTACTGCTTTACTACGGCAAAAGATGTTTCGAAGCCAGTTCCCGACGTGGAATATATCTAAGTACTTTAGAGGTGTTATAGGATTTTATGTATCTAGCATGATGTCTCGAATATCTTTTAAACTCCTATGCTTGCTCTCGCTATCGATGGAAGAATGAAAAGATCACTATCCATGCCCGCTTCCGGCAGGAGCAGGTAGATTTCTCGAACCAAGGCCAACTTCTGCGTTATATGTACTTCTTAGTTGCGCGGGCAAGACCCTATCTTGTACTCTAAGACGTCCTTATGGCGACCGATAGGCTGGCTCTGTACTTAAAATGCCTGTCTCTACGGTAGAGGAACGTGAAACAACGATCCGTCTTCGCCTACGCTACGCTGTTCGACCGCATTATTATTGCGGTCAGCTATGTCTACGCCATCAGCGCCGTTCGGCACGGGCGAAGTCATTACCCGCCTGACTTCTGACATGCACCTGGTGTAGCGGAAAGACATTTCCGACCAGCTCTCGTTAACCTTCACCGCCCTGGCCCCGTTTTGCACCGCATTCATCGTCACATTCGTTACGTACTGGGAGCTGGGTTTCATCCTCGTCGCCGCCGTCTTCGTCATGGCGACCGCCAATGCTGTGGGCGCCACCAGAGCTGTGCCCTTGTTCTACAAGAAAAACAGACATTCAAGCGAGGACCCAACCTCAGTCTCGGGGGCATACCGAAACATCTGGTACATCGGCATCAGGACCAACTTACGGAGCGGGCCCGCTGTATGTAGAGTATGCCAGATATCTACATCCTCGCCGAGATCGCGTTCCCGAATCTCCTTCATAATCGCTGCCGACTAAGTAGAGTATTTGCATTTCGCGTGTATGGCCTCGCCGTACTTGTAGAAGAGAAAGGGGAATGGCAGGCACAGCACAGAGAGGAAGGCGGCGAGCGACGACGCCCAGTGGATTCCTACGAGAGCACGGGGCTGTCAGCAACACGGCGGCAGTTCCGAAGAATCGGGGCAATTTTACCCAGCTTCTGGTACATCTGGGTCGTGAAGAGCGGAAAGGCGGCGCCGAACAGCGACCGCAAGACGGAGTTCCCCGCCATGACCGACGCCGCGAAGACGGTGTACGAGTCGACGAGGTAGTTGATCACGCTTATAGACACCAGCACCATGCCAAACCTAAACGGCACGCCCGCGGCGACGCTCGCCTGCTACGGCAGTCCGGGCCCGCACGTCCGCGCGAACTAGAAGAGGCCGACGGGCAGCGCGAAGCCGCCGACGACGCACGCCAGGAGGCGGGCCTCGGGAGGCGCATGGCCGCCGTTCGCCTCGGCGATGCGCACGTAGCGGCGGTTGTCGTGGTAGACGTTGTAGACGAGCGCGAGCGCCATGCCGATGGCGACGGCGAGGAAGGGCAGGCTGGCGACGCCCTGCGACTAGCCGCGGTGCTGCTGGTACACGATCGGGTACGCGCCGAAGAGCATGTAGAGGATGCCGTAGACGATGGAGAGTCGCGTTCGTTCGACTACGATAACCTAAACAAGCACCAGATTGATAGATAACTCCGATTCCAGCCACAAGGCTCGACGAAGATTGGCACCGAGCTACGGGACAGGATTCTTAGGCCTTTTTTGTTTGACGTATTGGCTCGCGGTGAGAGGCTCAAGCGACCGCTTCTCATCATTGTTATTACCGACGGCTGCCCCTATGATGAATCGCAAGAGACGTTTAAGAGGGCCATCGTCGAGTGTAGTAGGGCGCTGGGCCAAGCTTACCGTCGTAGGCCGCCTGGACGAGCGATTCACTGAGCTACACAGGAACGAGAAAGCTATTGAGCAATGGGTGAGTACTCTGCAGTTCCTTCTGACATTATGCGGGCCGGTCCACGGCTGACTGTCTGCCTGCACTAGCTCCTGCGCGTTCTGATGTCTCCAATCACTGGAAGATGGTCCGAATAGGACGTGAATTCCCGCTTTCACATGTGTGGACAGGGGCCTCTTTAGGCGTCGGATATGTGCCGTCTTTGGTCATGGATCGATGTCGAGTATGATCGGGTGTCACTCATTCACATGCTTCGTAGCGAACAAAATACGAGGACATTGGCCATGGAATTTACGGGAAAAAATGCAATCCATGAAATTTTCCTCCTTTCGGGCCATGTCAGCTGGCTGCAGCGCAGGCGCGACTGATGTATCATATAGCAAAACCAGGTGGCATAAGCCTCATAGTAACCGGGCACCAGCTGTTGTATTTCATTGGTTCTCATCGACCTGGGTACGAGATGGACGAACGAATTGACTTCTGCCACATACACTCACACCATCTAGATGGCCGCGGCTGAAAGACTGGGTTGTAGCCTTGTGTTTCGGTTCACTGAGGCGCTTTGCTCCCCGGTCCCCACACATTCAGCCAAGACGCCAAAGTCGGCTCCAGATGTCCTTTCGGCCAAGCCACAGTGAGATCTTCACCATTCAGATCAAGCAGCTGCCGCAAACGGCTTCTATGCTATACCCCGGCATATCTAACGTGCAGCTCATGCCATCGCATGCACAGTGACTGCCAGCATGACAGCCACCTGCCTGAAGAGCGGAAAGCAGGATCCAGTAGATAACACGGAAGCAGCAATTGATGAGTGTAAGCCCCAGAAATGCCTTGGCGTCAGATTTCAGGCTCTAAGGAAAGCATTTGCTGCGGTGGTAGACATCTGGGAGCCAATTGGCACATGGTCGAGCCGCCACTTGGCATCGGTGGAGCTGAGAAAAAGAGGACTAAAGTCAAAAAGGCTGAAAGGCGGCATACTTCTTGGATCGACAAAAGCCACCTGCATTTCCCGCTCAGAGAAGCAATCGATTTGACTACTCTGCCCGTCACACGGTTTCACACACGCCTCTCCAGAGCACGACACAGAATGAGCTCAGACGTGTAGAAGATGGCGCTCTACATGAGTGCCGCAGGATTCACGACCAAGGACAAGAATACATCCTACATCACCAAAGAGGATGAGGGCAACCTCATCGAGCAAAAATTCATCGACACGGACCTGGTCGATGAGATTTTCATGACTAGCGGAGTGAAGCCTGACACTGCCGCCGTCTATGTTGACAGAAATGATACGGTAGCCGAGTTCTCTTCCCTCGTTTATGTCACCCAAACCAACGATCTGGGTTGCATTCAGCGTATATCTTCACCCGATGACAACGACCCGGTCTGGGCCAAGGTGCCTCTCACTGACATTGGCCGCGTGGCTATCCACGGGGAGAGCCGCATCGCGGGTGCCAACAGTGCCGATGGTGCATTGATGTTTTTCCAGCAGCCAGACGGTTCTGTCCGGAGCATCTTCTACGACGACGAGACGAAAGAATGGATGGAGAGCGACTGTGTCCCGGAAACAGCACAGGCAGCATACCCAGGCACCACGCTGTGTGTCATGGAGCTACAAGACGCGCTGGGAGTGTTCTACTTGACAAAAGAGCGTACCGTCAGCGGGCAGCTCCAAGACCACCGAACAGGCGAATGGGCAGGTGAGCCGTCGCCCGCCTTGTTGCTGTTTTTTTTTTGTTTTTTTTTTTGTAAAGAGCTAACCCAGATTTACAGAAAGTGTCATGGATAACTCGTTCTTCGAGGGAGGCATCAGCAGCTTCATTGTCATCCAAGACGGAGAATCCACTACTCTGCGTGCCTATGTCCGTGCCGCCGATGTTCTCATCCATCTCGACGGCAGTGGAAAGAGAACGAAGCTGGGCAGGTGGAATGGCGAAACTTTCATTCCTGATACCTCTGCAGAGTGTGGGCTTATTATTGGTATTGTCTTTGCAATTTTGGCGATTTTCATCGGCTCTGGGTTGTCTAAGCAAGGTGGTCGAGGGCCTAGAAGACATCGTTACCGTCGTAAGATTGGAAAAGGAGAAGAGTCGCGTCGTTAGTGGGGGGGAGGACAGCAATAATGATTTTGCAGATCAAGCGTCCTTACGTGCCTCGCCCCGGTCGAACCCGAACCTTCTCTTACCAAGATTCCCCACAAGTACATTAAATGACCCTTTTACTTTTTTCTATACGTAAAACTAATTCGGTCCTCTCTCAAAATCTCGCGCTGGCTCGCGTCATCCTCAAAGTAAACCTCCTCAGCCGCAGCTATACGTCCCCCGCCTTCCCGCTCATTCTCGGGCTCCCCTGCTGTGACGGTCGTCTTCACGCCGTAGCCGGCCCTGGTTGCTGGATGCACGATGATGGCGTCAGAGGCGTCGGCGTTGAGCTCGATGCCAGAGTGGCGGCTCTTGGCGTGGGTGGGGCAGCAGCCGTATTCCCTGCTGTCGGTGTCGTCGGAATTGCCGCGGCTGCTGCCGAGCCGGAAGATTCGGACGAAGATGGGGCGGAGGGTCTGTTTGGATGACGAGTCAGTACCGCCACGTGGAGCGGGAAGGGAGGTGGGCTTACGCTGCAATTAGCAGCCGAGAAGCCGACGCCGGCCTCGGCGAAAGCCCACATGACGACGAACGAGGCATGGTAGAGAAAGTCGACCTCCTCGTTCAGGGCGATGGTGTACTGAAGGCGGATAAGGGCGCAGACGCTCGCGAAGACGCCAAAGGAGAGCAGCACGCCGGCCGCAATCTTAGAGTTGCGGTGCATCTCGAGGTTCCATAGCAGCGGGATAGGTAATAGGGCGCAGGTCCAGTCGGTTACGATATTGGCGGCGGAGATGGCGAAGCTCATACCCGTGAGAATGCGCTTGTCCTTGCACTTACCGCCGGGAATGCTTTTATCCCATGAGTATCTATAAGGTGTGAGCAGCTTGAATTGCGGTGGGAGCGCTCGCCGTACGCGATGGGCTGGCATTGGGCCAGGACGTAGAAGAAGACCATGAAGATGGCGGCAGTAAAGATGAGGATGGTCACCCGAAGGGTCCACACGTAACCAGGTCGGCCGGCGGTGATACGCATCAGAGTCAGGGCGATGCTGAGTTTGAGGAAGAAGACGCCGCAGCAGTAGGAAAGCATGAACATGAAATAGTTCTAAGAATCGTCAGCCGATGGCGCGCATGCCTTGTAGTCTCATCCGCTTGCCTTGAGTGCTGTTGTGTACTGCTCAATGCCTCCGTACAAGTGCTCGTCCCTGGCACCCAAGCCGCTCCACGCGCCGCTGAGGACGGATGCTGACAGCCACGCGAAGAAGGGCTGCAGGAGAAGCTGGCGTTAGCTGCCCGCGCCGTCAAACGCGAGAGGGGGCCGAACGTACCGCGGAGAGCACCATGCAGGTGTCATCGAGGCCCCATGCCTTGCGAGAGATGCGCACACCGCAGCGCAGGGCCAAGGTAATATACGCAGGCGGCACGAGAACGAGGACGCAGGTCGCTACCGACCTGCTGGCATCGTAAAGCATCGTGAGGTGCATGGTGACAAGGCACCATGAGAAAACTTAAAGGAGGAGGGTGGGCCAGGCGGTAGGCGAATGACGCGGGGACCGGGGTTGCAGCCAGCCGACGCCAATCATGGCCTTCTTCTGACCCGTGTTCAAACACGAACGGTGAACCGCCGCCTTCGGGCCCAGCTCCGGCAAGTGCCCGTTGCCGCCCGACCGATTGTGTTAGGGTGTAACGCACGGACAATGCTGGGGTCCGCTGGGTGATGAATGACGGCGGGGTCTGTTTGGCTCGCACTTTTGTTGTTCCAATTAATAGTGTTATAGACATGCCTATCGTGAAAATCCCGTCGAAAAAGCTTCGAGGTCTGAGAGACTCGGCCGCCGCGTCCGGGAGCAGCGGACAGAAGTGAGCCAAGACTTCCGGAAGTAAGGCCCGCAGCACGGCTCTGCCAAACTGACTCGTCGCTGCACGAATGCAGTCACACATCCGGCCCGCGGCACCGCTCGGCGTGACTTTTTGTCAAATACTCCGATAGGCCCAGTCATGTTGGGGGGAGGATTATTTGCGGTGCAAACTGGCACCAGCGCCAACCCAGTTTTGTAGAAAGATATAACCCACTGATGGTTGGACCACACCATGGTTATATACGTCCAAGTACAGTGCACATATTTGGTCGCTCTGAAGTTGGTGATGCCACTGTGCGCGCCCGAATACCTAGTACTCGCAAGAAGCCTCCGGGCTGGCGATGACTCCGTTATTGACACTCCTGCGGCCGCCAGTAGATCTCCCGCTAGCTAGTAAAGATAAGAACTCTTCTTTATCTTCTCTATTACATCTACCCTCTTATCTGTCGTCTCGTTTACCGGCAACGTGTGGTTGCTTCGACCAATCATTCTCAGTGTTTAGTGTTTCCCCCACGTCCTTCCCTCTATATTACTCCCCTTCGTCACCGTTGCAACTTTTTGAATCCGAGTTGCCAATTTCTTGTGCAATACCTCCGTCCAATCCTCTATCTGGATCCATCGGTGACGAGAAGTCATACTCCCTTAAGAAAAAAGGGTGTTCTGCTCTCAAAGGCTTCCCTTCACAAACATACCCCATTGGGGTCTGCGAGAAATCTTGACCTTTTCGCCGCGCGGTAACCCACTCTTGTAGAAACACCAGCCAATTGGATGCCACCGATGGGAGAGCTGAATCCTGGTCAACCGGCCCCTGTTCCGTCGCCTGCCAACGTGCTGACCCACGGCCATGCGACATGTTGTTGCCGTGGAGAAACGTGGCAATGGCGTCATGCTCGTCAAACTCGAAGTACAAACGGCCTGCAAACAAGCCGAGCTGAATGGGAAGCCACAGGGGCATCGTGTAGCTTGCGGGCATGGCTGGAACGGCATAGTAGTCGAGCTTGTTGAAATACGACATCTTGCGAGATACGGGAGCCGCGTATGCCAACAGATGCGTCAGCGGGTGTTCATCGCCACGCTTCCTAGAGATCAGATCCTCGGCTTCCTCGGGAGTTACCATCAATGCCGTTTGTGCTTGTGTACTCCAAAGTAGCCATGTGACAGGTCGCTGTGGAGGCTTGACTTAGCGTTTTCATGTGTGCAGTGCTAAGTTGACAGGGGCTCTTACCAGGAAGTCATCGTCCGGTTTTTCCAACTTCACCGTCCGGAAGACCTCCGTGGAGGCAAAAAGTCGGTGGTCGAACATCGCAGCGGCAGCTTCATACTTTTTACCCGTCTGTGTGTGCCGAATGGCAAGCGAAACGGTTCCGTACCCGTCCGACTCGTGTTTTGGTCTTCCAGTCCTCTCGAAGAGGACTATGTCCTCGTGGAGACCACGATACGGCAGTGCCTCGTATAGGATCGGCTTTTGGGTCTTCCGAATTGCTTCAACTTCGTGAGCCACCTCTCTCTCCTGTTCGACTTCTTGGAAGGCTGTGCTGCTTGGCGAGTCGGAATCGTAAGTCTGGTTCCCAAGTTTTGCAAGAAAGGCAGTCAATGCGGGAGACGGTTGCTCCAGAACCTGGGGCGTTGTTTCCCACCGTCTCGGCTGGTACATCTTCTGAAGTGTATGGTCGCAGACCTGCCGAATCTCACGGACGAAGGAGTCTCGGTGGTTTTTGTTGCCTATGTGATTCGGGAATCTGATGCCGATCTCAGAGCGGCAACAAAAGTCGATTCCTTGAGAGCGATAGAGCGGCTGGAGCTGCTCTATTCCTCGACACGTTTGCTCGAGCAGCCACTCGACCACAGCCCGCGAGTCAATATGACCGGTACTTCTCTTGCCACAATGGTCAAGGATGCTCTGGTGCACCTCTGGCGGTGCGAAGAAGACGACGGATTGTGTCGTGGCCAGCTGCCTCAACCTCATCGCAGCTGTGGAAAGTTGTAGTCAGTAAAGCATTGGCTTGCTAGAATTGCGGCGGCTCGAACCTTGAACGGTGTGGTCCTTCGTCTGTGCTAGCCCTAGTGTTAAGGCGCCCCTGGCGTCTGAAGGTAACTTGAGGTCAGTCCCACGAGTATGTGCTTCGTCGAGATACACTACGCATTCGCGGAGGTCGTTGGCAAATGAAGAGGCTAGAAGAGGAACTTGTGTGCCGCTCCGATATACGATGAAGGGCTTGTTGTCTGCGTTGAAGTATAAGCCGGCCTTGGCTTTCGTGTCCACGCGCATCCAGTTCTTGACCAAGGTGAAATTGTCCATCTCCAAGATCTGTGCGCCAGCGTCAATGAGCACACGGATTCCCAGCTCCTTGGCCTTCCAAAGCAACATCTCCTCTGAGAGGCGCTGTCCATGTTTGGCTGCAAGAATGTATCCGCGATTCCGGGGCTGCAGCAGGTACGTCAGCACGTCAGCGTTCGTGTGGGCGAGGCTGCCAAGATCGTGCTGTTCAATCGTCAGCGGCAACAGGTATCGATTATCGTTTGTTCCACTGAATCCGGTCGTCAACGGAGTACGCCAGCAATCAGTCTGCTTTGAGCTCTGGGGCTTCTGCGGCTGGTACAGTGGTATATCCCAGCCTGAGGCACCAATTTGAGCCTGGAAATGCCTGGCATGGACGGGAAAGACGAAGTGGTTCAGGAACAAATCGATGACGATAACGTTGTACCGTAGATGCTTCCAGAGATCCTGGAGCTGCAATTCATCATCCACATTTATCACATTCCATTCCTGTAGCTGGACGGGCAAGGACTGGGAACTTCCAACCCAGCGACCATACTCACTAGCCGGGTCGTCGGATTGAAGGACTTGAAGGACGCATTTTTGAAGCTGCGAGACATTGAGTCCTGCGAAGTAGAATGAGAGGCAGGTGAGTAGGATACACACATCAGGGTGGCCCCATTCCGCCTGATCTGATGGAACTCCCTTCGCGTGGTACGGAACAGCTACTGGATCGCGCATGGGGTGTAGGCCGTATTGTACGTTCCACTTCTTTTTCAAGGTCAGAATGAGGATTCCATGGGCCAACAGCCCCCTGAGTAGGTATATGGTCTTCCTCGAGGCGCTTCTATCCTTGAAAAGTGCTTCTAGGCGCCGTTCATCGTCAACGTGGACTTCGATGTCTCTGATAAAGCGTTTCAAGGCTTTATAGTCCTTTTTGGAGATTCGCTCGAGGGTGAGAATCCTGGTTTTTCCGAGTGCCAACTGGTTCACCAGCCGCGACACCAAGGCGTTTTCGGCATCAGAGCGCAGGAAGTAGACCCAAGGGAACCCGCCGCATTCTCTCTTAATGACTCTAACGCTGTGGGGAAAGTCATGCTTCAATGTCTCCAGATGGCTGTGGACTAGCTCAAGCAACATTTCCGCCGTCAGCCACCGGGATGGTTGGCCGTCCAAGCTCTCCTGGGGTCCGGAGGGATATATCAGCTGGGTCCTAGTGGATAGGGTGAAATCACATTCATCGAGAACGTCGCGGCTTGCTCTCTCCATCCACTTCTGCGCCTTGAGCATGCAGCTCGCTTCCTCAATTCTGCCGTCCAAGAGCCTCTGCGTGCCGCTCAGCTTGAACGACAGGATGTTCTCAGGCAGCGTGATAATGACCCCACAACTAGACATGATTTCTTGGTGGATTCTAGTAAATGTGTTGATCGAATCGAGTGTGGTCGGTGTTCGGCGGGAGAAAGGAACGCTTCTCACCTCACGGCCGAGTAGGTTGCCTAACCGTGCCTGCAAGACCTGCGCCGTCTGTGCAAGCAGTGCTCTTGGAATAACGATACGCACGAGCTGCTTTTGATCAGCTAGGGCCACGGCTACCATTGGTATGATGCACGATGTTTTCCCTTGGCCCATATTCATTTGCAACACGGAATTGCTGCCAGAATGCGGCGATATGGTTGAAAGCGCCACATCGACTTGGTGGGACCTGATAAGAAGATTACCCTCGATCTCTAGAAGCAGCCAGTCTGGATATTCAGCAGGGCTCCAGTTTGCGTGGCCTAGATCTCCGAGCTCCTCAGCCATGGCCTTTTTCCTTCCTCGCATCAGTGCATCGTCAATCCTGAGGTGCTGCTGCAATTTCGTGATGGACTGGCCATACTGGATCAGAGTGTCTCTCATACCAGTTCCAAACTGAACTTTGGCAGTAGTTCGGAGCCTTTCCAGAACCGTCACAGGGCTGATGCATGGCCACAACCCTCCATACTTTAGCCACACAGCATGGTTTTTTCCGGCCTCAAGAGCCTGGGAAATCTGCTCAAGCCGAGCCGAAGCAGCGTTGCAAGCATCCACCGATGAGATGGTCGTGCGGCCTGATGGCGTTTGGGCAATTCCCTGCGTGTCGGTATCTCTGCGGGCAGCCTCGAGCGCCTGTAGACTTTGGTTGAGATCCTTTGCGTACTGGGATCGGACTTCTGACTCTGTTGAAATCATTGAGGCTATGATGGACCTCAACTCCCGCAACTCGGGTGAGAGGGGACGATGCTCCCGAAGTTTATCAGACGTGGTCGTCCGTCCTCCTATGCCTTTCTCGTGAGTAGCTATTCTCAACCTTTGCTTGTCGTAGACTCCATCTACTGCTGGTTCTGGAAGGACACACGATTCCCTCAGAAGATCCTCAAGATGCGGCACAATGCTCTTACGATGGCCATGAGGAGTGACTTTGCAGTCATCAGATACAGTGTCCAGGGCATATCCACGTGCTCCAATGTTGAGGCGGTTGAGGACACTCTGGACGCGGGAAACCCATTCAGACAGCTCGAAGTTGCGTTTCAAACGCACCCAGTCACTCATAACAGCATCGATAGCACCAGGAAAATTCATGAAAGATGATGCCTCTTCTGGAATCTCGTCTAGCCCTGGTGAGTGGCATGGCCACTGTGAAGCAAAGATGGTGGCTACCTGATGGCAGTTGGAAGTGATCCTTTCTTTCTCAGCAGTGCTGCTTCCTGGGCAGGGCGTGCAAAACGGAGCCATGAGCTGTGAGAGGTAGCTCGGGGTTGGCGTCTGGCGAAACTCAAAGCCGGTATACAACGGCCATGCAGGGAGCTCGAGGGCTTTGAGATCATCCAGGACCGCAAAGGCAATGAGAGTCCTGACGAGATCCATGTCGTGAGCTTTGCGGAAGGCAAGGGCGCCCAACACGAAGCAGAGCAGATACTTGTCCGCGACGCGAGCACTGCTGCAGATGCTCAGCCAGGAGCCCCACTCCATTGCCGCCTCAGCGCCGAGCAAGTTGCTCAGCAACAGCCCCACGGCAGGTTCCCCACGGGCGTGAATGACCGGCCAGCCACGCAGCAGGCGGGCGAGGTGGGGCCTGGCGGAAAATTGCGCGCTCCAAGTATCGATGAGCGTGGTGCATTCCCAGACCCTGGCGCGGCGGTCGCTCTGCGTCTGGCAATCACGCGACTGGTACGTCGCATCGCAGCACGTCTCTGGATGGACGCAGTTCAGATCTCTGCGCCAAAAATTGCTTCGTCGGGCGCTGCTACGCTTCCGAAGATGGGCATCGCCCCTGTCCTCCAGCGACATGGTCACGGACTCTGCAGGCGAAAAAGCCGACAGCTGCATCGACTTCTGATAGATTGCCGCAATAGCTGCATGAAATGATTCGTGCTGCGTGGTGGGAGGCAGCCGGTCGTCCCAGAAGACCTGCTGCATCACCTTCTTTCCCGGCGGGTAGTACACCCTCTTCGGCGCCAGGCCCGCTAGCAGACTGAGATACTGCTCGAAGGCCGGATTCAACGGCATCCACGGTTGGTTTTGGGCAGAGTGTAGACAGTGCAGCGCCTCTTCGGTCCCGCTGCGCCGCGTGAGCGGATCCAACGCAATCGACGCCGTGTACGCGTGCAGCAGCGCTTTGAAAAGCAGCAAGCGCGCTTCGGCTGGGCAGTCCAGCCGCCCCAGGACGGTGTTGATGGTAAAGATGCCGTACGTCCCGCCGTTCTCTGCGTGCACCGCGACGTGCGTCCCGCGACGCTTCCACGAAAGCGGGCCCAGAGGAACGAGGATGCTGCGCCGCTGTGGGTTTTGGCTGTCCCGGAGCACGATCTTGGAGTCGAAGCCGTACCACGTGCCCGCGTCCTGGTCCGGGTCGAGGTCGGCATGGAGCTCGCGGCAATGCAGCAGGCCTTTTTCTTTGACCACGAAGCTCAAGTCGAGGCGACGAAGCTCTACCGATAGACCTCCGTCCTTGCTCTCTGGCTGAAAAACGGTCAAGCGAGCGCGGTGCTCGAATCCGTGGAAGATGCTGGCTACGTGATTGAACAGTGTGCTGCTGGGGTCTACCAGGAAAACATTTCGCCGGCGGGCCAAACGAGATGTTACGTCGATGATCCAGTTGCTCTCTTTTTGAACCCAAATGTCAGGCATCTGTCGAGCTTCAACAACGCCCGTGTCTACATCGAACCAATGAATGCAATTTTCCACCAGTGAAGCTGGAAGATCCGGCTTCTCAAGGCTGCCAAACACGGCTCGGGGGAGAAACTCCAGGGTATGACCACGGTAGCGAGCGCGGATGATGAGGCGCTTCTCGCGCGTCCCAAAGTGGATTTGGTGGCCCCCGAGAGTGAAGTTCAGCATGTATTCCATGCCCGGCATGTAGGAGGGATACGTTAAAAGGTGCTGGCTCCCAAACAGCTCTTTCATCATCCAGTTGTCGCGATATTCGGTGGGGAGCTGGCTCAGGGGCTTGTAATCGATCCAGAGGCCACCGCTGACCACGTCGTAGTGCAAGATCTGCCGATGTGCTGCACCCTGCCAATCAACCTTTAACATGACCAGTTGCCCCGGTGATGATTTGATGAACTCGGGCTGAGAGTACTGCCTTGTCTCGCTGCCTTCTGCAGACGGCCAGACGCTGTCTATGGCGGCTGTCAAGCTGCCGGGGCTGCGCTCGATACACGACTGCACCAGTCTGCCCATTCGGCCACTCGCTCGGATATCTCGCAGCAGAGCGAGCCTCAATGAGTCGGGAAGTGAAGCGAGGTCGCTGCAAAAGTTCTCGTGCACCGCCATCGATGCCTCGATTACGGACTGCAGGGCCTGGGGTTGCAGCTCGCGCGGTGCCGTTGCTTGGTCAAAGAACGCGGTGCACGCTCTTCTGCAGAGCAGTGCTGCCCACAGCATCTGTCTGGACAGCTTTTGCGAAACCTCAGACGTGGTCGCTTGATGCAGCTCGGTCCGCAGTCTTTTCATCCATTGATGCGTTATGCTCTGAGCCTTTTCAAGAAGACGAAAGACGCCCGTGCTGGCCGGTGCATCTGCGAGGGACGCGAGGCGCAGCAGGAGCACGATGAGCATGTCCATCATGTGCGCCTCACGCCAGTTCACGGCTATGAGGTCCAGCCGGCGGCCGATCTGGTCCACCAGCCGCGCGCAGAAGCTTTGTTCGCGGAAGACGCCATGTGTCGTGCGCAACGCATCGCCTGGTTTTCCGGGCCCCGCCTGTACTGCCAGCTGGGCCACTATCAGCGAGATTGTCTCGCTGCTGAAGTTGAGGTTCGATGACCCGAGCTCGACCAGGATCGACGGCCACCTGCAGCTTCTGCCCGTGAACAAGCTCTGGACGGCTGTGAACTCGTGTACGCTGACCCCGTGAGGGCATTGTGACTGGCTAGCCAGGATCTCGTTTGAGGACGGGCCTTCGCTCTCGACGGAGAGGCCAGTCATCGTCTTCAGCTGCGCCAGGGGTGAGCTCTGAGGTATTGTCCACTGGCACAAGTGTGCAAACGAGGGACCGATGTCTTGAGAGCACCAGACTCTCGTCGTCGCGTCTGAATAGCTGTACGTCATCCCGTGTGGGCGGAGAACCCCTTCGATTGTCGCTGGTACACTCGAAAATTTGTAGTGTGATTTCAGGTGTGACTTGATTTTGGACGCCAGAGTGATGCTCCCAGACGATGCCGTTCGAAAAGGCGCCAGGCTTTTATACTCTCGTATGTCATAGGTCTTCTCGGATGGCGCCGGCAAGCTCGGGTATCCGACATTGTTGAGAATGTTCCAGGCAGCGTTGCGGTACGCTGCAAATAGCGGAGGACACTGGAGCTCGAATATGATTGTCTTTGTTTGCGCCTGGTCCTCTGGCAGGAAGTCCTCGTGGATCTTGACCTTGATTTTCTTTCTCTGCCGCCTTATTTTGCATGTCGGGCAGTTTTTCGAGCGCTTTTTTCCGGTCTCGCATGTGCACAAACTTTGTGCAAGCTGCAGGGACAGTTCCTCGTACGTCTTGCCGAGTTTTATCCATTCTTCAATGGTCTGGATTCGCGCGCTCTCTGATTTCTCCTCGATTCTCCGACGGAGATTGGCCATCTTTCCGGTTTGGTCGCATTCGTTGTAGTAACGGACGGCGAAACTGCCAGTGTGTGGATTGTCGAAGATGGTACGAGCATTGGAGCTTGCTTGCCTCTCCCGGGCCTGCAAGTAGTCTTGTATGGCCCGCAGACGGTACATGGCATGCCTCTCAGGCAATTGGAGGACATCAAGCGCTCTGGACGATACAACGGGACCGTAGTCTAGAAGTAGACGTATTGACCCCGTTGCGCGCTTATCCAGTACCATCCACATGTCCATGACGGTCAGGATCTTGATGCTTTGCAGCTCTGGCAGGCCATCGTAAGCGGACCCGGCCTGGCTGAGATAGCGGCCGATGGCGTTTGATATGCTCACACATGCCTCCCGGCTGGCCATCCCATCTGCACGGGTTGCGAATGCGCCATTTTCCACTTCTTGCTCAATGTGTTTCAACTGCGAATAGCAAGTGACGATCGCTTTTGTTGTAGAGGAACCACCATACCAGCCAGGTGACGCGCTAGGACCGCGCGCTTTGTTGGATGAAGGCCGATTGGCAAGGATAGATTTCAAAATTGGGCCGCTGTTAGGAAGAGTCAAACGCAAGCTATCAGGGTCAGCCCGAAGTGGAAGACGATGTATGCGGCGTAGGGCGGCGGCCCTGGTCACGCGCCAGGTCCTGTTGATGCATTCTGTAGCGCTTTGGAATGCCTCATGGAACAGTGGCTCCAGGCGTGGTAGAGTTCTGTCGTAGATCCCTGCAGCTCTGGGTTCATAGCTCCTTCTGGCGTTCTGCAGCTTCGCAATGCGCCGTGCAAGCTTCGCTTTGAGATTATGCAGCAGCTCTATGCTGACGACGTCAGTAGACTTGCAGAGCAGCTGAGCAAACATCACGCAGAGTATGAGCTTATAACACGCGTGGCCGGCTTCGGGTCCGAGTTTCTCGTCCAGGTGCCTGACAAGGCCTACCCGGAGCACGAGCCAGTAAGGAGCCCGCCTCCATGGAAGTCCAGATCCAGGTCCCCAAAGCACATCATCGCGAATGCGTTTGTGCAGCAAAGTGGGTTTGGTTTTGCGGCCGAGGGCTTCGAGGATGGTCATGAGCAGTTGTGATATCAGCGCTGGATTGGCTGGCTCCCGAGTCTCCACCAGTTCTACACCGGCCTTGTGAGTATGCGAGGCGAATTCGGGGAAGCTTTCGCTGCTGCATTGTTCGAGAAAGCCGGCCAGGCTCTCTTGGAAGGATGGGTTCGTGAAGATGTCCAACGAAATGGCTGCAGCGGCCCCGGGAAACCGCCACTGAAGCGCGCCCTCGGCTGCTAAAACGTCCCTTGAATGTGGAGAAGCCTCGAAGGCCTCGAATTCGACAATGCACTCGGCAGTTCTAGCATTTTCCACCATCAGCTTCGTGCATATCATAGGTGAGGCGCGGACTGTGGACGAGAAACTTTTTGACGAGCAGGCCGGCGTTCTGCTCCTTTACGTGCAGAATCAAAGACTCGTTCGACGCAAGCTGGCGGAAGGAGTTTGAGATGGAATTTTTCTCGAGACCCTCCGAATCAGTATCGTTATTCAACTTTCTGGCGACACAAAGTGTTTTCCGAACATCTTCCCATATCGCTCGGTCAGTATCTGAAGCGGTGGGAACAAGAGCCTCGGCAGCCTTGATTAAGCCATCAACAAGATTTCTTTCGAGGGAGCGCGTATCGCCTTCGCGGCTTGAAGGTAGCTGCTCTGGAAAAACGACGTGGTTGAGAAGGATTCCCAAAACTTCAGGGTTCAAACACGGAATTGCCATTTTGCCAGCTTACAGGTCGAAAGATTAAAAGAACTGGATTGATCGCTTGAGAGACTCCGGTATTTGTTTCATTCCACACCGCAAGTCAAGAACGAACGCTTCTGGCGAACTGCATGCGAGGTGGACTGGTTGAGCAGGGGTGGATGCGAGACTCCCTCGCTTCCTATAAGATCGACATTGTGGGGAGCAGGGGCACAAAGCAAGGAGTGAAACGAACACGTTGGCTCTCCAACTACTAGCTGAATAAATTTTTTCAAGGCGTACGCATTTTGCTGTATGCATTTTTACGTTCGTCAAACCACGGTTCTTCCACTTCAATATTCACTCGGTCGCTCCCTGAGTAAGATAGGTTAGATTCTGTTCTGATGACGACTTGCTTAAGGGTTAATCTATACATCCATTTTTTCTCATTATTTCGAGGCAGAAAGTTGGGGCGTTGGTGTTGGGTCGAGGGTGGGCAATTCGGTGGGTGCTTTTATACCCTGCTCGTATGGCCGAGCTAACTACTACTGTACTATAATAAGACTGCACCTCGCCACATCTTTACGGAAAGGATTTTTCATCTCATTCTCATCCGCCTTGCCGGATTTGTAGGTGTGGTTATGACTAGCCTGATCAATTTGTGTTGGACAGCACCATCAAAGAACACGTTGTAGATGATAATCTTTATCACCCAACAAGGGTCTTATTCAGCAACGTGTTATCGTAAACAACACCCTCGTTAAATCCTTTTCTTCATTCGCCTATATAAACCCCATGTAGTAGCAGCGTTCAATAGATCATCCATCTATCAGCTTTACTTCATTCACCCGGCTGTGATCACACCGACTGACAATTTGTCACAGGATATAACGGAAATTTTCAGCATCTAAATACGTGACAATGGTTCATTGAAATGCTATCATACACGTGCAGCAACCCTATGACATGACAGTAATAGTATCGGAAAGAGCGGTGCAGTTCATCGGCACAGCAATGGCAGGCGACTCATCGGTGGTGGTGGCGGTGCTCTTGTTGTAGCCGGCATTGTAAGCCATGATTTGCCCGACGGTGGTGCTGTAGTTCTTGGCGAGATCGGCGTAGGTGCCATACGTGAAGCGGTACGGCTGGAGCGTGCACTGGCTGGGCGAGCACATGGGCAATTTGAGCGACTGGCCAGCCTCGATTTCGGCATACGGGTCGGAGCTGAGTCTGTCGGCGACAGCGGTCACGGTGTCCAGGGTGAGGTTGAACTTCTGGGCGATGTACTGGATCGTATCTCCCAAAAAGGTCGTGTACGTGTGCGGTCCTCCATTGACGCAGGTGTTGGTGGTGGTGGTGTTGGGGACCAGGCAGGTGTCGTTGTCGGGGTCGCACACCTGTGCCGGAATGATGAGCTCCTCATCCGTGTAAAGCATCATCGCATCGGCCATGCGGTTGGCTCGCGCGATGTCGCAAACTCCGCGGTTGACCTTCGCAGCAATCTCGGGCATGGTCTCGTTCTCCTGCACGACGTATGACCCGACAGTGGTGTTCAGGCTGACGGTGCCATTGCAAACTGTTGCCCTTTTAGCTGGGGATCTTGGTGAAGCGACGGGCGATTCTTACGAGCTCTGGCTGTAATTTGGCCACCAGCAGCAACCACCGGAGGCAGCCCATATGCGGCACTGGAGCCAACAGTGGCCATGAAAGTTGCAAATAGCGATGGAGAGATCATTCTGAATGTAGAAGTGAACGTGGTGAAAGAATGGGAAATGATATGAAGAGAGACAAAGAGAGAAAGCGGTTGATTGCCATTGGACTCAGGGCGTGCGGCCGGCTTACTTGTAGTCAGTCCGTCAACGACACGGATGGCTATTCGGCGATATTCAGCCGCCGCTCGGTAAATTATTAGGAATTGCGCCGCACGTCATTGGCCGCCGCCGGCCGCGTACTCCGCCATCTATCTCTGCACGGTGCCTGCCCGATTTGGCCTTTGTAGATCCACGAAGCTTCTTGAGACTTGGCTCCGAATCATTATTGACGCGTCACCTTTTGATGAAAAAGTAATAATTCTCTAGCTCAAACCTTATTTTCCATGGTATTCGTCCCGAGAAAGAGACGATATAACCACATGTCCTTTTTCCTACACTAAATGCAAGCGATGCTTCATCTAGTATCTGATCGATCTATGCATTTGTTTCAGACGTGATTGCGTATATCCTGCCAATTCGGTAGCTTTTAATGCTGCTAGCCCCTGATCGAGGCTCCGGATCTGGAAGGATGAGGGATTATCTTCCGTCATCGGGATTCCCACGATACTAGGATGGCAGCAGAGTTCGTAATCGGGATACGCGGTTGTAGCTAGGCATAAGACACAGAGGGCCTTAATGGGGCGGACCCGTATCTTGAAGCATGCACGTGCGTGTTTCTGGTAACGTTTGCCATGCCTGTTAACGGCCATCTGGTCGCACCGACGCAGCAGCTTCCTAACTAAAAACAAAACATCAGTGCCCCCCTTACGACAGCTGCTCGTCATTCTAACTCCGAGAGTCCATTGGTGAATGTTGTGCGGTCGGCCGAACACGGGGTATCGACTCTTCGGACATAAGCCAGAGGCTCGGAGAAAACCATCTTAACCGCGAGTATTCATCCTTGGCCGTCATCGTTTACATGGTTGGAAGCGAAACTCTTCCACTGCCCCGGAACCGTAGTTTTATGCCACCCTTGGTCGCCTGCCTTCCATAGCTAGACTCCGAAGACCAACCTTCCTATCCCGCAGCAGCACTGAAATTTGCTCGCGCTTGGCAGATCAGCATTCTTCCGCCATGCTCCACTGGGATATTCCCCTTTTCTTCGCCGTGTTTGCTCAAAACAACACTATCAAGCATACCCGGCGTGCGTGTACGTCCCGTGGACGAGTCTCATGGCTCAAACCCAGGATCGCGGCCCGCTCGTCTTCCGATCTTCCCAGTCGCTCATTCGGCGGCGATTGGGGCATGGGAGGGACCAACGCCTACTTCAACGGCGCTCTAATGGATGAATGCTCGATTCATGTTGGTCCGTTATGACGCCTCTACATCAAGCTGTCACTGTTTTGTTGCGAGCGGCCCGACGAACCCTGAGCCATGCGAATCTTCGAGTCCAGGGCCATCTGTCCCGAGATTCTACTTGTTTCATCAGTGGACTTTGCGCTTTCTTTGGCATTCTGACGAGCTACTGGAATGCCATGTCGCTGTCTTCTTCTTGTCATAGCGTTGCGATGGCGCAGCATACACCAACAAACGACGACAATGAGATGCTTCTTCAGGTCCACTGCAGCGACTGACGTACTCTACTCCAGCAGTACGTCGTTCATTTCATCGACAGAAACACACGACACTTCCAGTCAAACTCGACTTTAGCCAAAACCAAGGGAAAGCACTACGTATGTATACGCGTACAGGCGTATTAGCAGTCCTACACGGATACGCGAATCAGCGCTGGCCTCGCCGTCAGTAGGCTTATTGGATCTTGGATTTGCCTGGCATTCCTCCTGACACTTATCAGGAAAAGGCCAGTCAAAATCCCGCGTGTCCGTCTCCACGCCTTGTCCGCACCCCCCTTTCACGGACTACCGGCTCGACACGGTCCTTCGGGCACAGGATCGCTAAATCATGACCACAAGCTTCACCTTGCCCGAAAAAGTAAGCGTTCGGCTAAATCCTACAATGATGGGACCGATTCCACCTGGCAGGAGACCGGTTGAACCCTACAACGACCGTAACCCAGCCCTGCAGGTACCAGCTACCGGCCGCGTTATACACGGATTGGTAGATTCAGAGGAAGCAGGTGCCGAGGCGAGTGTGTGGAGATGTAGGAGTCTGATCACGTGCTGTGATGGTGACTCAGCCTGATTGATAAGATAACTCGCGGGCATCACACCACCGGGCTTGACCATCACAACAACACCCATTTTTCCCCAATCATGGCGTCCAGCGAGGCAGACGGAGCCCGCACTCCACTCCTCTGCAGCACACCCCGTCCGTCGGAACGTTCGCCCAGCCAGGTTCCGAGGGTCGAGGATGGGTCGGAGCGTCTCGACGCAGATGTTCCGCCGCCGCCGACTGAGGAACTGTCGGTGTCAATGGCGGTGCGGAGGCGCCTCTACGTTTCCCATTTCCTCTCGGCGTGGAACTCCCGCGTCTTCGAGTTCGGCGCCGTGCTCTACCTCGCCTCCATCTACCCTGGAACCTTGCTGCCCATGTCGGTGTACGCCTTGAGCCGGCAAGCCTCGGCCATCGTCTTGTCTCCGGCCATTGGGCGGTACATCGACAACGGCAACAGGCTTAAAGTCGTGAGGCTCTCAATCGGTACGGGAATCTGAGCATCCTTGGATTCTTCATGCATTGATATTGTTCGCAGTGCTGCAAAGGTTGGCGGTTGCGACTTCCTGTGTTCTCTTCTGGTTCCTCTCCACCGGATGGGGCTGGATTCGGGCGCTGCAGTCCGGCTCTCTGGCTATCCTGGCAGTCCTTGCCTGTGTTGAGAAGCTCTGCGCCGTCATGAACCTTGTGGCAGTGGAGAGGGACTGGGTACGTCTGGCAATGCCGTCACAGCATCCATGCATTTTACTGACCCGCGCTGAAGGTGATTGTGATTGCCCAAGAAAACGAGGCGTCTCTGAGAGGTACCATGCGCCCCTGCACCATCGACTGAGCTAGCTACATTGACTCAGCAAGCAGTCCTCAACGCTCAGATGCGCCGGATTGATCTCATCTGCAAACTCGCGGGTCCCTTCTTCATTTCCATGCTGGACGGCGTATCCACCGAGATGGCAATCCTCGCGAACCTCGGCATGAATCTCGCCTCCATCCTCGTCGAGTACTTTGCAATCGCCCGGGTACGCAGCACCAAACCTGTGCGCCAACCCCCACTGACTCTGACTCGCCTCCGCAGGTATACACAGCCGTCCCCGCACTCCAGCAACCCAAAACATCCGCCACAAGCGTCGAACCTCTCCCGCCCGCCCCGTCCCGCCGCCGTCGTCACTGCGCCATCTTCAAGACCCTCACCAACAGCATCCTCGGCGGCGCCACGCAAGACCTGCGCGCCTACTTCCACCACCGCGCCGTGCTGCCCTCGTTCGCCGGCGCCCTCCTCTACTTCACCGTCCTCTCCTTCTCGGGCCAGATGGTGACGTACCTGCTCTCGTCGGGCTTCGGCTCGGTGCACGTCGCGGCCGCGCGCACCGTCTCGGTCGGGTTCGAGCTGTCGGCGACGTGGATGGCGCCGCGGGTCATGGCGCGGATCGGGCCGGTGCGGACGGGCATCTGGTTCGTCAGCTGGCAGTGCCTGTGCCTCGCGGCGGGGGCGTCGGCGTTCTGGGGGTTGCGGGCCAGCGACGCCGGCGACGCGCAGCTGCTCGCGGCGGCGGCGCTCGTGGGCGGGGCGATCCTGAGCCGCGTCGGGCTGTGGGGGTACGACCTCTCCGCCCAGGTCATCATTCAAGAGGTATGTACATACGTCGGGAGCTCGTCTCGAAGACAAAGGACGTTGAGAGCCGCGTGTCGCTGACCTTGGGCACCTATGCAGGAAGTTGAAGCGGAGCGTAGGGGCGCCTTTTCCTCGGTCGAAGCGTCGTGGCAGAGCGTGTTCGAGCTGTGCTCGTACGTGTCGACCATTGTCTTCTCCCGTCCCGAACAGTTCCAGTGGCCGGTACTGCTGAGCTGCATGGCCGTTTTCAGCGCCGGCGGCCTGTACGCGTCGTTCGTGCGGCGGAGGAGGGGCCATCTGCTCCACTTCTCCAAGTGCATCGAGCACCGGTCGGGCAAGACGAGGCATGGTGGCCCGGAAAGCTACGAAAGGCTTGCGCAGTCGCCGAATGTCTAACTCGCGTGGTGAGTCGCTCGAGACTTTGCCGGCCTGGTTATACATGGCTTTCCGCATCAGTGCAGATGCGAGCAGCCGAGGCATTGACAGGTAGATGGATGGGATCGGAGGTGGATGAGATGAATTTCGGGTCACGTCCCCTCTGCTGCGTGATCCACCGACAACGACTTCCAATATTCCAACGAGTGTGGTATCCTGAGCACTATAGAAAAGCAAGCGCCAACTCCAAAACAGCAAACAGAATCCTATTCTTCTTCACCTCTCCTCCTCTTCGCTTTCACTGAGCTTCAAAAGCTTGGTGTCTGTAGAGTCGTGTCAGTCGGAATCCATCAACGACCGGGACCTCGCGCTCATCTGACCTGTGAAACGAGAAAAAGAAAACAGACAACGTACCAGTGCTAAGAATCCGCTTAAGGCGGCTTCCTATCGACTTTGGCCGATCTTTCTCCTCGAACGCATTGTCATCAGACTCTTTTCCCTCCGAGGACTCGCTCGAAACCGAGCCGCGGCTGGCGCGTGCCGGCGCGTTCTCTGCGGCGTGCTGATGCGGGGCCTCCCCATCGTCGCGATCCGAGTCCCAGTTGCTGTCGAAATCAGAGGCCAAGGACTCCTTGAGCTCTTTTGGGAGCTTGATGGCGTATCCCGTCATGATGGTAGGCCAGACCGATTCGATTGTGCGTAGGGGCCGTTCCAGACGTTTGCTGTTCTGCGGGGCGGGGGGAGTAGGTGGATAGGCAGGTAGGATTTGGGCAGCACCAAGGGCGGGGGAATGTTACAAAGGGGAGGGAACGAGGGCGTACAGCAGGCCTTATATCCCCACGCGCGGACTCCCTGCCATGTGCTAGCAGAAAGAACCAGACCGATCTTTTCTTTTTTTTTTCCCGCCTGCACGAGGTGCAAACCGCGGCGGCGCACTGCCTCCCTTGGCTTACGGGTGCCGCCCCGAGGAGGACTGGCGCTCATTGGCGGGCCAAGGGCGTTGCGCCCGCTGATGAATCATTGCCGAGCGGACTATCTGTCTCGTCCCGCCCCGCCATGCCCTGCAGCTTGCCTTCCCGCTCGGCGCGGTGGTAGAGATGATTCAGGTGTCTTACACTGCATGAGCGGGTTGCACTGGCGGAGGGATGGAGCCTGATTCTTCGCTATTTTTTCCGTGTCGCTGCTCAGTAACTTCATCGGATAGATACATACGGCTTGAGCATTGCCCCCTGTACACGGAGATACCTCCGAATGACCAATGCAATAACGATCCAGAGCAAAATTTACAAAGCCATCAGCCCCGCGTTGAGGCGTTTCTGTCAGACGGGCGGATCGTGTGCGCGTGATACTGCGTAGCTGCCTGTCAAATACAAACTTTCATGTAGAAGAAAGGCCCGAGAGGTAGACACCGAGTACTAACGAGATTCGATGCCCGAAATTCATCATCACCGTTTCCAGGTCCGCGAATTGTCCTTTTTCACTGCGATGCTCTTGCCATGACGAGTCCTTGGCGGCGGGGTTGAAGGTGCGGGGAAGGGCCAAGGATTCTGGCCCGGGCCAAGCTTCAAACGCCTGCCGTATGATGTATTCGGCTAGTTGGCAAAAGAACGCCCCTGAAGACATCGCCAATCGCCATGATCCGAGAACGCCACCGGTATACATGGGCGCTGGCCACACTGATGGAGAAGGAACAGCACCACCATCATGTAAACGACTCTTCACCTCAATCAATTTCAGCTACTTCGCACCATCTATATCAGCCGTAAAGTATTTACACTACACTTTCAGGAACGCTCCCCTCACCACCACCATGGCCCGAGCGTATAGACATAAAAGGCCGGGAAATATCAACATGGCGTGCAACCGTCCAGTTGCGTTGCAGGAACTTAGACGCGGTAGGTGTTCCACATGTTGGTCATGCGGGTCGTCTGGTCCTCGGTGAACTCCTCGTAGCAAGAGCTATAAAGACGGTTAGCAACACACTTCGTCGAACCCTGGACAGGTGGGTGGCATCTTCACTCACTCATACGTGTAGTCCATGTAGTTGTGGATGGGGTCGAGGCCGGCCTGGTTGGGGCACGAGTCGCGGCCGATGGGGCAACCCTCCGAGTCGCTGGCCTGGGCAGGCGTATCGTCGATCTGATCGCCCGAGCCGGTGCAGCCGCCCTGGAAGGTGTGGTACAGACCGAACCAGTGCCCGACCTCGTGGGTCGTCGTCTTGCCCAGGTTGTAGTTGGTGGCGCTACCGCCGGGGACCGATGCCGACAGGATCGAGCAGCCGTCGTAGTAGAAGTCGTTCGAGCCCGAGCTGACGTTTTCGGGGAAGTAGCAGTAGCTGCGGAGAGGCATGAGCTTTGAGGTGAGTGCCAAGAGCGACGGCGGAGGACAATTACCCGAGGTTTCCGTCAAGCTCCCTCTGGAAGTAGACGTTGAGAGTGCCGTAGTCACCCTTGCGGAGTGACTTCTTCATGGTCAACTCGGCTCCATCGTCGGCCCAGTTGGTGTTGATGGTCCTGGTGGTGCCCTCGAGGGTGAAGGAGATGCCCGAGGGGGCGAAGTTCTCGTTGAGGACTGCCATCTGCTCCTCGAGTTGCGCATCCTACCGACATTGTTATTTGCCAGCTCGTCCATGATTGTGAAAGCACTGACCGAGACGTAGCCGTCCTCCTCGGACTCAGAGGCGGCGACAACGTGGAACCAAGTAGGGACGCTGATGGCAGCCTGGGCAAGCTTGATGCCAGACTCCTTGACGGCCTTCTCCTGAGCGGCCATCTCACCAGCCTTGGCGAGGAGCTCCTCAGACGGCTCGGGAGCACCGCAGCCGAAGGTATCCCGCTTGTGGATGAGGGAGCCAAAGGCGGTCGAGGCCATCAGGCCAGCGAGGAAGGACGTCTTGACGAACATGGCTGCGAATGGGAGGAGAGTTGAAGGCTTTCAAAGGAGATGCTGGCTGATGGGCTGCCGGTGGATGAGGACGTACAGCGTGCTGGGCGGTGGTGATTTATACCCTCAGTCCGTCCAATGTAGCACAGCAGAAGAGCCCGAGTAGTGACTTCTCGCCCATGACAGGCAACCCAGGTGTCCGGAGAGCCTGGTATTACTTCCTGCCTCATCCGCATAAGCCGGTTCTCTGGAAGCTGAAGGCCGGGAGACCAGGCTCTCCGAATGGACGAAACAAACAGCCCGGTATCGCGGGTGGACAGGCCCAGTCCCTCCACTCAATCTCTTCGGGAAAGAAGAGCAGCCGCCGGCACCTGGCTGGAACCGGGCTAGCGTCGCTGCGACATGGTGCTTTTGGATGGTTGTACCTCTTTAGAAAACTCGGGCCGAGGGGCTTGAATAGGTAGCGGCGATATAAAGAGATAAACACGAGACTGGTGTAACCAATCATCGGCGGTGCGAGCATGAGCATTGAGATGTACGCGCCAGGCATCCGGTCAGCGGACAACCAATCAGCCAGGCGCGGGCACACCTGTTCCTGAAGGAACTAGGTGCTGGACTGTACAACTCGAGACTTGGGGTGACTTGGGCGGCGCGTGTGCGGGATCGATCCAAGCTGGCGGTTCCCGAGACTGGCGACAGGTGGTTCCACGACGTGATTGCTCAGAAGTAGATGATGTTTGCGCAGATCGCACTTTTGGTAGCTCCGGGCCCTGATCAGGCGGCGCGGACCAAGATCGCAGGTGGTAGCTGGGCGACTTGGCAGCGCAGCGGAGTCGAGCGCTGAGTGGTGACAAGACTGGTGCCAAGGGCCTTGGGCGATTTGAAAGATAGCGGATCAGGAGATTCCGCTGTTTGCCAAGCATCGTGACGGGCTTATCAGACAGAGACTTGCCAAGCGCTGCGAGGGGGAGGCGGCGTTGCTGCATCGGGCGGGTGACAAGCACGCCAAGGGGGGAATGATGATGCAGTTCTTCAACAACAGTGTTTGCTCCCTGCGGCCTTCCGCTTCGGAGTAGACGACAATTAAGCCTGAGTAGTGGGCGACGTGGACACCATCCTGGCTGGTGCTGGACTGCAATATGGAATGGACTCGATCTTCGGGACAGAGGTCGCCGGCTTCCGGGGGAAGCGAGCGGTGGCGTACGATAACGGCGGCGGAACTGGGAGGGGCAGTGAGGTCCTGGCAACGGCTGAAGAGCAGAGATCCGTCTGTCTCTTCTTCACGCTTTTCATGTGCGAATTGAGGCGGTCACGGCGGGATATAAGTACGAGAGCGCCATGATGGTGTCACTGTCGACAAGCACTCGTGCATCAATCGGCGGCGTAGCGATACGGGCCTCGGCGGACGTTATCTCAGTATCGTGATGGGTGGCGGCGATGGCGGGCTCGATCGGCAGTTTGCCAGGTGCCGAAGTGACTTGCATATATCGGCGGCTGGCCCACAGTCGGCCGGCTCGGGTTCCTGCGCATCCTTCACGACCAAGATGGAGTGACAGCGAAGCCGTGCGACCAATGCCAGTGCGACGGCTGCGCTGCCGGCCTGGCCTCACGACGCTCGTACCCGGCGACAGGACCTGGCCGAACGAACGAACCATCGACGGACCGAACAACCACACCACCGACTGATCATCCAAGGAAACCAAAAATTCATATGGAACAACCCCGGACTTCAAGAGCGACGAACGGCGCCGAAACAGTAGCGTGCGACGGCGGCGAGTGATGGAAGCCATCGGCGGGCTCCGACGGAGCAGGACCATGAACAACGTCGGCGGCGCAGTGCGGCTCTGAGAACGGCAGTCATGTCACGGCAGTCGGCTTTGCGACGGCCTGGGAAAGAGAAGGGTCGAGGTGAGTAAAGGTAATAGCTGGCGGACGCGACCCCCACGTGGCGCTCGGCTCTCGTGAGCGGCGTGCCTCATGGCGCCCGAGCTCGCGGCATGGCACCACAGCGGCATTGAAGGCCACGTCGGCGAGGCCGACGGCCAGCTGTCGCACAGCTGGGAATGATGCTGGGGGCGGCGAGGGGTGGATGGGCGGAGGCGCTGGTCCGGTGGGCAGCGGCGCGACGGCGGCGGCGGTGGTGGCGGTGGTGCAGGCGCTGGCAGGCGCTGGCGGGCGTGCGGGCGCAGGCGAAACAGGCAAAAGACGGCGGAGAATTGAGGGCGTGTGGGCGCAGTGCGCAGTGCGCAGTGCGGTCACGTGCCTGGGTGGCCCGCGGCTCAGCGACGCCTCCCGGCTGACGCCTCCCGAGCGAGTCAACAACCTCCATCGCCTTCGACGTCGCCTTCGCCGAACCCGCCCATCCGTGGCAATCGCAGCCGCCCTACGCCCGCAATGCCTGGGACGATGCTGCAGGACCGCCGCCGTCGCCGGGCCTCCCGGTCCGCGTCCAGACGGCCGGCAGGATGTCAGCCTCTCATATTTTAGCGCATTGCCATCAACGCGACACAGCGTCGCAGGCGCGCTGTCCAGCCTCTGCGTGTCTGCGGCCTCAGGACTGTCACCTTCCCGATGCGGCTGGCGATCCAGCCATCCGAAGCAATCCTGCGGCTCGCGCACGTGAGGCCACGGCCCACTCGACCAAGCAGCGTCAAGCATTCCCAAGCCCGCCTTGGGCGCCGGCCCGTGTTCCTGTTCCCTGTCGCCTGCGCCTTCTGCAACGAGCATAACGGCGGGCCAGACGGTGCAGTCATCGAAAGATAAGGACGCAGCGCGCTCGTACGCTCGTCCACACGCCCGTCGACACGCCCGGCGCAGATCGCTCGGGTGATGATTAGCAGGGTGCCGTGACGGCAGGGTGCCGTCCACACTGCGTCGGCCGTGGGCCCTGCTTTTTAAACCACCCTGCCGCGGCCGTTGCACCGCTGCACCGCCCTCGCCATCATTCCCCAACCTCTGCCCGCTCCCACCGCCCACCCGTCAACATGGCTACCGGCGATCACGGAGTCGTTGAGGCTGCCCAGTGAGCTCCCACCCCGCCCATCCCGCCTGTGCCTCCGCGCCGCCCTTCTGACCCGCGACAGGCTGCACGATACCCTCGTCGAGGGCGAGAAGAAGGACGTCGATGTCGCGGGCGGCCCTCTGCGCCCCAGCCTGAGCGCCACCGGCCGCGCCGACAGCTACCACGCCGACGAGAAGGCGCCCGTCGAGACGGCCGAGGGCGACGAACCCACCGACCATGAGAAAGCAACCCTGCGCCACATCGGCGAGAAGCTGCCCGTCTCCGCCTTTCTGGTCGCCTTCGTGGAATTGTGCGAGCGCTTCACCTACTATGGTACCCCCACCCTGCACCCCCCACTGCACCTATAGGATGCCTCCCCGCTGACCTTCGCCAGGCATGTCCGGCCTCTTTCAGAACTACATCCAACGCCCGCTTGACGGCAGCGAGGGCCGCGGTGCTCTGGGAATGGGCCACCAGGGTGCCACTGGTCTGACCACTTTCTTTCAGTTCTGGTGCTACGGTATGTTCCACTTGTTCCGCTTGGCCCACCTTCCGCCTTGGGCGAGCCGCTGACCTTTTCCAGTCACTCCCATCTTCGGTGCCATTGTGGCGGACCAGTACCTCGGAAAATACGTCGCCATTGTCATCTTCTGCGTCGTCTACATCGTCGGCCTGCTGGTTCTCTTCCTGACCTCCCTCCCCATCGCCCTGCAGCATGGCGCTGGTCTCGGCGGCTTCATCGTCGCCGTCATCGGTGTGTACTCCGCCGCTCCAAGCCCAGCCAATTGTGCTAATAACTTCACCCAGTCATTGGTATTGGCACCGGTGGCATCAAGTCCAACGTCGCTCCCCTGATCGCCGATCAGTACAAGCGCCGCACCATGGCCGTCTCCACCCTGTCCACCGGAGAGCGTGTCATTCTCGATCCGTCCGTCACCATCCAGCGCATCTACATGATCTTCTACCTCTGCATCAACCTCGGCAGTCTGTCGCTCCTTGCCACTCCGTACATGGAGCGCGACATCGGCTTCTGGTCCGCCTATCTGCTCTGCTTCTGCATGTTCTGCGCCGGCCTCGTCGTCCTCATCTTCGGCAAGAAGCTTTACGTTGTCCGCCCGCCAGAGGGTGGCGTCATCACCGACGCTTTCAGGTGCATTTGGGTGATGATCAAGAACCGCAGCATGGACGCCCCCAAGCCATCGTGGCAGGAGCGCCACGGCAACAGCCAGGTCATGAAGTGGGATGACAAGTTCGTCGACGAGGTCAAGAGAGCTCTGGTTGCCTGTCAGGTCTTCTGCATCTATCCCATCTACTGGGTCGTTTACGGCCAATTCTCCGGCAACTTCGTCACTCAAGCCGGCCAAATGCAGGGACACGGCATTCCCAACGATCTGATGCAGAACTTCGACCCCATTGCCATCATCGTCTTCGTTCCCATCCTGGATCGTCTCGTGTACCCGTTGATGCGCAAGATGAAGATCGATTTCCCGCCCATCAACCGCATCACTCTGGGTTTCTGGGTCGCTTCCTTGGCCATGGCCTATGCCGCCATTGTCCAGCATCTCATCTACGCTGCAGGCCCGTGCTATGAAGCCCCTCTCTGCGACGCCTCGGTCGATGCCTCCGGCGCTGCTCAGGGCAACCGCATCCACATTGCCGTGCAAACCCCGGCCTACATGCTGATCGGTATCTCTGAAATCTTCGCCAGCGTCACGGGTCTCGAATACGCCTACACCAAGGCTCCGCCGAGTATGAAGAGTTTCGTCCAGAGCATGTACCTGCTGACCAACGCCTTCGGTTCCGCCATTGGCGAAGCCCTCGTCTCGGTTGCCGTCGACCCCAAGATTCTGTGGATGTTTGTCGGTCTTTCCGTCGCATCTTTCATGGCTGGCTGCCTCGTCTGGATCTTATTCCACCACCTGAACAAGTCCGAGGACGAGATGAATGCTTTAGGTTGAGAGCATTCTTAATTTCCTTTTCTACGTGTTTGTGGGCCGAAGGATGGCATTTAAAACTAAGGGCTTACGTCAAATATTTTGGGATGCGATAGATCTTGTCGAGTAGATCCTCGGCGAATAGACTTCGACCGAATGGATGAGAACTTGCTGAATGATTCCTGCCCTCATGTCTGCGCTTATCTCACAACGGTTTCCTTCTGTCAGGACCCCACGCCAACGCAATCAGGCGGGCTGCTGTTGTCCGTCGGAAGAAAGGGTGAGCCATTGAATCCTCCAAAATCTGGCTATCGTACCCAATGATCCAGAGCGGCATCAGACAACATTTTGACCGGATTGCATGGCTGTTCGTCAGAGATATGCGCATGCCGTCTAAGGACAATGCTCCGCACCTCCACTCCTCCAGGATTCACAGCGGAGCGACGTCCATCTCCCCCACCATCGAATGACCAACCATCACTCTCTTCCACGCGCCACCCGCTTACCTCATCGCCAATCGACGCTTCATAATTGGTCCCGAGTACTGCGTACAAGCCACTTCGCGTATGTATAGGAATCCACGAATGAGACGAAGGGAGATAAGCAAAGCCGCCGGGATGAAGAGCCTCCTCGGCCCATTCGCCAACGCCTGCAATGCATGGGGCAGATCTGCCGGCTCGGGTTGCCAGGGTTGCTCGGACGCGATCCTGGGTCCACTGTGCTGTTTATGAATCCACCCTGCATAATGACGACATATGGCACGCTTCCAGACTTTTCCATGCTTGGTGCGAGGGGGAAGGGGAGGGGTGTGTGTGTTCTGCCAGAGCGATAACCGCCGCCTCGGTTCCGTTCGGGTTTGGAAAATCGGTGCTGTGGATTCCGCTTAGGTGCCGAGGAAGAGGTGTGCACAACTGGTGTTGGTGAGAGTAGATGAAAGCGGACCGTACCTACGTGGATGACTACGACTATCCCGCCCTGGTATTCGGGGTGACTGAAAAGTTGGTTTCCACGGGGCGGACCCGGATCCAGCTGTCTGCATGGACTGTTGCCAGAGAATGGCCTATCGGTGCCGGCTTTACCCGGGCACTGTCGGCGTCACGGCGGAAGCCGAAGAGGACGCCACCCAGCAGTAGTAGTCCCTGGGTTGGTGGCATAATTCCTTTGATGAGTCCCATCTCCATGGCGGTAGCCCACACAGCACACGCATTTTCACACGAGGCATAGGAATAAAGCGCTTGGAGTCAGTCATATGTGAACGGCTACTGCGGAATGCGACCCTGTGTTCATTCTACATCAGACAGAGCCAGGCGTTCTCCGTCGAATGAGAGAATGACCCCTCTTCCATTACGCTTTAAGTGTTGGTTGTCCGCCGCATCTCGCTTGGAGTAAAGACTCCATTGCCATCTTCGTCGTATCTGCACGCATATTAGCACCTCAAGATTTCCGGAACCCTATAAAGATAGAATAAAACTACTCACTGGCGGAAGCAATCAATGTATAGGTCCGTGTTGAGACCGGGCCTCATCTACCCCTCAAACTAAAACTCGGCCTTGATTATGTCGGTCAAGGGATCGACGTTGGCATCAGCGAGCGCTTTATCTAGCTTATCATCTTCCACCGTAGAGTCATCTCTAATCAGAACATGCCGCTTGGTAATACCGGCCAGAGCCGGCAGACGGCAGCCTGTATTGCTATGAGAGTAAGCAGAGTGCGGACCTGGTGAGAGTGAGGAGATGGAGAGAGTCAGGGGAGCACACCTCCATCACACTTGCAGCAGAAGATGTTGCATTTGCCTTTTCCACAGCAGGGCGTCCCCTCGGTGCCGTCAGGGCACATTTTGATGCACCGTTCCCCAGAATTGGGCGCGCAGTGGGTCACTTTGCAGCAATCTGCGAGAGCCACCGAGGCCGAGGAAAGTATGACCGAGAGATAAAAGAGATGGTGCATGGTGTATGCGTATGAGATGATGTAAACCCGTAGCATTTTCAGTTGGAGCTTTTAAGACTATATACCTTATCATCGGCGGGCGACTACTAAAGATGGGGAAAAGCGTACGCATTAGTACGCCCTGAATTCGTCTTCGATCGGGAACCAACGATATGTCTTCAAGGTGATTGCAACTTGCAGCTGCTCGAAAGACGTCCGACGGCCATTCAAGCGCGTGCACAAAGACGTTGAGGATGGTTGTCATGGTCAACCCCAACCAGCAGCAACGTGCTATCATGAACAACACCCTTGTTGGGTGCCCCTTTCTTCGTTCACTTGTATAATCACCACGTAGTAGCAGCGTATAATGAGACATGCAGTCAACCAGCTTCTTCCTATGCCCGGCTGTGATCACCGTCCTACGGAAACCGATACGACTGGATGGTCTTGGACTTCATGCAGTCACGATTCTTTTCGTTGGTGTAAACTACATGTTGGGGCGGAGGCGGAAGCCAAAGGGATGGAGAAGAAGCAATCTGAAGTAATAATATAGAGCTAGCCAGAGAACGATTGCGCTAGTTTGTAGCGTCAAACACGTTGACTAGGCTCACCAAGTGGCCGAAGACGTTGAAAGCGGATTTTCAAAGCATACGACGGCGCCAATCAACACGTGTGCGGGGTGGAGATGATCGGCGTCATGGTGGACGGCGGCTTCTCCCACTCCAGCGTCGTACTCCGAGGCAGGCCTGTCGTCACTGGCAGGCTTGGTCTCTGGTGTCAAGGGAGATGTCATTTCGAAAGACGATATTAAATATTGACGTGATGGTGGCTCGATCGGGCTGAGCTACGCTCTTAAGATACCCAGCGATGCCGACCTCGACCGACACTCGAGCGCAACCCGACGCACATCCTATCTACCGTTACCGGTCGGCCTCCATCACCGCACATAGCTGCTCTACAACAACGCATCTTTCATATCATCACCTACCTCTAGACTTCACACGCTGCAAAATACCTCTCCAACAGCGCTTTTGATTTCCACATCCGACCGCACGTTGCCCCACCTAGCTACCCCACGATACCCCGCACCAGCGGTCAAGTCCTCAACAACAGATCCAGATTCCAAGAGCCAAAGCAGCAACAAGACGGACGAAAGGATCGAGTGCGTCTACACGCCGAAGAGCGTGGCGTGTATAATATATCTCTTACTCTCTCCCCTCCCTTCTCCACCAAAGGATCCCTTCCGTCAACGTTCTGGAACTGCGTGTAGGACTGAGACGGAAACACACACAGCACAGCCTTCATTCCTCCAGGTCGCCAGAAGGACCAATCTGTCGTCTTCCGGGAAGGACGGAAGATGCTCGTTCATGATGAGTTTCAAGCCGGTGCTCCCTTCGCTGATAAGCGCGCAGGCTCCATTGTTCTGCCTCGCAGATACGAGAGATAGGCGTGTTTTGCGGTTTGAAGGGGTACCGGCAGTATCAGGTCAGGTCAGGTCAGGTCGTGTCGGGGCGAGTCAGGCTGGGCTAACCACCACGGCAATGTGGGGTGAGGCGAGTTTTGGTCAGGTCGTGTTCAAAAACCTGGTTGGAACTTGGAACACGCGTTTGTGTTTCGTTCGCTATATTTAACAACGAAGTAGCCTTTCCGCCATCGCTTTTTCCACCTCCAGTTACCCTTCTTCGAACTTTCCACATCGATACCTTTCCGTTCAGGAAAAGAACACTCGAGGCCTTCTCCTACACAAACAAACACCATCACCACCATGCCCAAATACATCCTCACGGGCTGCGATGGCAATCTCGGCAGCGTAGCCGCCGGCCACGCTCTATCCCTCGCCGGCCCCGGCGACGAGCTCGTCTTCACCAGCTACAAGGCCGACGCCATCTCCAAAGACGTCCGGAGCGCGTGGGAGGCCAAGGGCGTGACGCTCCTCACGCTCGACTACGACGACCCGGCGAAGCTGGAGCGGGCCTTCGCCGGGGCCGAGGCCGTGTCCTTCATCTCGACGTGGCTGATCGGGCAGGGCCGCCGCACCCAGCACAAGAACGTCATCGACGCCGCCAGGGCCGCCGGCGTCAGGCGCATCTGCTACACGAGCTTCGTGGGGGCGCACCTGCGGGACGAGGTCGACAGGGACGAGGACATGCCGTTTCTGCCGCGGGACCACGCCTACACGGAGAAGCTGATCAGGGAGAGCGGGCTGCAGTACAGCATCCAGCGGAACTATCTGTATATGGATAACATCCCGCAGTTCTTCGCGCCGTCCTTCGAGTTTTGCGGGGACAAGTGGCTTTGCAACACCGGCGGTGCCAAGGGTGCGTTCGTCGCGCGTGAGGACTGTGGACGGGTGCTGGGCGCGTTGCTGATGGGCAAGGGCGAGCCTAATACGGTGTATGCCGTCACGGGCCCCGAGCCTATCACCTGCAAAGACGTCTTTGACTGGATGGCGGAGCAGACGGGATACAAGGGCGAGTTTGTGGACGTGTCGGATGAGGAGCTTGAGCAGTGGTGGAAGGAGCGAGGACTGCCGTATGATGTTTACGGGGACTTCTCCAAGCTACCGTGCAAGCTTTGCATGTACGACTTGCTTTGCTCTGGTCAGATGGTAGCTTGGGGACATATGAGCGAGGTTACGGACTCGGTCGAGAAGTTGACGGGTAGAAAGCCTCTTCCGTTCAAGGAGGCGTTGTTGAAGTACAAAGACATTTTCCCCCGGCCCAAGTAGACTTGGATATACGGTTTGCCAAGTCTTATCAGGATGTTTTTCATGTTTTTCCGAGATGCAAGAGCAACTCCTATGTCATTGTTATTTCCACGAATAGATCAAAGTCGAATTTGCGCCTTTCCTACTGCAGCCTTCCACATGACTATGCCCGTTGATACCTAGTCGGACCCATACCACTACCGCCATGATGCGTACAGCCACAGTCGTGTGCGGTCCGATGCACGGAATCCAAGGATTGTTCCTCATCCGTCGCTTTCTTCCGCGGTTGCGGTGGATACTTACATGAGGTTCCATTTAAAAGGGAGTGACGTTCATGGGGAGAAACAGCGGCCGGTGAGACAGTTGGGTGACGGATACGTGTGATCTACCGAGGATGAGATGGAGGTGGGCGATGATGAAGACTGGGTGAGGGGATTTCCGCGTTCGGTATCATAAGGTGATAATGGTGAAGTTGGGCTCTTGGACAAAAGCACAAGATGTGACGTCCTTCTCTTTTTTCACGTGATGTTCCACCAAGTCAACATGTTCGCGGTTGTTTGCAGTGAGGGGTTTGCTTTAGCGCTGGGTGTCGTGTGCGCTAGCGGTTGTCCTTTCTTGGAGCGTACTAGCTTCGGCCATGGTCCGCTCGTATGACGACGATGGCTTTCGTCACAAAGAGACGGATTGCCGCTGTCTTTGCACTTCTTCAGTCGTGCGCGCCTTGCAATCATCAACTAGCACTGGAGTCTGGAGGTAGAAACACCTGAAGAACAACCCTCACCATCATGAGTTCTCCAGTGATCTTGTACGATTACGGTAAGTCAAGACGGCGAAAGACAGCTGCACTGTGGAACTGAGTAAACGAACAGACTTCTCGCCCTTCTCGCAGAAGATGCGGTACCTGCTGCATCTCTCGGGGGTCGAGTTCCAGCGGGTGGACCAGCCGGTGGTGCTCCCACGTCCAGATCTGCAAGTGCTAGGCATAACTTACCGGCGCATCCCGGTGCTGGCCATGGGCAAAGACGTGTTCTGCGATACGTCGGCCATGGTTGATGTCGTGCAGCGGCGATTCCAAAAGGTGCGAGCCGGGCGTGCTGACAAGGCATTCGAAGCATTCGCGGCGCGCTTCTTCGAGAACGTGATTCCGGCGGTGCCAGCCAAGTTCTCGAACCCGTCCTTCAGGCGAGATAGAGAGACGATATTCCGTAAGTCTTGTTCTTTTTTGTTTTCTATAAGAGTACCTCGCTGACGGCTGCACCGGGGTAGCTGTGCTTGGCCGGCCCGACCTCGAGTCGCTGCGGCCGAGTGCGGTGGGCGGAGTGGTGTCGATGCTGGGGGTGATTGAAAACGAGTTCCTCGGCGGTGGCGGCCAGTACCTCGGCGGAGACGAGCCGTCTATGGCAGATGTGTACGTCGCGCCGCTTGTTCGATGGGCGTTGCAGACGATCGGCCTTGGGGACGAGGCGGGGATGACGAAGGAGGACTTTCCACGAGTGCATTCCTGGTAAGCACGGCCAGCAGCCATGTGCAGGCGGCCACGGCTTGGCTAACGCGTGGTCAACAGGGTGTCGAGGCTGCCGGTGGTGCAGCCCGAGGCGATTTCGGCATTGGAGGCAGAGGTGCTGATCCTGGAGGCCGAGTACTCGGAGGAAAAGGCAGATGTGCCTCAGGCTGATCCGCTCGGCATCGCAGCGGGCGAGGAAGTGTCGGTGGAGAGTGCGGATGCGGCGCCGGGATGTCACCCGCAGGTGGGGCGGCTGGCGGGCTTGACGCGCGACGAGACGGTGGTCGAGCTGGAGAACGGCATCAGGCTGCACTTTCCGCGGGCCGGGTACATAGTGAGGCGGCGAGAGTGAAAAGAGAAGAAGCTTGTGGAGTTTACGTCAGGCTCGCTGTGGCCTTCCCAGGTAGTGGCTCGCTTGGCCGGGCCGGCGCCCTCTCGCACGCGCCTTCGCCCGCGTCTCTCGTCGTCGCAACCAACTTACTCACCTCCACCCACGCGCCCATCTTGCCCAACCGACGCTCCGGATCTGTCGGATCTGTGGTTGGGGCTTCGACCCTGGTCCAAGGCGGATGCCGTCCAAAAACTCGCGCATCCCCAAGAAACGCACCAAGACCTTTACCGGCTGCTGGACCTGCCGCTCGCGCGGGCTCAAGTGCGATGGCCAGAAACCCCGCTGTGACCGCTGCTGCCGCTCCAAGCGCGACTGCGAGGGCTATGGCATCCGCCTGCACTGGATGCACCCGGACGACAAGGGCCCGCCCCAGGGAATGCAGATGAGGCGCCTGTTCGACGACAAAGCCCGCCAGAACCCCACCTACCCGGACGCCTTTCTCGACCACACCCTCGAGTCCCTGGATGCCCTGCAGCGCCCCTGCGACGCCCACGTCCAGCCCTTTGGTGTCTTTTCCGTCGACGGCCGCTGCTCAGCCCTCGCCTCGCCCGCCGCTTCGTCGCCCGCCGCTTCGTCGCCCGCCAGCCCCAGCAGCTGTGGCAGCGTCGTGCTCTTCTCGCCGGCCGATTCCCCGGCCCATGCCTCGTCGCCGTTTGCTGCGAGCCCGCAGTCGATGGGCATGAGGCTGGTGGCCCAGCTGCAGCCCTACCTCGTCTCCGCTTCCCGCGAGGAACGCTTTCTCTTCGACCACTGGTCGTCCACCCTGAGCGCCATCTTCCTGCCCACCCCCCACCCGGACAACCCCTTCCGCAACGTCTTCATCCCGCTGGCTCTGGGCTCCGGCGACCTGACCGTCGCCCATCCGGGCCACGCCGCCCTACTACACGCCATGTACGCCATCTCGGCCTTCCACATGGGCGAGACGGACCCATCCCGGAAGCAGCACCTCTCGCTCGTCGCCATCAAGCACTACAAGACCAGCCTGGCCCACCTGCGCCGCTGCGTCGCCGACACGGGCGACCAGCCCGAGGCCGTCTTCGCCACCATCATCATCATGGCCTCCATCTACCTCGTCATCGGCAGCTCGTCCAACTGGCGCGTGCACGTCAAGGGCGCCCGCGACTGGCTGGCCTCGCAGAACGTGTCGTTCCGCAAAGGCTCCTTCGCCCCCGTTCTGTACCAGCTGTTCCGCTGCCTCGACGTCGTCGGCCACTGGCACAACAACGACGACAACACGGCGCCCCTCGGCACCATCTGCGGCGGTGACGACGACGACGACGACGACGACGACGACGAGAGAAGCCTCCCCGGTACCGTCACCGAGCTGCCCGACGAAGACGACGACTACACGTCGCCCGACGTCTACTGCCTGGACCGCTACTTCGGGCTGCCCAAGCCCATCTTCAACGCGCTGCAGAGCATGCACCGCTTCCGGCGCGCCGCGACCCCGCCGTCGGCGGCCGACATGGACGCGGTCGAGAGCGAGATCGAGCAGGTGCAAGGCATGGTGGCGGCGCTGCGGCCGTCGGACGGCATCAACGAGCGGCTGCTGGTGCACCACTACATGGTCTTCTACTACGCGTGCCGCATCAACCTGGCGCGCGAGTTCCGCGGCCTGCCGCCGGGCGAGGTGCAGGACCTGGTGGCGGCGGGTCTGCTGCACCTCGAGCTGACGTACAGCATCGAGCGCACCGTGGGCGTGTGCGGCATCAGCTGGCCGCTGTTCGTCGTCGCGTGCGAGGCCGAGGGTGCCGAGCTGCGCGAGCGCGTCTTCCGCATGTTCGCCAAGGGCTGGCAGATGGGCATCGGCAGCATCAAGAAGGCGTCCAAGGTCGTCGAGAGGGTGTGGGCCGAGAGGGACCGCACCGGCAACTGGGACACTGCCGAAAGGCAGCGCATCATGAAGAGCATGGGCATGGATCTGCTGCTGGCTTGAAGAAAGGACGTCTCGATGCATCAAAGACATTGCTTGCACGGGCAAACCGGAAAGAGTAGCTCGCCGCTCCAGCAGCCATGGCCACGGAACCGCGTCTGCTTTGGCAAAGGCTTTGGGCGCAACCAAGATCCGAACGCGGCATGTGCTCAGACGCCTCTGATCGTGCCTTGCAGCAACGATATGGCGCATGACGGATGTACACTCGCTTGGCCGCCGGATGACTTTCGTGGGGAACCATGCGCCGTTAGCATTTGAAAAACAATTGAATTACACAACCTCTCAGCTCCTGCGTCAAGCAAATAATATACCCTCACCCGACGATTGCGCCGGGCCGCACATGACAAGCTCGGCCCCACCAGATGAGCTGGTGGCCTTGACCTAACAAGATGCTGTCTGCACTTCGCAATCTTGTCCTCCGGTGCTCTACAAGTGAAGACGGTACACGCCTCGGCATTCGCCGTTTGGACAGTCTCCAGCTTCCGTCTCCGGACGTGGTGAAGGTCGTTGATGAACAATGGCAGCACCTAGTCCTCCACTGTTTCTGCTGTTTCATGGTTTTATAAACTTTCACCGGATCCTGTTTTGCAACCGATACGAGTCAGTCAGTCGATTACGCAGGGAAGCGATAACGTACCACCCTCGAAATCTTAACGTACCACCCCCCCCCCACTTAGTGGTAATTAGCGCAGATCGCTCGGTAATAACGAATGCATAATATATACCTTTATTATTTTCGTTATAGACGAGTTCTTAGTAGTACTTATATATATTAGTATTATTACACTTATTCGTTGTTAACGAAGGGAGAGAATTTATTATATAATTTAAAGCTATCTACTCGCTAACCTAATCTTATCGTTTACACTAAAGCCTAAACAGTAATTAATAAGAATAAATAGTAGGCGTACGATACGTAACTAAGGCCGTTAGAGTAGGCCTAATATTTAAGATAGCGTAAACGATATTCTTTATAAGATTACGCTACTTTTAACCTATCGCCTAGCGCTTCGTTAGTAACGAACGGATTTAGAGTTAATATTACGTATCTTAAACTTATTTAAAGCCGTCTACCGCTTAGTCTAACTACTAATCGAGATTAGCTAAGCCTCTAAGAATATATTCTTATATACGTAGCTATAGAGTAAGGTGTCTTCGTCTAGAACGATTTAAGTATCGTAGATAATATTATTTTCGGTAGATATAGGGGTATTTAACGCTTAGTAGATATAGTACTTTAGCGAACTATCTATAGAATACTAGAAAGTTATACTATAATTTACTCGTTAGTAACGAATTATAATAAGAAGGGCTTATTCTTATCGAATAAACTTCTCTATTCTATTTTAAGTATTTTAAGACTTCGTATACGGGCTCTAACGAGCCGTATACGCTTAAATCTAACTTTCTTTATAGTTAGTTCGTTTATAACGAAGGGAAGGGGTTAAACTTACGCCTTTCTTAGATTACTTAAGCTCTACTATAAACCGTCTATACGCCTAGCCTAATTAGCCGTATAGAATCTTAAAACTTAGCTAGCTTAGCTAAAGCCGCTCTAGAAACTAGTATCGATAGCTAGTTATCTCGCTCTTCGTTTAGTACGAATACTATATAAGTACTTATTATTAGCTAGCCTTCGATAATAGCGAGTATAAGTAGCTATTTAGCTATACGGTCTAAGAGCGCTAGCTACTCTATCGTACTACTTACGCTCGCTATTAATAAGTACTACGCTACTTACGCTCGCTATTAACGAGCGCTAGCTATTCGGTTATATAGCCTAGAAGCGCTATTAATAAATACTAGCTACTTAGCTAGCTACTTACGCTCGCTATTAACGAGCGCTAGCTATCCGGCCGTATAGCTTACGAGCGCTAGCTATTAGGCTATATAGCTTATACTCGCTATTAACGAGTACTAGTAGTATAGTTAAATAGCTAATTTTATAGCTAAATAGCCGAATAGCTAGCCCTCGCTACTAGCGAGTATAAGCTATACGGCCTAGTAGCTAGCGCTCGTAAGCTATATAGCTAAATAGCTAGCGCTCGTTAATAGCGAGCGTAAGTAGCTAGTATTCGTTAATAGCGCTTCTAGGCTATATAGCCGAATAGCTAGCGCTCGTTAATAGCGAGCGTAAGTAGCGTAGTACTCGTTAATAGCGAGCGTAAGTAGTATGGTAGAGTAGCTAGCGCTCTTAGACCGTATAGCCGAATAGCTACTTATACTCGCTATTACCGAAGGCTAGCTAATAATAAGTACTTATATAGTATTCGTACTAAATAAAGAGCGAGATAACTAGCTATACGCCCTTACTAGTATACGGCTATAGAAGAACTACTATTCGCCCGAAACGAATATCTATTAGTATTATTACGGTGGTACGATTAGATATATTAGTAGAGTAGATTCGCTATAGGCGAATACTACTAGTAAAGCGAAATAATACTATAGTTCGCTATAAGCGAATACTACTAGTAGAGCGAAATAATACTATAATTCGCTATAAGCGAATACTATTAGCGGGGCGAAATAATACTATAGTTCGCTATAAGCGAATACTACTAGTAGAGCGAAATAATACTATAGTTCGCTATAAGCGAATACTATTAGCGGGGCGAAATAATACTATAGTTCGCTATTAGCGAAGTAGTAATATTATATAGGCATCGTTAGTAGCGAAGAGAAAAATACTTAAAAGAATAGTAGAGCTCGTTACTAGATTAGCTATACTAGAGTTTATACTCGTTCTAGACGAAGATACTAGACCTTCCGCTATATTATAGTAGCTAGTAGCTATAGTAGCCGTAATAGCTATAGTAGCTACCGTAGCTATAGAGGCTATAAAGACTATAGAGAGAAGATAATATAAACTCGTTTAAACCGAGTAGGGGTAGAAGATAGAATCGGTAGTAATACTATATTATTTCGATCTACTCGTTCCGAACGAAGAGGATCTCTTCTTATACTATATACTCTAGATCTTATTAGGCGTGCCGATACTTTTAGTTCTACCCTTTATCGGCGCCGAATAATCGTAGGTTTATAGTAGACGGGCGTCTCTAGTTCTATCGTTAGTACCGAGTTTCTATTAATCTACTAGTATTAGTCGAATAACCGAGAATTAAGAAAGTATCTTCGTTCTTATAGAAGCGTAAAGAGTATCTAATAATATAGTCGGCTATATATCGCCTTAAACGAACTAGTATATTATCTTCGTTAGAAACGAGGGTCGGACTAGCTCTTAATCTAATTTTACTTAGCCTTAGTAAGCTTAAGAGAGATTTCTATTAATACGTAGCGGTAAATCTAACTCTAGTAATAGTTCTAGAACTCGCTATAAACGGTAGTTAGACGCTAGATATTATTCTTCGCTTCGTCGTAAATAATTATCGTAGTAGTAAGCGCCTACTATATCTCTAGCCTACGAATAAGCGTAAAGACGTTACTACGAGAGTTAATAATCTACTTCTTAATCTAGATATAAGCGCCTTTAATACGAGACGTAGTAATATTATCGAAATATAGATAGACCTTCGTCTATATTAAAATAAATATCTTCTTCTATAGCTACTACTCCGCCTCTAGATAGTTAGAAATACGAGTATCGAGTCTCTTAATACTCGCTATAGCCGAAGTAAACTCCTCTTCGATCTAGACGTTATAGTACGCTTTAAAACGATCTATAATCTTCTTCGCCCTCTTCGAATTTATCTAGTTAATATTCTACTAGGATTAAGAATGCCTCTCTCGTATATAGATAAGAATATCCTTATTAATATACTAATAGTAGAGGATAATTAAAATACCCGTAAAGCTACGCTTTACTATATTAATATAACTAATATCGCGGTCTATTAAAATAACTCTTAGAAGTAGTACTTTATTTTTAACGAGAATCTTATAGAGGCTTAAAAGCGCCTAGTAGTATACCTTCTTCGTTTAAAACGAAAAAAGACTAATACTAAGCGGAATTATTCGGTTATTTACTATTATACTAACTATATTTAGTAATAGTATAGTAGTAGTAATACTACGGTTTTCCTAGGTTTCTTATCGGGCTCTCGCTAGAGAGTAAGGGATCTCGTTAGTTCCTACTCTAGTAGGCGGGAATCCAGACGTTCCGGTCCGGAAGAAGTAAAAAAGAATATATATCGACTACTAAAATTATAACCTCCGACTTAAATATATAAACTCCCGTAATACTTCCCTCGGGCCGAGTTCCTCCCGGCTAATTCTCTAAAGTCCCTGCCGCCTTCCGTAATAGCCCCGCTATAATAGCCGGTTATATCTATTCGTCTTAAACGTAAGATTAATAAGTAGAATATCTAAATTAGTACGTTAGAGCTTAATCGTCTCGGAAGAAAGCGTAAGTAGGAAATCTAGTTAATACTCGTTATTAACGATAAAGCGGAAGGTAAAGTTCTTTCGTTAAAGACGAGAGAGTAGTATATTTACTATATTCTCGTATATAAGCTTCTAAAGGCGATTAGCCTATCGAAGATTATAGATATTCTATTACGTTACGAGCGTAGTAGGATATCTATTTATAATAGACGTAAAAGACTAGTTCGCTTAAATACTACTAAGCTACTACTCTTAAATAAGCTCGATAAGCTATAGTATCTCGACTCGTTACCGACGACGCTAAGAGGCGAAGATACGGCTATTAATATTAAACGGGTAATTATAATAAAAGCTTAGATTTTCTTATTAATAACGAATCTTCTATTCGCTATTAACGTTATTACGGTCGGTAGTAACGAAGAGAAAGCCTATCTTATAATCTATACGAATAGAATCTCTTCTAGAACGGCGACTATTTAGCTAATTTAGCCTAGACGAATAGTATTCGTCTAGATAATTATTATCGTCCGGATTAGAATTATTACGGGTACTATTCTTTCGCCCCTTATAATTATAGATAATATATATCTAATAGACGGCTTTATTTATCTTCTTCTACTTACGCTTATAGAAGTTTATACTATACGTAAGGCCCTAGTTATAATAAGCTCTTTCGCTATTAGCGAAGAACTCGAACGTCTCTATTAATAGAAGCTTAATAATAAAGACCTATTCGCCCTCGTCCGTTATAAACGAAGAATAAAGAAGCTAGAGTAAAACTCTATTATTCTTAATAGCGATATTAGAGTCCTCTTCAATTTTACTAAGGGCTATAATATTCTTCTTAAACTTAAATTCGAACTCTAACTCGTTTCTAGTAAAGATATTATTACCGGTAATACTAGCTTTATTATTAACGAGCTAGTATCTATCGTCGAACTCGCTAGTAAATCTAAGATCGATAATCTCTATAGTAGTATAGATAGAAGGCGCGTCTTCGCGTTTATTAGAATCGAGCGGATCGGGCGGTAATAGTAATTAGCGGGCGATATATATACTCGAAATACGTATATATCTCTATCTAGGCGGTTCTCATCTAATACGTATAATATAGTATATCGCTTTATTTAGAACGTAGTCGGATATACTAGTCGGTATAAATAAAGTATTATTACTAGAGGCTTAAGGCTTAAGACTTACGAGTTACGTTATTTAATAACTATAAGCTATAAGGACTATAGCTTCGGTCGCACCGAAGTAGAGTAGAAGAATTTATAGCGTGGTATATACGTTTAAAATACTATAATTATAGTAGTAAGTATTATTATTATATTCGTTATTACCGAACGTGCTATACTAATCGCTACTAAGTGGGGGGGGGTGGTACGTTAAGATTTCGAGGGTGGTACGTTATCGCTTCCCATTACGTAGAGCTGATTTCTGCAGAGTGATTGGCCGCTTCGCATGTATAAGCAAGCTGCGGCCCAATTCCGCTCTGGCTTCGAGGAGAACTCGGCGGCCAGCACGAGTCGGGCGGATTGTTTGGGCTAACTTGGACGGACCACGTCGGGCATTCCGCGGCAAACACCAACCCACGCCAGATGGTTAGACCACCGTCTTGCACGTTCTCCGCCGTCGTCGAACGTCTGGCAACAGCCCGCCATTCCCGTTAGCGGATAGCCGCATGGTCTGTCCCCTCCCCCCCGGCGCCATCCCGACGGCGCAAATAGTCAAAGCTTGACCACCCTCGTCTGGTTGCGCCGCGTGCCTGGTGCAAGCTCGTATCTGCTCCTTGCTGCCACCGACCCGCGCCTTCCATTCTAGTCATGGCTCATCTCTGGCGCACGATTGCTATTGCGAGGCGACTCGAAAGCTTAGAAATGCACCGGGTGCGATGCGTGCCTGAACATACAAGTGCAAAGCTGCATCCACCCACCTGATATTCCACGCGCATCAACCTTAGTTTCATCGCCAGCATGGTTGCGAGATGCTTGGTTCCTTGCCTCTTGGCGTCGGCTGCCCTGTCCTCTGCCTTCGACCCTCAACTAGGCTTCAACAGCTTTGTCGCCGTCGAGAATCGCACCCTGGATGAAATCCACCAGGCTGCCCTGAAGGAGGGTGGTACCCTCACCGTCTGGCATGGCGGGTGAGAGAGACAAACCCCCCGATTGACGAGCCATGTACTGACTCGTCCAACAGCGATGAGAAGAACCAGCAGGACTCGCTCAAAGAGGCTTTCGAGGCCCGGTTCCCCGGCATGACGCTGAACATCACCGTGGATCTGTCCAAGTACCACGATGTCAATGTGAGTCTCATCGAACTGCCCCACCCACCTACCGAGCAGCCATTCCTAACAGGCGCCGCCCCGCAGCTCGACCGTCAACTCGCCACGGACAGCCTCTATGTCGACAGCATCATCCTACAGACGCTGCACGACTACCCACGATGGAAGTCCCAAGGCGCGCTCCTGCCGTACAAGCCGCTCGGGTGGGACGAGGTGCACGACGAGTACAAGGACCCGCAAGGGTTCTACGCAGGCATCGGCATCTTTGGCTGGTCCAACGTGTGGAACAGCGAATACGTCTCGGACGGGCCCAAGGAGTACGCCGACTACCTCAAGCCCGAGTTCAAGGACAAGCTCGTGCTGACCTACCCCAACGACGACGTGAGTCTTTTTCTTGGACCTGCACTTCCCTCTTCGGAGCTCGGAACACTGACGCGATTTCCCTCAGGACGCCGTCCTCTACGCCTTCGACCTCATCCTCCGCCACCAAGGCGTCGCGTGGTTCGACGCGCTCCTGACGCAAAACCCGCGCTGGGTCCGCGGCACCGCCACGCCGGCCACGCTCGTCGGCTCCTCCAACGGCAGCTACACGGCCACCTTCACCACCGCGCTCGGCCTCTCCCCTCCTTCCCCTTTCAACATCTCCTTCCCGTCGCCCGCCGGCGGCAGCGACGGCGGGCCCTCGTTCGTCACCTGGCCGCAGACGGCCGCCATCCTCACGGACGCGCCGCACCCGGAGAGCGCCCGGCTGCTGCACTCGTACCTGCTGACCAAGGAGCGCCAGGCGGCGGCGGGCGGGTGGAGCGTCAGAAAGGACGTCGCTGCGCCCGGGGGGTACCCGGCGGACGCGCTGGACATGCCCGGCACGGACCCGACCGAGTTTGCGAGGTGGATGGCGGATCGCGCCGCGGTGGAGCGGCTGAGGTTCTTCTTCGAGGACAGGATCGGGACGGCGGTGGGGGAGAGCCCGTTGGAGGATGGGATTTGAGATTTTGAAAGGGGTGGGGTGGGATGGGGTGGCGTGGCGAGAGGCTGACGGCCACGGCACGGCCCTTTGCGAGGTTGTGTCGGGGTGGTGCTTGGTGAGGGACGGTGTATGTACATATGTACGTATGTATGTTTGTATGTGTGTTTTTTTGGTGTTCTTTCGTTTGGATGCATGTTGTATATATGTAGTTGCTTCCGTGTTCATACAAACAACCTAGGTGTTTCGATGACTTTTTCGATTTCTCTCATACGATGTATCATTGAAAATGCTCGTACAGGCTCGGGAGGGTGTTGCGGTGGATGACGTCCAGATTGGCCCAGTCCAGACGGGTCGAGAAGGATTCGCCATGCATCGCCATCTCTTGTGGCGCCGTGTCCAAGGGAAACGATTAATTTAAGTCAGTCTCTAGGCAGTGCTATGCGGGCATGTCGGCCATTCGCGGGAAACACGGCCGAGCACTTATCGTCTGGTGCATACCGAGCGGGGTAGCTGCAGTGCTACGTCGAGTAATGAGGTCACGCTTTACACGCCACATGGGCTTCTGCCCTTGGTATCACGAAGCTTTGGATCACTCAATTATTACAGAAAGAAAGAGACAGCAGTGCCAGTAAACAGCAATTCCACCTACAGTCCCGTTCACTCAAAGGGTTTCTGTGCATACACCACATGCCTGACGCAAAGTTAGCACGTCCGTCCACCAGGAACCCAGGCTCGTTCGAACCCACATGTTATGCTGGATCCTCATCCTCGGGTTCTTCAGCTCCAGACGCAGCTTCGCCAGCAACACCTGCACCTCGTCGGCCGTCCACCCGCGCAGCTGCGTCATGGTGCGCATCGAGATGGCCTCGAGGCCCTCGAGGAACTGGACGAGGTCGAAGGCGCCGATGCGCTTGAGCCCGGCGTCCCGGGGCCAGGTGCCGGTCGGGATGGGGAACAGGCGGTGCGTGACGTTTGCGAAGCCCGCGGCCGCGACCCACCCTTCGAGCTTGGGGCCCGGCTCCGGGTCGAAGCCGGCGGCGGTGATGCCCGCGATCAGCTCGTCGCACCACCGGTCGAGCGGCGACCCTGGCGAGAAGTCGCCGCCGTGCGTGTAGAAGCGCATCTCGAAGTCTTGGAACTCGACCCAGCCGCCCGGCTTGGTGTGTCTGTGATGAGACGTGATCAGTAGAGTAAGTCGTCTTCCCCCCTCGATCGAAGTGGACTGGTATCGAAAGTGCGGTCGATGCCTTACTGGAATGCTTGTCGCATCAGGCGCGGCCAGTCCTTCAGAGACCCCGCCATGAAGCGGCAGTGGATGTAGTCGAACGGCGTGCTGTACAGCCAATCCTCCTCCACGTCGTCGATTTCAAACTTGACGTTCGGCGGCACGCTGGTGATCAATCAGTCAGCTCCTCCTCCGTCAGTTTCGCGCAGAAGATGATGTTTGATATGGCTTGGGAGCGGGCAGTAGTAGGTAGTACTTACAAGGACGGCTGCACCGGGCTCAGGTCGTTGCCGACCACCTCAGCCGAGGGGTAGGCCTCGGCCATCTCCATGGCCCAGATGCCGGTCCCGGCGCCGATGTCGAGGATGCGCTGGGGGTTCTCGCCGATCGGGGCCAGGTGGAGCTTGCCGTCGCAGCGGAGCAGGACGATGTGGTGGTAGAGGTCGAGCCGGTCCAGCTCCTTCTCGTCGTTGGGCATCCAGTACGCTTGCGGAAACGTGTGATATCAGCGCATGCGCTCATGACGTGTAAAAGAAAAAGAAAAGAAAAAACACGTGTAGGACTGCTACATTTGTCTTTGATGTCGGCATGGTACCTGCGCCCGTTCTCGTACTTGTACTGGAGGATGCTGGACTTCAGTGACGTGGTATAGCTCTCTCTGCAGGCGGCGCTGTCAGCCGTATGTCTGGACAGATTCGGGGGCGGTGACGCACGAATCGTCACCCAGGGCTGACTCTTGTCCGTCCAAGGCATCCTGGTTGTCTGTGTAAGCAATGCAAGCGCGTATGTACATCAGGGGGTCGGTCGACTGTACCGGATCGAGTTCAATCACCTCGTGTTGCACGGGATCGCTCATCTTGCGGGCCTGCAGTGACGGTTTTACTGTTTCCCTGACAGAGCTTTGGGTTGGAAAATAACGAAAAAGAGAAAGGGAGGCGGGCGGAGGGGCGGGCGGCCGACCATATAATAATAGACATTAATACCTTGTCGTGTCACTGTGCCGTACGGGCATGTGGCACAGCCGCCATAAGCGAGGCTCGCTACGGGTGTGCTGGAAGACAAGGTGGGAAACTTGGAGCTATTCGTGTGGGATCAGCGGGTGATATCGTTCTCACTTGCATTTTCGGGGCCGAAAAAAGGCGTAAAAGCCGTGCTAAACTAGGGCGTTTCACTCAATGGCCAGATCAAAGGCACAGCAGGTCTTGGGACATTTGTGTAATTCGTCACGTTGGCTGGACCATGCGGTCGGGACCCGACACTCTGGATCTCGGCGCGACTTTTTTGTCTCGACCGTGATTGGATTATCATTATCGAGGGCAACATTGGCTGATGTGTTAGATTCCTTGCATCCTTGATCTTGGACTTTTCGTCTGCGGGCACCGTTTTCAAGTATATATGGATAACATTGTTTAGGTCTACATCTACGTCCGGATATCTTGTTCTAATACCCCCATCAAGGATCGCCTGAGGTGCTCGCAATGTGCGTAAAAACATGCAAGCTACATCAAATCCCCTATTTCTTGTACGACATCTTCTTCGCCTCGCCGTCCTTGCCCTCAAACTTCCAGTCCTCCTCGTAGGCGGAGATGGCAAACCACACATATGTCTCCACCGTCTTCAGCGCATCCGCCGAGACGTACTTGGCGAGCTGGTAGGAAGCGAGATAGCCATAGACGGCAGCATCGTCGCGCTTGGGGACCTTGTTGTCCTTGTCCTCCCACTCGGGCTCGTCGTCCTTCTTGTCGGCGAACTTGACCTTGTCGACGTCCTCGAGGTCTTGGAACAGGTGCAGCATCTCGTGCAGCAGCGTGTCGGCCAGCGAGCGCGTCTTCTCCATCGACTTCCTCATCGTCTTGCCCTCCTCGGGGGTGGCCAGCTTGGTCTGCAGCTTCTTCATGCCGCCGTCGCAGATGAAGATGGCGTTTGCGTCCATCATGGTCAGGGCGAGGGCGTTGTCGCCGCCCTCGTCGCAGGGGTGGTCGAGGTCCTTCTGCGCCTTCTTCTTGTTGATCTTGGTGCTGGGGATGTGGTGGGCGTCGTCCTTCTTGCCGTCTGCGTCCTTGGCGTTGTGGAAAGGGAAGACCCAGGCGCCGTACTTGCCTGTGGTGAGAAATGGACTGGTCAGCAGGGCCGGCCCGCAGGGAGTAAGTCAGATGGCTGGTACTTACCGGCAGGCTTTTCCTTCTTGTCGGAGTCACGAAGCTTCTTGCCCGCCTCGAGGGTATCGATTCCCTTCTCGCCGCAGAACAGCTTCGGCTTGTCGGCGTCTCTTGCTGCACCCTGGGAACCCTTCTTATCGGCGATGGCCTTCAACTTGTCTGTGCCTTGGATCAGCGACATGGGGACGAGTAGTGGTTCTGGCACGAGTGGTAAACATACCCTGTACATTAGTGATCTTGGCCTTCATGGCGTCGTCAGGCTCCGTCTTGGAGTCAACTTCGATGTTGAACAGATCCTTGAGAGACTGTTGATACTTGTCCCACTTGAGCGCCTAACGCCGCCAGTTAGCATCCAGCCGGAAAGAAGCGGCGGTGCCGACGTGGCATACCTTATTTTGTTCGTCGGCAGAAGCATCGTTGCCGGCTTTGGGTCGAGCAGACTTGAGCAGGTCCAGTGCAGTGCTGCCTGCAGCTGCTATCTCCAAAGCCTGGAATGCCAGTTGGTGATTAGCAAAGCCATGACGGGAAAAGGACCAAGGGGGTTACCGACCTGGTCATAAGCCTGGTTGATGTCGTCAATGTGTTCATCGCAACCACCCTTCTTCAACTTGCCCGGCCACGGGTAGAGGACGGGGGCGGCAGCCCGCTTTGCGAATTCGCTCAAGCCTCCAGCTGTGAGGTCGGTTGCGAATGAGGACTGGTTGGAGTATGGAGGAGCGGGCCAGGCAAAGCTGAGAGGAAGGACGGAAAGGAAGAGCAAAAAGTTCATCTTGATGAGTTTTGGCAGTTTATCAACAACGGATTGGATTGAAGTGCGTATGAAGTCTGGGTTTGGAATGATTCTTGAGGGTACGTCCAAAAGGTCCCTCTTATAGCCAAAGACATGTTCTTTTCACGGATGTTCAGCCTCACGGACGGCAATCATGTTTGAGTTGGTGTTGTATAGGCATCCAAGCTGGACACCAGCTGCTGCTATTTTTTCCGTCTCGAGTTCCACAAAGGGGGGCCTGGAGAAGCAAAAGCACAGTCGGAGTTGCATTCTCCGATGCGGCACAGCCGCCGATCGCAGCGTTGTTGCAACGACAATCTCCACTGAAGCGCAGTCAGCAATACCAATGCACATCTTGGATCGGCGTGGGGGCGGGGGAAGACTAAAATTAGTGGCAGATGCGGCTGTACCGAGTACAGATACATAAGTGGAGCGAGCGTCTCGCCAAATAAGTAATCTGCATTCCTCGAACAACCTCCGTCCGCGTCGCAACAATGACTCGCCCGGTAGGCCTGGTGCAGCTGCACTTCCGCCCCGGCAGCCGCTTCTCAGACGTCGACGCTCCGGTCAAGCAGCTCCTCGTCAACATCACCGAGTCCTTCGAGAATGGCAATGGCTACATCTTCGCCGGGCCGCACCTCGACGACCCGGAGAAAGCAGTGGTCATGATATGTGCGTATCCCGCTCAACAAAATCAGCGCCGGCCAGGAACTCACACGACCAAACTCAGGCTATGGCGAGGAGACGGACGAAGCCGCCGCCCGAGCTGCTTTGAACCCATCATCGTCCATCTACGCGCCGATAGCACCTTACCTCCAAGCCGCACCGCGCGCCGACGTCGTCAGCTTCACGTGGCCACCCCCGACCACCTATGGCCAGCGCCGCGAGCGTGTGCAGGAGCTCGCCCTGATTCGCATCCCAGCCCGACAAAGGACGGCCGATGACGACGGCGACGACGAGAACGACGATGATCATGACAGACACGACTGCAGGGGATTGACCAACGCCAGCGACGACGACGACGACGACGAGACAACAGTCAAGAACAAAGAAAACGACGACGATGACGACCATTCCAAGAAACCGATAGACGACAAACCATCTTCCAAAGAAGAAGAAGATGATGATGATGATGATGATGAAGAAGAAGAAGAAGAAGAAGAAGAACTCTTCTTTTCCCCCTCCCCCTCCCCCTCCTCATCACCCACCACCGCCGCCCCCCTCCGCGCCCTCGACGACTTCTTCTCCACCGCCCTCTGCAGCAACGCGCACCGCGGGCTGGGAGACCTGGCGACGCACAGCCAAGGCAGGAGCAGCAACAGCAGCAGACGTGACAACAACAACGACGACGACGATGATGACGATGATAAGCACCCCTCGGTGGTGCTGCACGCGTGGAGCTGGGCCGACGAGGGCGCGATGCGGCGGTTCAAGGACGCGGGGGCGGCGAACGCGTACGATCGGTGGGAGCGGAGGCGTTTGGACGACGGAGTCAGGGGAGAAGCGGGACGGAAGGAGGAGGAAGAGGAGGAAGAAGAAGAAGAAGCGGATGATTTGTGGCAGACGGGCTTCGTGGGGGCGGTGGAGGAGTTGCGGCGGGGGGGCGCAGAGGTGGAGGTCGTGGCGGCGAGGATGCGGCATTTCCAGCCGGTTTTGGGGGCGCTGTCGTATGGGGATGAGTGAGTGGGTGGGTGGGATGTGAGTGTTTGGGATTGGCCTGGAGAGGGCGTGTTGAGGGGGATGGTGCGGATTACAGAACAAGGCAGGGAAGGGTGGCAGGTATTTTCCATGACAGACAAAAATTATTGTTACTACCTTCTCTCGCTCGCTCGCTCACAGCGTATCGCACTTGAGCAAATTATACTCGATAAAGGCCGTGTCCAGCCTGAACCCCCACGCGCCTTCCCACTTCCTGCCGCTGCCACCATCTCCCTTCACCACATCGCCCTTGAACACGTCCTCGCTCGCCCACACGTCGCCCCTCACCGCGACCGGCTCCCACGGCGGCAGCGTGACGGCGGTGTCGAACAGCCTCACCTGCCTGTCGCAGCCCTTGGCCGGATCCGCAAACGACGGCTGGTTCGTCACGTTCACGAAGAAAGAAAGCGGGTACGGGCTTTCTCCGCCGGCAGCGCCCGGCGTGGTGAACTCGGTGGTGAACAGCGGGCCGGGAGAGAGGTCCTTGAGCACGTGGTTGGCGTTGAGGTGCGTCGTCGTCGTCGTCGTCGTCGGCGTGTCGAGGCCGGATGGCGCGTAGGCGTCGCAGGGCGGGTCGAAGGTGGCCGGAAAGACGTGGGTGCCGTAGGCGGCGGAGCCGGCGATGGCGATGGGGTTGGTGGCGGAGATGGCCTGGATGGGGGCGAGGCGGAACGAGGTCGAGCGGTTGGTGCCCGGGATGGAGATGAAGGGGTACTCGATCGAGATGCGCTGGGGCGGTCAGTTCAGCTGCTTGTCACGTGGGTGAGAGATGGGCGTACAGTGAAGTCGGGAATGCGGATGCCGGAGGCTTGTATGTCGTGGTCGAGCACGGCCTGGATGATAGCGGGATACATGTCGGCGGGGAAGGACGGCAGAAGCTCGCGGTAGGCGGCGGTCTGGATGGTGTACTTGTCGCCGACGATGCGCTGGGCTTCGGAGAGCGGAATGGGCAGCACGGCGAGAGTGCCGTTGATGGTGCCTGAAGGGTTGGTGCCGCCAGCCGTGGGGATGGGGTTGGGCTGCGATTCAGAGCTGCATGTCAGGCTGGCACCGGCGAGGCCGAAGCACAGCGTCGTGGCGATGGAGACGACGGCGGGCAGCATGGCGGGAGTTGCGGGGAGAAGAAGACTCGGTGGGCGAAGATTGGGAGGAGCACGAGGAGCTGACGTCTTTAAGGAAGCGGCTGGCGGTGTAAGAGGCTGAATTTAGTGAATACTAGCAGTATTGGCAGGTGACGCCATGGCACATAGATCCCCTTTCCCTTAAGTCTAAATTTTAGTTTGACGGCCGCTATGCCGCACTGAGGCGGCGGTGGCGCTGATCGCACTGACTAGGTATTCAGCTGGACGAGTGCCAGAAATACTAGCCATTCACCGCCGGGAGCCGCTAAGTAGCATCCATTGAACACCAAACATGCATCGACTACTACTACAGGCGGCGAGTGTCTGTACGACTTCCTCATGCGGCAGGCCCACAGCGCACCTGCCCGGCGACGCGCTTCTGCCTCGGTCGACGCTCCCCGCATTCACATCCATGCAACTTAGCTATGACTCGCCAGCAGGAATATTTATTTAACGTCAGCTTCGCCCGTCAGATCCACCCCGCCTAGACTCCTTCCTGCTCCATCTCCACGTAGACCATGGTTAACCTCAACTTCTCCACCGTCGTCCTGCTGCCGGCCCTGCTGGCCGCCGGGGCGACGACCACCATGGTCTTCAGCACCAACAACGCCACTTTCGCCAACATCACCGCCATCATCGACGACACCACCATCACCACCATGCCCGGCACAGACGGCCTGCCCCTCACCCGCGAGTGGACCGGCATCGCCCCGCTCGACCGCCAGTTCACCGTGCTGCTCATCTTCTTCTGGCAGCTGCTCGACGGCCGCCATCCCGCTGCCACCCTGCAAGCCGCGCACTTCTTCGGCCAGATGGGCGCCTACTGGACTCTGATGCAGCTGGAAGCAAAGCGCCAAGGCAACAAACACCGCATCATCGCATAGTAAGCTGACACCACGAGCACAACGACACCCGCTGACCCCTGCACCACCACCCCCGCAGCACCACGCTCATCGGCCTCCTCTACCAAAACATCTCCGTCGCCATCACCATCCCGCTCTGGTGCCTCCTCCACCTGCTCGCCCTCCCCTCCCGCACCAACTCTTCCGCCCTCACCGCCAGCCTGTCCTTCTCCCCGACCGAAGCCCGCATCCTCCCCTGGGCCATGACGCTCGGCTACATCCTCCCGACGGCCGCCATGTCGCTCCCCTCGCCCGCCCTCGTCCCGGCCCTCACCCAGCAGACCCTCGTCTCCGCCTGGCAAGTCTTCCCGCTATGGATCCACCTCTCCACCGCCGCCATCCTGCGCCCTTTCTTCTCCACCACCACCCCCACGACGTCCACCACGCCCACCACGACATCCACCCCCCACCTCTTCGCCTTCCTCCTCGCCACCATCCCGCACGCCGCCACCCTCTCCCTCTCCCTCAGCACCCTCCTCTTCCCCGCGCTCTTCCGCCCCTCCCTCGCCGCGTCCCTGCACCCCGCCGCCGTCTTCCTGCCCAAGTACTCTCCCGCTTCTCCCTCTTCCGCTTCTTCCGCTTCCGCCGCAGCCATCCCGCTGGAAGAAGGCGTCCACCGCTTCATGCAGTGGGACGAGTGCGTCAGCGGCGCCGCCGCCGTCGTGTGGGCCGCGACGCTGTACGTGCGGGACACGCGGATCAAAGGTAACAATGGCGGCGGGGAAGGAGGGATCGTCAGGTGGGGGTGGCTGGGGGTGGCGGCGAGGGCGGTGGGGTGGAGCGTCGTGGGGGGCCCGGCGGCGGCGGCGGTGGCGTTGGTCTGGGGGAGGGACGAGGTGTGTTTGGTGGGGGGGAACAAGAAGATGTGAGGATTTTTTTTATTTTCCTTTTACTTTTCACCTTTTATCTTTCGCTGCCTGGTTGTTGAGTGAGTGTATGTGTGGTGCATGTGTTTTTCTGTTTTTTTTCTGTGTTCGTGTTGGAGAGGAGAAACGAGCTTACTGATCATGAGTGTATATTTTGTGCGGGAGTAGTCGCGGTACTAGGACCGATGACGAGAGTGGAACGACAGCCACGGCGGCGGCTGATTCGGGCATTGAGGATTACTTTCTGCTGGACATGATGAAGTACATCAAACCGGACATTGAGGTTGTGAAGCTTTGACGGACTTTCTCTCTCTCTCTCTCTCTCTCTCTCTCTCTCTCTCTCTCTCTCTCTCTCTCTCTCCCGTCTCGCCTGATCGGCCATTCCGCAACTTTCGGTGGTTGGTTACTTTTCCACAAATGATGTACCGTGGGTTTTTAACACAAGCTGTCAGTAAATGTCCTACCCAGCTTTAGCGTAAATTCTCTTTCCCATAACATTCACACGGTTAGGCGATATCTCAGAGCTTAGATGTTAGGCTGCAACCATCGCCATCTTTGCGTATACCTCCATCTCACAGAACCAGCTCTTTGCGCTTCAACACACGTTCACCCAAACCAGCAGCAGCCGACCCACCCACTCAGAGGCGGTAAAAGAAGCCGAAAGACTTTCAAAAACAACAACACCAACAAATCACTGCACTCCCACATCATTGAGCGAAAGGATAAAATGCCATTTTTCTTCGGACTACATACCAAAATCGTGTCTGTCCTTACCCCCACTCACCCATCCACCCACCCACTTTCCAGTTCACACACACACACACCCCACCACCTCAAAGAAACCTCGGCTTAAACAACCTATCCCTCTTCTTTGACCCCCTCTTCGCCAACCTCTTCCCGCTCGCCGAGTCATCCTCCACCTCAGTCCCATTGACAATCGGATCAGGCGCATTCAGCGTCGTGTTATACGTCGCATCCTCGGGCAGCACCTCCATCTGCACGGTCGCGTTGCCCTCCCTATACGTGCTCTCCCGCGGCCCCACCGTCACATAACCACCGTCCACGACGACCTCGCCCGTCGCCAGGTCCCTCCGCGCGAGAGCGCGCTCGAACATCTCCAGCGCGGCGAGCGGCTGGTAAAACGGGACCTCGTGGCCGCTCTCGTAGATCCGGACAAACGCGAACGCGCCCGCCTGGCGCACCTGGCCGTGCGCGACGCCGTCGGACGTCTGCAAGTCGACGAAGCCGGCTGCCTCATATCCCGTCGCGGCGATGGCGTCGGCGACGGCCGAGCCGCCGAGCCAGTTGCAGTTGTAGTCGGCGTCGCCGAAGTAGAGGGTGACGCTGACGCCGGCATCGAGGAGGGCGCGGACGTGGTCGAGGGAGTGGACGGGGCGGTCGTCGTCGCCGGTGGAGGCGAAGGCGGTGGAGACGGCGGCGTTGGACTCGGAGAAGTTGACGGCGGCGCCGATTGCGTGTTGGATGGCTGGGTCGTTGAGGTAGGCGACGTAGAAGGAGTAAGGGAAAGGGTCCGGGGTGAGCTCGCGGAAGTCGTACTCGTCGCGGCCCGAGTAGATGTCGTAGAGGTTCTCGACTTCTTGGTAGCAGAAGGTGTCGGCGGCGGCGCAGACGTCGTTGCGGCCCGAGGCGTAGCAGGCGGCGGTTTGGTCGTAGCAGTTGCCGGGGCCGTAGAGGTTGTTGTACCACAGGTCGGCGATGGTGGAGTTGAAGGGCTGGTAGTCGTAGGTGTGGCCCGGGGAGATGGAGAAGTTGTAGTAGGCTTGGTATTGGGTGAGCGGGTCGAACCAGCCGTTGCCGATGAGGACGGATTGCAGGTCGATGTGGACGGCGTCGGTGATGTTCTTGGCGTTTTGCTGCTCGATGTAGTCTGCGTGAGGGAGTCAGTCAGTCACGCCGTGTGTTTCGATGCGAGTTGGTGGGGTTGCTGTTCCCTACCGCTGAAGACGGGGGCATAGTGGCCGCCGTAACTCTCGGTGGTGAAGTGGAAGCCGTTCTGCGAGTACTCGGGGAAAGCGCCCATGAAGCCCTGCAGCGTCTTCCAGAAATTGGGTGCCGCATTGTCGGTCGAGTTGGCCGTCAGGGTCAGGTTCGGGTACGAGTAGGTGCCGCAGTCGGACGCGTAGTCGGGGCAGGTGGCGTTGGGAAGCACGACGATGTCGCCTTGCTCGGATGTGTACGCCGGAACGGGGATCGAGTAGGAGAAGCCGACCTGCGTGGGCTGGTCGATGAAGAGCTGGAGAGAGAGATACAAGTCAGGTCACTACTGTCCATGATGAACATGTCAGCGGCTCGATACTCACCATGTTACTGGCGTTGGTCCACGAGTACGGGTTGTTGTAGACGTTGCCGTCGATATCAATGCCGCAGGGCCCAAGTTCCTGGAACAGACCGATCATGGACGAGCTTCCGGGGCCTGCATGTGGCTGTCAGTCCTCCACCGTCTCGTTCCTTCGCGTTGGAAACCTCCATACCTCCATTGATCCACACCGTCAGCGGCGCCGTCGTCGGGTCCTGGTTGCGCGCCTCGAAGAACCACCTGCAAGTCCAGAATTCTCAGCCATTGAACAAGATTCCCCCCAGCAAAAAAAACCCCACGTACCAGAAAACATGCTGGTCCTCAGCCACGTCCGCGTAGCCCGAGAAACTCTTGACGTCGGGGTCCAGCTCGCAGATGCCGGTGGGAACCTGTTTTTTTAATTAGCCGACCAAGTCAGACAATCCATCTCACAGACACGTCGAGCGTCGTCGTCGTCATTCGCAGGGTCTCAACAAAAAAAAAAAGAAGAAGAGAGACAGCAACAAAACAGAGGAACGCACACACCTCCTTGTACCGCACATTGACGCCAGCGGCGCCTTTCTTGAGCGTCAGGTTCGACGGCGCCGTCACGAACTGGGCGGAGACGGCCGTTGCCGCAACCGCAAGGGTAGCAATGATTGACGACGGCATTGTTGTTCGCTACGTCGACCGCAACCGAGGAGGACGGACGAAGCTAGGAGAGGAGCACGACAACGAAGGGACCGGCCGGTGGAGAGCTAGCTGCGACGGCGCGGGGACGACGCGCGCTGGAAGAGACGCCATCATCCCGAGGGGGGGCCTGGCGGACAATATATAAGTACGGCGGCGGAGGTCACAATTACGGCGGTGTTGCGCGGCGGCGTGTGACGGCAGCGATAAGCCGGCGGTGGAGCGGCGGAGAGTCAGGATTCAGGAACGGCTAGGCCCAGCGAGGCAGGTCGTGGCAGCCGATCAAGCTTCGGCAAAAGCTTGCGTCGCCAATCATATTAATAACGCGGCCGTCTGCTCGTCTCCGCTCCGGTGGTGGCTGCTTTGTGCATTGCTCGTACCGCTATCGTGGGCTGACGACACATGCTGTCCAGGTTGGACGGCTAGATCCGTGGCCGGGGCCGTCCGCCGCTTCTTGTAAACTAAACATGAGATAGTCATCCACAAGGTTTCCATAGCCACATCTCAGAGGATTATTATAAACCATACTACGTCCCACAAAGTAATAACGAAGAAACCCCATACTCTCATCGAAAGGGCTATCGTACAGTAAAAATCAGTTCCCATACAACACGTTTCGTCCATCCATCCCTGCGTCCGTCCGCCAGTCCGTCCGTCCGTCCCATCCACCAATTCGTCCATCCATACATCAATGCGTCGCCATTACAAATCTCAATCCTTCCCCCCCCCTCCTCTCCCAACAATCCAAAAATCAATTCGACGAGTAGTAGTAGTGCCGGTAGTAACTGCAGCCCCACCTCATCATTTCCATCGTGCGTCCATCCATCCATCCATCCATCCGTCAAGAGAGTAAAACAACAATGAAAAAGAAGAAAAAAATGAAAACACGTAACGAAAAAGGACCCCCCGTTCCCGTCAGGCCACTCACTCACTACACTCTCTATCTATACACCCCAACACCAACCAACCACCCCCCCAAAACCCCAAAACGATACACACACACACACACACACACTGGACTACTACTACTACTTCGCCATGACATCGACATACCTCCCCGCCCCGCGCCCCTTCTTCTTCGCCGCCGGCCCCTTCCTCGGCGCCGGCACCCCGATCAAATCGTCGATGCTGCTCGCGTTGCTCATGCTCGTCGCCGGCCGACTGGGCGGTCCGCCGGCACCACCGGGCGGGCCACCACCACCACCGACGGCAGGCGAGCCCGAGCGGACCGGCGTCGCCGCGCCCGAGCCAGGCGCGCTCGCCGCCATCGGCGGCGGCATGCTCGTGCTGCGGAGCGGGCCGGCGGGCGGGCCGGGAGGCGTGAGGCCGGCGGCCTTGGCCGACGGCGGCGGGCCCGCGAGGTTTGCCATCGAGGCCGAGGGCCGGAGCGGGGGGCCGCCCTTGGGCGGGGGCGGCGTGGCGGCGGGTTTGGAGTGGTCGGCGGGCCCCGCCTTCTTGTTGACCCATTTCTTGAGGTCCGGGTCGTAGTAGAACGAGTTCTCCTCGCCGAGCTTGGCGCGGATGGGCTTGTTGCCGCCCTGGCCGGCGTCGCCCATGCCGCCGCCGCCGCCGTTGTCGGAGCGTTTGAACCAGCCGCCGAGCCAGGAGCCCGTCTTCTTCGGTCCGGCGGGTTTGGCGGCTGTGGGTGTGGGCATTAGAGTTAGCGAGGGTTGTGATGGAAAACCGGGTTGCAACCTGTCAGACTTACCATCTGCTTCGGCCGCCTTGCGGAAAGCCTCGTCAGCTATCCGGTCGGCTTCTGCCTTTTGCTGCGCCTTGACAGCTGCAGCACGACGCTCGATCTCGTCGTCGTCATCGTCATCCATGAACGACTTCTTCTTGGCCTTTTCCTCCTTCGCTTCTTCTTCAGCCTCGGGCTCAGGCTCGTAGGGTTGGTACGAAGGCGGCTCGTACGAGCTTGTTGGCGGATCGTAAGAGTTTGAAGGGGCTTCTTGAGAGTTTAGAGGAGGTCCAAAGTTGCTGCTCGGAGGTTCATAGCTACTTGTGGCTTTTCCGTCCACCGACGCACCAAGAGACTGGAAGCCAGACGTCGTTGGTGTGTACGGGCTCCCCAAGGGGTTGAAAGGTGATCCAGCAGGCACCGATCCGTTGGATGGAGCATATGGGCTCTGGACCTTTGGTTGCTGCGCGTACTGCGTCGTGGGAGGGTTGTACGACGACGGCGGCGTTCCTTGATGCGCGAACAAAGCATCCATAGGCATCTCGTGTCGCTCTCCAGACTCAGCTGCAGGTCGGTGTGGTTGGTATGGCGACTGCCCCACTGGGTCGTAGCGAGAACGTGGCTGCTCGCCAGAAGTCCGAGGAGCGTATCCACCAGCCGAAGGAGCATATCGGGAGCCAGCGACAGAGCTGGATGGCGCATAGGGGGCACTACCACCCGAATATGTTCCATACATGTCGACAGTGGAAGGAGATCTGCTCACGCTCGGAGTGTCTCCAGAGACCTTGGCGAAGGGGCTCGTGTCGGTGCCTCCAGGCCCTGTCGACTCCGCGTCATCCTCTTCACCGGCCACAAACTTGTTGAAGCTAGACCAAACAGTGCTCGACACCTTGCCCATGGTTGGCTTCGAGATCCAAGACGACGAGTCCTTCGGCGCTTCCGAGAGGCGCTTGATGAGGTCGTCAAGTTCCTGGACGAGGGAAGCGTTGTAGTACGGCGAGGAGCGAGTGGTCGACTTCATCGCAGTCGTGATTGCATCGCAGTAGGCTTGAGCCTCCGTTCTGTAGCCATACTCAGACAGTGCGAAAGCATGAGCAAGCTTGTAGGCCTGCAGATGAGGAATGGCCGGGGGTGCTGTGGGCGCCGAAAGTGACACGGCATATTCAAAGATCTCAGTCAAGAGGATGGGTTCGATGTCCCGGCCGATGTCCGATCGCTGGTTGACCTGGTCCGCGCCGATGAGAACAACGTGTGCCGAGAGATCATCTGCGCCGCCTAGGATGACAGCAGAGCGAGCAAAGAGATAGCAAATGTGGGCCGCCTCGACACGGCCGTATCCTGCGAGAAGTTTGCCCAAAGTCAGCAGTGCCTGTGGATCACCATCGCTTCTGTTGTTGACAACAAGCACGAGAGTCTCTCGCCAGCGATCCAAGCCTGCGAAGACGTTCGTGTTGGCACCAGACCGATCGGTCTTGCTGACCATCTGGAAACCAGCACGGGCCGAAGCTGGTACAAGCTCGTCGATACTCTCCTCCCAATTGCCAGCAAAAACTTCGTAGAGTGCAGCTAAAGATTGGTTGTCACCAGCCACCTTGCGGACTTCCTGGCGGACGAACTCCTGAGCCACTTGCTTCCAGATGTCCTTGTTCATTGTCGAGGCGATCAGCATTGCATGGCCCCAAAGCCTCTTGTCAGCAGCGTCCCAGACAGCCTTCTCGCGATTGCCTTTGAGAAGATGAGCACGCAGCTGTTCAACAGACTTCGGATCAATGGGCTCGGCAGTGTTGACAGAGCCAGTCGTTGCTGAAGAGCCCATAATGTCCACCGGGCTCGAGAGTTGAGGCTCTTCGTCTTGGCCGTTCGCAAGTATTTTCTGGACGGCTTGATTGATAACGTCAGACCCCTCCAAGTGGCCATCATGCTCGACGAATACCTCCAAGACCTTCCATAGAAGAATCTTCTCCTCAAATCGAATCCTGGCCTCGGCAGGGAGTTCCCCGTTGAAGATCTTGCTCTGATAGTCTTTCTCCATCGTCTCAATGCTCTGGTGCAACCAACTAAGAGCTTGCTTCTTCTGGCTCTTGGTCTTGAGTGGGCCAGGGAATTTCGCAATGGGATCCCAAAGGGGGCAAATCTCCTTTGCCTTTTGCAGCTGCACTTCGCCCGGAGTGCACTTGATCAGAGGCATAACGCTACCGGTTCCATAGCGAGTGATCTTCTGAGGGAAACTTGTCAAGATAGTCCCACCAATGCCCCATTTGAAGATGGGGGCACCTTTCCACCTTTCCAGCGGGTCGTTCACGGTTTCATCCGTGGGCTTCACGTAACTTAACTCGCTGAGGGTTGGGCGGCGGGGGCGTTGCTGAGGCAACATAGAAGCAGGCTCGGAGGTGGGAACTGCGGCGGGTTGAGAAGTCGGGGCAGCGGCGGCGAAAGGAGTGTACGGCGATGCATTAGCACTTGGAGGCGTCACCCCATTCGTAGACGCAGGCCGCTCAATTGGAGCCATCGACAGCAAAGGACCCTTCATAGTTGCACCGGGAGACTGCGACTGAGCGCGGCGGGGTGGTGCGACTCCACTTTGTCCCGGGGGAGAAACAATTTGCTGATATTGCGGCGTGTAGTTGGCAGTTGTTCTCCTAGCAGGGGAAGCGACTGCAGATCCAGGGATACTTCTCGGTGGCGGTGGAGTGGCCGGCTTCTGCTCGTTCTCAGGAATTTCTCGCACAAGCTCCAGGCTAGACCTGCCATGGCCTCCGAGCGGCTCGTCTCCGGAAGCCACACTTGGCTGTAGAGAAGCTCGGCGGCTGCCAGAAGACGAGGGTCTTGGGATACCATGATCTGGAGTGCTGTGGTATGCTAGCGGACTCGAAGTTCGTGGGGCAAACGGTAGCGCCGGACCTTTAGGAGGCCCAGCAAGCTCGGCGCTGTATCGATTATGCGACGCTGGTGACGGGACTGCCGGAGATGCTGGAGAGTACCGAGAAGACGCTGGGGCAGCCGGCGGCGCAGGAGAGTACCGGGAAGTAGCTGCAGCTGCAGCCGGTGGTGCAGGCGAGTAGCGAGAGGCGGCAGCAGGCGGGGCCGATGTCACACCCAATCCTTGTACAGGCTGCGAAGTTGGGGGCAGATCTGGGAAGGGATTGAGGCGTTGAGGTTCCTGCAACTGCGCAACCGCTGGGGGCGCGTATGTGTGAGAGGATGACCTTTGAGGGGGTGCCGGTGCCGCTACTGGGGGCGCGTATGTGTGAGAGGACGACCTCTGGGGCTGTGGCGGTGGTGCATATGCTTGAGATGCGTGGGGAGGCTGTGAACCTGGTCTTTGCGGTTGCGCTCCCGCAGGAGGGGGAACAACCGAAGGCGCATATGCTTGAGACGCTTGAGAAGACTGCGATCCTGGCATTTGCGGCTGTGCTCCAACGGGAGGGGGAACAATTGGAGGAGGCCCATAGGTTTGAGAACTTTGCCTGGGAGGTGGACCTGCCATCGGAGGTGGAGAAGGGGTTGGGCCCTTGATCTGCGGGGTATATCTGCCAGCTGGACGGGGTTTCGCCACGATTGGTAGGTCTTCGAAGAAATCGCCGGTGCTTGGCTTTGAGGAAAGACTCGGCGTTTTCGAAGCAGGATGGCCCGGGAAACCACCGGAAGGCGTCATTGGGGACTGAACAGGCATGGGGGATGGGGGAAAAGTCGACGTAGGCGGTGGCAGAGATGGAGACGACGCATTAGAGTACATGCCAGAGGACGTCGGTGGGGGCGCCCTAGACTGCGGAGCTGGTATAGTCGGTGCGTGGACAATCTTTTTCCTTGGGGGCTGCTTCGCGAGGTCATCCGGAAGATCGTAAGGAGAGGAGTAGCCACCCTTTCCCTTGGCCGCAAAACTCTGCGCAGAGCTTGACATGGCAGGTCTTTGAGGTTGCTGGTATGGCTGGCTCAACGCAGCGTAAGGCGAAGTCTGCACGGGAGCGGGAACAGGTTGAGAGGCGTTGGTCGTCTGCAATCCTTGCGGAGCGTATGGGTTCTTCGGAGCGGCTGGCAGAGGTGCCTGCGCTGCTGCTGGAGCGTATTTGTTCGCAGGCGCAGGCGGTGTCGGTGCAGCGGCGGTGCCATTCTGAGCAGGGAGAGTGTCGTCCAGGAACCCTTCATCATCATCGAGGAAGAAAGCAGACGGATCAACTGAGGGTTCGGTTGCGGAGGGCTCGGTGGCCGAGGGTTCATCAAGAAGGTCGTCGTCCGCCAAAGCTTCAGCCCACATTGCGCTCAGGTCCGCCTCTTCATTCTTATCAGTCCCTTCATTTTTCGGCTCCGTAAGCTCCGTAGGCTGCGACGTGTGGTTTTCCTGTGTAACCGCGCTGAAGCCAAAATCATCGTCTGCGGATGTACCCCAATCCAGATCCGGGCCTCCGGAAGGCTGTTCTGCCGGCGGTGCTGCCTCCGCCTTCGACTCCACTGCCGGAGCTTCTTGCACGGGTGCAGCTGTCGTTGTTTCCAGGTCAAAATCGGCATTCGCGGCCTCACCCCAGTCCAATGTCGCTGCAGCATTCGGCTCTTCGGACAGCGGTTGCTGTGGATGTGTGATGTCGAGTTCTGCCTCTGTCTGCGGTGCGGGTTGAGGTTCCGGGAATGACTGTGGTTCTTCGTGTGCGGTCGTTTGTTGGGCACCAAAGCTAAAGTCATCGTCGGCAGCTGTTCCCCAATCCAAGTCCACGGCAGTGGGTACTTGATGGCTGCTTGAGTCCTGCTCAACTTGCGGTGCATCTGCAGGTTGCGCAGATTCCTGGCCACCCAGGTCAAAAGCATCATCTTCCACATCTCCCCAATCCACGTTGGCGGCATGTTCGGGCTCCGGCTCCGCTTCAGCAGTATGTTCATTCACGAATTCAGGCGCTGGTTCCTGCGGTGTTTCCGCGGCAGCAGCAGGTTCTGATGATCCCAAATCAAAGGCGCTGTCCGATGCGCCCCATTCCAAGGCGGGAGTGCCGGCGTCGTTTGCCAATGGCACTTGAGCGCTCTCCTGCACAGCCTCTTCCAGCGTTGTGGTCTCGCCTTGATGCTCATAGTTCTGTTCCTGAGAGTGCTCCGCTGGTGTCTCTGCGGGAGGATTTGTCTCATGCAGCGCTTCGGTGTCTATTGTCTCGATGTCGGGCTGTTCGTGCTCTATCGTCGGCGTGGGTTGGGCCTCTTCTGCGGGTGTCGGAGCAAGCTCTGCTTCAGCCGCAGTCTGCTCGGAAGACGTGGGATCTATTGTAGGCGCTGTTTCAGGCTCGGTCTGCTCGGTCTGCTCGGTGTGCTCGGCCTGCTCGGCAGGTGCGGGTTCCGCCGCAGGTTCCAGTTCAGGTGCACTCTGCTCAATGGGCGTAGACTCGATTGCGGTTTCTTGTGGTGATGCGGGATGCTCGACGGGGGCTGTTTCTATTGTGGGCTCGGACGCGGATGGAGTCTGCTCAATGGGCGGTACGGCGGTCGCTTCGGCTACGTTCGATTCGGTGTCGTAAGGGTCGTGAGACTCGTGAGGCTCTGCAACAGAGGCACTTGGAGCAGGCGGCTGCGGGGTGGCAGAACGCTCGGTGGCCAGGGGAGTCCTGGCACCAGCGTCATCGTGGCCGAGGTCGAGATGGCCATCGTCGTCATTGTGCCAGGCGTCGAACTCGTCCTCCTCCTCGTCGAAGACAAAGCGCGGGCGCTCGTCGTCGTTCAAGGGATGGCGGTCTTCGGAGGTCCGCGGCGGCGGGGAGTCGAAGGGAGCGTCGACGTCGGCCATCTGCGCGCTGGAGTCGATCTCGGTGTTGTCGTGGGTGGTGGTGGAGAGAGGCGCAGGGGCGTGAGCGGAGTCTGGGCGCAGCGCGGGATTCCACGACGCGCTTTGATCGTCGGAAGGAGCCTTCTCAGGCGGAGATGCGGCGGGGGAGGCGTGCATTATGGCAAATTAATCTACAGAGAGCACGCGGGATTCTGGGCGGCGCAGTCAGCACACGGTACCAATGACGGCAGAGGGCGCATGCGGCGCTCCGAGGAAGACGGCTCGGCGGACGGAGGCGCGCACCTACACTCGGCGGCGCAGAGGCGGCGGCAGGCGGATCGCGGGCGGGCGGGGCGGGCGGCAGCAGCTAGGCACGACGCACCTGAAACAAACAAGAGGAAGCAGAGGGCCGCAGCGTGGCGGGCATCATGTTGGTGTTGAGATATGAGATCTGGCCAAGTAGGTAAACCGCGGACCGTGGGACTCCCAGCAGCCGCACCGCCGCGCGCCAAGCTTCCGGGTCCCGGGCACCCTGGCCGCTCCTGGCCCAGTGGCCGCCCACCGCCCACCGCCGGCCGCGTACCCATCGTGCCATCCCTGCGCCGCCACAGTGGCTGACGCGCCCAAGTCGACACCCGTCCGCATTGCGATCCCACGAACCCTCGCAGCCCTCCACCACACCCGCAAGCCGCACTAAAGAGAGCGAGCGCCCTGCGCGCCGCCAGCACTCGAGCGACACCCCCCTCCAGCGCACCTCACGCCGAGCGCCGCCCCGCCGTCCCGCCGATCGCCGCGCGCCCGCCTAGCCCGGCAGCTTCGCCAGCTTGCCTTGTCCGCGCACACCGCCCGATGCAGCACCACCATGTCCGCTCCTCACGAATATCATCACCAGAATGCTCCACCCTCGCCCGATGACAGCGACGAAGACCTCGAACTGCTCGACCCCATCAGCTCCGCCCACGATTCCGCCGCCGATCCGCCGCACCTCGCCTCCTCCAACGAGCGCCGGCCGCTCCACGAGCTAGGTGCCCGCATTCCTCTGCGCAACCTGCGCGTTGGCCGCTTGCGAGGCAACAGTCACATGCGCCACGATGACCCCGACGCCGAGTCGCTGCGTGGCCTTGTCGACGACGAGGACGGGGGCAACAAGCGTCGCCATTCGCACCATGACAGCATTGGCACCATCGGCGACGACGATGCTCCTCTGCTGCCTGGCGGCTCGCCCGCCCAGAGGCTGAAGCCGCAAGGCCGCATGGCAAGGCTGAAGTCACACGTCCGCCTGCCCAGCTTCATGTCCGGCGCTCGACCCGTAACGCCTCCTGAGCCCTACGCCGCCGAAGCCGAAGCCGACGACCACGACCCTTCCTCCAACCGCACCGTCGCCGTCGGTCAGCTCCAGACCTCCAAATTCCCTGCAAACGCCGTTTCCAATGCCAAATATACCCCATGGAGTTTCCTTCCACGCACCCTATACAACGAGTTCTCATACTTCTTCAACATGTACTTCTTGCTCGTCGCCCTGTCGCAGGTTATCCCCGCCTTACGAATCGGCTACCTTTCGACATACATTGCTCCTCTCGCCTTTGTCATCAGCATCACCCTCGGGAAAGAGGCTTCGGACGACATTCAACGCCGACGCCGGGATGCCGAGGCCAACTCCGAGCCCTACACAGTCCTGCGCTTCGATGACCCCAGCGCCGGTCCGGGAAAATCGTCTGTTATTGGGCCAAGGAGGAACAAGCTTAGAAAGACTAGGTCAATCAGATCGAGCCGCGGGTCCGATGGGGAGGGAAGCCTCAGTGGGATGGGCAGGCCGACAGCCTCCGTTTCCGAGATTAGCAAGCCTTCCAAAGACTTGAAGGTTGGTGATATTCTAAAGCTGGGTAAGGATCAGCGTGTTCCTGCAGATCTGGTCATTCTGGCGTCCTACATCAGCGATAATGCAGTTCTGGAATCCACAGGGCCTGAGCCTCCCGTGTCTCCACAACAAAACCTGATCGACACTGATGGCGACGGCACTGCGTCTGCACAACAAGTGGCTCAAGAACCCTCCTCGTCCGGCAACGACTCATCTGGGGAGGCCTTCATTAGGACCGATCAACTTGACGGAGAGACGGACTGGAAGCTCAGAATCGCCTCGTCTCTTACCCAATCGCTAGACGTCTCCGAATTGACCCGTTTACGGATTGTAGCTGGGAAGCCGGACAAGAAAGTCAACGACTTTGTTGGCACCGTCGAGCTCCTGCCAAAAGAGAAGAGCGGTTATGACCCGCATGTTGAAGAGCAGCCAGCCTCAGAGAGCACAAAGTCTGCTCCTCTCACCATTGACAATACCGCCTGGGCGAACACGGTCCTCGCTTCCAGCTCCACAGTCCTTGGCGTCGTTGTCTATACTGGCCCGGAAACTCGTCAGGCTCTGTCTACTTCGGCTTCCAGGTCCAAGGTCGGTCTTTTGGAGCTGGAAATCAACTCTCTCACAAAGATCCTGTGCTTCCTCACTTTGGCCCTGTCGTTCATTCTGGTTGCTCTGAAGGGATTTGACGCTGAGACTGGACGCCCCTGGTACACCTCGGTTATGCGTTTCCTGATTCTTTTCTCCACCATCGTCCCCATCAGTCTTCGTGTCAACCTCGACATGGGTAAATCGGTCTACGCCAGGTTCATCGAGAAGGACCAGGGCATTCCTGGAACGATTGTGCGGACTAGCACTATCCCTGAGGATCTCGGACGCGTTGAATACCTCCTAAGCGATAAGACGGGAACTCTCACCCAGAATGGTAAGCCGTTTTCGCCATTGCCTTGGCTCAGGTTGCTGATTTACTCTTAGAAATGGAGATGAAGAAGATCCATGTTGGAACTGTATCGTATGCCAACGAGGCCATGGATGAAGTCACCACATACGTTCAACAAGCGTTTTCTGTTCCCCCAATGGAAGGTTCCAACGCTTCTGTGCTTATAACGCCATCTTCAACATACACCGTTCCAGCCACATCTGCCACGAGGACTAGAAGAGAAATCGGTTCCCGCGTCCGTGATGTCGTCCTTGCTCTAGCACTTTGTCACAATGTCACCCCGACCACCGAGGAAGTCAATGGTGAAGTGGTCACTGCCTACCAGGCATCTTCCCCGGATGAAATTGCCATTGTCAAATGGACAGAAAACGTCGGGCTTCGCCTCCTTCAGCGTGATCGTCACAGCATCACCCTGGAGTCTGTTGAAACCGGCCGCACCGTTGTCAGGGTACAGATCCTCAATGTCTTCCCATTTACGTCGGAAGGAAAGCGCATGGGTATCGTCGTGAAATTCTTCCAAGGCACTGCGACCAACCCTATGGACAACGGAGAGATTTGGTTCTATCAAAAGGGTGCCGACACCGTCATGACGTCAATTGTGGCCGCAAATGATTGGTTGGACGAAGAGACGGCCAACATGGCAAGAGAAGGTCTGCGCACGTTGGTGGTTGGTCGCAAGAAGCTTTCTCCCCAACAGTATGACTCTTTCAGCCGACAGTTTTCGGATGCATCCCTTTCCTTACACGGCCGAGACGTTGCCATGGCCGACGTGGTTAAGAATTTCCTCGAGAACGACCTTGAGTTGCTCGGTGTCACAGGCGTCGAAGACAAGCTACAGCGCGACGTCAAGCCTTCATTGGAGCTCCTCCGCAATGCCGGTATTAAGATCTGGATGTTGACCGGAGACAAGGTAGAAACCGCACGCTGTGTTGCAGTTAGCTCTAAGCTCGTCGCTCGTGGTCAATACATCCACACGATTGCAAAGCGTAGGTCAATTCCCTTGATTCTGCCTTGAGCTACACTGACAGAACGCAGTAAAACGAAAAGACCTCGCAAATGACTCGCTCAACTTTCTCCGTGGGAAACCCGATGCGTGTTTGCTCATCGACGGTGAATCTTTAGCGTTGATGCTCACCCACTACCGGGACGATTTCATTTCTGTGGCCGTTCGCTTGCCGACCGTTGTGGCTTGTAGATGTTCTCCGACTCAGAAAGCTGACGTGGCCAAGCTCATCCGGGCTTACACCAAGAAGCGAATCTGCTGCATTGGAGACGGTGGCAACGATGTTTCCATGATCCAGGCCGCAGACGTCGGTGTGGGCATCGTCGGAAAGGAAGGTAGACAAGCAAGTTTGGCTGCCGACTTCTCCATCGAGCAGTTCTGCTACCTCACCAAGCTCCTCGTCTGGCACGGGCGCAACAGCTACAAGCGGTCCGCCAAGCTCGCTCAGTTCGTCATCCACCGCGGCCTGATCATCAGCGTGTGCCAGACCATCTACAGCATCGCCAGCAAGTTCGAGCCCATCGCGCTGTACCGCGACTGGCTGCTGGTGGGCTACGCGACGCTTTACACAATGGCACCCGTCTTCTCGCTGGTGCTGGACCGCGATGTCGACGAGTCGCTGGCGAACCTGTACCCGGAGCTCTACAAGGAGCTCACCACCGGCCGCTCCCTCTCGTACCGCACCTTCTTCATCTGGGTTTTCGTGTCCATCTACCAGGGCAGCATGATCCAGGGGCTCAGCCAGATCCTCGTGGGCACCGAAGACTTCGCCAAGATGGTCGCCGTGTCCTTCACCGTGCTCGTGCTCAACGAGCTGGCCATGGTCGCCGCCGAGATCACCACCTGGCACCCTGTCATGATCTTCACCATCCTCGGCACCGCCGCCATTTACTTCGGCAGCATCCCCTTCCTCGGCGACTACTTCGACCTCCGGTTTGTTGTTAGCGTCGGCTTCCTGTGGCGCGCCGTGGCTATCCTTGCCATTGCGTTGGTGCCGCCATATGCTGGCAAGATCATTGGAAGGACGATACGGCCGCCGAGTTATCGGAAGGTGCAGGCTGTGTAATGATGATGAAAAATTATAGATAGATTCATCTATTCTTCTTTTCTTGAGTTTGCGAGAATGTTGTTATTATTCTTTATCTTTCTGGTACGCGCTTGAGTGCAGGTGTGTGTACTTCGATGTCATGTGAGATTGATGGTGGTAGTTTGCGCAGGCCCACAAAGGAGGGCTTAGAAAAGTTGACACCTACGTCCGGACATTGCCTCCAGGCTGCTGCCTACAAAGGTGGGCTTTGTATTTTTACATCCGCGTCCGGGTATTGGCTTCAGCTACCCGTGAAGCATTTTCATCAGAATCTACATTTAAATCCAAAAATCTTCTCAACTCCTGCTGGTTTTGAATCTTGTTAAGGTGGCTGCATATAATTATGCCACGGTAATGTTGTATGTACTCGGCTCTTGCTTTGCAAAGGATGAAATATGATTTTTGACTGTGTTTACACGGGTCTAAAAACAGCAAAGAAAGAATAAAATGTAGCATCCACATGCTGTTGAGCGGTATGCAGTCATTACGGCCAGATGTAGTTGCGTCGCGGTCACGTGGGCGTAGCCCTCGCGCGGCCCGCGGGCTTGGCGGGCGGAACTACGCAACGGACGATGCCTGGAGCTCCAACACAACAACCTTGAGCCCGACACCTGCTCCCCGCCCCATCCCACCCCGCCGCCCTCTTTACCAAGCCCCATTTCCCTTCCTGAGGAGCTTCCTGCAGCTCGTCCCCCTACCGCACCGCCTCAAACACGCAAACCGCAGCTCTACTACCATGTTCATCGCACGCTCGGAATACGGTAAGCTTGCAGTCACCCACGCCTAGCTTGCGAGCTGCTGCTGACGGACCCATCTTCCTTCAGATCGGGGTATCAAGTGAGAACACGACCGTTGCGTCTTCCGGACAAGCTTCCCGCTGACCATCCCCGCCAGCACCTTCTCCCCGGAAGGTCGTCTGTTCCAAGTCGAATACTCGCTCGAGGCCATCAAGCTCGGTTCGACCGCGATAGGTGTACGTCCCCTCTCACACACACACACACCCACACAATCCCTCCGCACAAACAAAGGCACACCTGACACGGACCCCAATGGGGGCATCTAGGTGGCAACGGGCGAGGGCGTGATCCTGGGCGTGGAGAAGCGCGTGACGTCGACGCTGCTGGAGACGTCGTCGGTGGAGAAGATAGTCGAGATCGACCGGCACATTGGGTGCGCGATGAGCGGGCTGCAGGCCGACGCGCGCAGCATGATCGAGCACGCCCGCGTCGAGTCGCAGAACCACGCCTTCCACTACGCCGAGCCGCTGCGCGTCGAGAGCTGCACCCAGGCCATCTGCGACCTGGCCCTGCGCTTCGGCGAGGGCGCCGAGGGCGAGGAGAGCATCATGTCCCGTCCGTTTGGCGTGGCCCTGCTCATCGCCGGCTACGATGAGGATGGCCCGAGTCTGTGAGTACATGTCTCATTCCCTCCTCCCTTCTCTGAGCTACGTAAAACGAGAAGAACAACAACATCATCATCAACAACACGCACTGCCCCGTTCACCTCTCGTCGTACCAGCTAGCTAACTCCCCCCTCCTCTCCTCGACAGCTACCACGCCGAGCCTTCGGGCACCTTCTACCGATACGACGCCAAGGCCATAGGATCGGGGTCCGAGGGCGCGCAGGCGGAGCTGCAGAACGAGTTCCACAAGTCGCTGACGCTGCCCGAGGCCGAGGTGCTGGTGCTGAAGACGCTGAAGCAGGTCATGGAGGAGAAGCTGGATTCCAAGAACGTCCAGCTGGCCAGCGTCACCCGGGACCGCGGCTTCAGGATCTACACGGACGACGAGATGGCCGAGGTCGTCGGCAGGTTACCCACCAACTAAGCAAAGGGCGGGAAGAGAGAGGGGAATTGAAGTGTACGGAAAGACGGCACCTCATGCTACATGACTAGATGACGATGGAATGGGGAAGGGAGAAATGGTGGAGGGAAGGGCGTTTGCTGCTGCTGTAGCATAAAGATATTCGGCATAGCTAGAGAGAAATAGTCGGCGTGACGGGAACGAAACGGAACCGATCAGTGCATCATCGATCTAATGAACAACATGCTGCGCATTGGCCCAACAAAAAAAAAGAAAAAAAGGTTACTCTATCTCAGGATTCACAAGAACAAAAACATGGTCCAACTGCTTTGATGGATGACAAGAGCGACCAAATTGGGTGACGAAAGATATCGACCTGCGGCGATCCTTTTGTGTGTGAGCAGCCGGAGGAAGTATGCTCACGTAGATGTAGGTAGGTCGAAACGATCGTTCCTCACAACTAGTAGCTGAAGAAGGCAGATTGATTATCCGGGGTGCAGATGCGAGCGGCATCGAAAACTAATTCATAAATGCATCCTGATATGTACGTACGCCCTTGTGAGATAAGAGGTACCTGGGCGCAGGCACCAGGCCACCCACTGTGACGCAGACGGGGGGTCATCACTCGTGAGCCAAAACCCCGGGCTGGACAGACAGACGCGAAATATCGACGCAAGGGAAAGTCTAAATTCGTTCGTCGCAGCCAAAGCCCGGAATGACGGGTAATTGTACATACAGCCAGCCCACTGTCCGGACGGTCTATGGTACAGCGGTTTGTCCTTTTGGGCGTGTGGAGGTGGGGGAAAGGCGGGGGCTTGGTCACAGAAACCTCTCATTTCCTCTTTCTCTCTCTTTCTCTCTCTCACTCACTCTCTCTTTCTCTCTAACCCAACGCTAACACACAGGACCCCCCTCCCAGAGCTGTTTTTTCGCTCCTCAAATATAAATGCCCCAGAAGGATCCTTGCCCAAGTCTCGGCGCATTCGAAAAAAGAGGCAAGAAAGAAGAAAGATAAGATTTAGAAAGGGTTGTCCTCGGGGGCAACCTTGACGTCGAAGTACTCGCCCAGGATGGGGACCTTCTTCATGATGTCCTCGCGCACGCGGGGGACCTCGGCGAACATGAAGATGGCGAAGACGCCGGCGGCGGCGCCGAAGCCGGCGACGGTAGTGCCGCTACTCTATTACATCAGCGATCAAAACAACGGAATTATTTTCCCCCACCCAAGGTCCAATTGTCTCCTCTCCTCTCCTCTCCCCTCCCTTTTGCTTGGTTTCCAGCAGAACGAGTTCTTCTCGCGGACTATTTTTCTCATACTCGACGAACCCCGGGAGGAGGAAGGGTGATACGGAGGTGTGGACGGGGGGATGGATAGGTTGGAAGGAAACATACAACTTGACGGCGCGGCCGAGGCTGATGCCGTGGAAGTGGGGCGCGGTGGTGTACCTGGATGTCGTCAGCGGGCGATTCGCGCAATGGTCGTTTGTTTGACAGGGAGGGAGGAAGGGAACTGGCGGCCAGAAAGACGGATGGGAAAACATACTTGGGGCCGAAGCGGGACTGGTAGGTCTTGTAGCCGGGGCGGACGGTCCAGGGGGCCATGCCGTGGTGGCCGGTGTGCTGGAGGTCAGGTCGCGTAGACTGGAATTGGAGATTCCCTGGTTAGCGGCTGGGGTCTTTCTTTCTTTCTCGCGGGATTGGGGTCGATGGAGTGGGGAGGAGGCCGGGGGCGGAGCGGTGGGCGTACCATTGTGGGGGTGGCGAGTGTCTGCGGCGGGTGGGGTGCGGAGAGCGAGGTGGATGCGGGCGTGGATGGAGGATGGGCGAGAGGTGATGTTGAGGTTGCTGGTTGCTTGGGCTGGTTCCATCATTGCCGGGATTGGCCCGGGCGCGCCCGTCCGGGCTCCGGGTCCAGCCGGCCAATCAGCGGCCCGAAGTTTGCGACCGGAACGCACTGCAGACATTTTCTTTAAGTTTCGCAACTTCGGCTGCAAGCTTCCTTTCCTCCTTCATCCACCTTTTCACGACCCGAGTTTGACGACGCTGCTGCTGCGAGAGCGGCTCGGCTGCCAGTGCCAGCAGGCTGATGACAAGCTGCGGTGCGCTGGCAGCCGGCGCTGTCGAAGCTGCACGTGTCGACTTTGGAGCCTCGGTGCCTTGCAATTCGCAAGGCTGGAGAGCAGTCGGATGACCGAGGCCACGCTCTCCACTGACAAACAGCGCATGGTAAGCTCTTTTCTCCCATTCCCTTCGCCACACGCCTCCGTCTTCTATGATGAAACACTTTACTCAGCTCACTCCGAGTCACATCAATGAGAGATAAAACACCTAATATCCAACTTCAATTGTTCCTTCTGAATTATCATCTCCATCTCTACCCGATGCAGTAGTCAAGAGAGAGCTGGCTTGCTGACATCAATCAAGTATCTAGCCACGAGGTCGGTTCGCTTGTCGGGCCACGACTGGAAAGGTGCGGCGCATGGCCGAGCCGAGTGTCGATGACTACGTCGACGTCATGTGTGGTTGCAACACTAGTCCGTAGGCAAGCCGGCGTTGCATGTAACGCGACTGATTTGGGGGAACTCCGACGGCGCAGGCAGTCTTGGCCGACATGTGCAACGTCTAGCAAAATGAAATAGATCAATCAGTCTTTTGTATCAAAGTGCCCAACGTGAAGAACGGCTGGCCCGTACCACTGCCCCTGAGCCCCTCGCTGCTGCTTCTTCATCAGCAAACAGTGGTGTGATGGCGGCGATCGACCAAAACAACAGTCCAGCACAGGCTTATCGAGACGACGATGCAGCGACAGAGGCACGACCCGGGATGGCTGGCGGCATGTGACCACCCGATAACCGGGAAACTGGGTAGCTCATGCGCAATATCACAGCGCAGATTGGGCGGGCGGGCGAGCCGGGGGCACAACACCAAGCAGTGGGGGCGCGGTGTTGAGCGTGGGGTTGAGCGTGGACATGCGCCGCCCGTGGACTCTCGCAGCTTTGCGCGCAGCCTCGGGCCCTCGGCCGGCGCAGCGCGGTGCTCCTCGTGCGCCCCAGGCTGGGGACATGATCCTCCTCAGCTGATGCCGCCGTCTCGCTCTTTGCTCGGCATACGGCATTGGCGCGCCGGCCTATCAGATCAAAGCCATTCTCCCGTTTCTTTCTCGTTCCCGCTTCAGACGTCAGGCCTACCGCAACCCCATCCACCGCCCCGTCACCCTTCTCCGCAGTCCAAGCCCGCCCCGCAGTCCTCGCCGCCATAGCTTGCTGCAAACCCGCCGAATCCTCACCAAAACATCACCGCCAAACGCCAAACCCCCGAGAAGCGCCAGCGCACAGCCCTCAGCTCCGCCTAGCCGCAATCCCGACTCCGGCCGACCCACCTGGACGCTCTCCATGACTCGACTGCGCCGCCGCTCCTAGCCCAGAGACATCCAGAGACTCCGCGAGAGACCGCCCAAACACCACCGGACATAGCACTGCTCACCTCGTTGATCGCGCCCACTCTTCGTCCTAGCCTGCCCCCGAAATCCTCACCGGCGCCTCGCCGCGCACCCAAGGCCACTCAACTCCAATCCACTCGCCCTCGCCAAAACCCAGATCCCGATCCCACCGCAAGCGTCACCGCACATCTCGCGCTATAACTGCTTGTACCACCTCCGTCTACGTACTCGAAATCCCACCTGCATCGCCATGCCGACCAACGCGAACCGGCCCTTCCTCTCCAACTTCCTCGCCGCCTTCCGCGCGCAATCCGCCTTCCAAAGCGCCGCGCCCTCTCCTCCTCCGCCTTCCTCCACCTCGACCAAATCCACAACAGCCCAGTCCGCAGCCTACACCACATCATCATCCCCATCAGCCGCCGCCGCCGGCTCCCCCTACGACCAGACAGCGTCGCGGACAACCACAACAACAACAACAGCCAAGCCCAACAACAACACAGCAACCGCCGCCGTCTCCGCCACCACGCAACAATCCTCCTTCTCCCCCTACGGCAAATCCCCCAATTCGCCCGCCGGCACCCCGCCGCAGAGCAGCTACGCCAGCAACAACAACAGCAACTACAGCTCCAACTACAACAACGGCGCCGCCTACCCAAACGCCGGCGGCTACCCCATCCCCTCGTCCTCGTCCTCGCCGTCGCGCCACCGCCGCGGCTCCGACAGCAGCTCCGACGGCGGTTTCCGCGAGCGGACGGGCAGCGCCGGCGGTGGCGGTGGTGCTGCTGCTGCGATGCCCGAGAAGTGGTATATTGGTGGGAGGACGCCGGGCGGGGAGGAGAGGTTTTACAAGCTGGGCATGGTGAGGAGGATGAGGAGTAGCGATCGGTTGAGTTTGGATAGGCTGAGTTTGTGAGAGAGGGAGGGAGAGAAAGAGAGAGAGACGTGAAGGTGAAGGGGGAGGGAGAGGGAGAGGGGTTCTATTTGGCGAAAAGCAAGCATGATACCGGGCGTTTTTTTTGGCATGTTTTCACACACACACACACATACACACATCCACGCTATTCCTTTTTCTGTTGTTAATACTGGCTGTGGGATGCGACTACTCGACTCGACTCGACTCGATTCGCCCTTTTTTTTCCATTCATCAGAAGACATATTGGCGGGAAAAGGTCACACCTCCCAGGTTGCGATACACACATACATACATTCCTCGTTCATTTGTTTGCTTGCTTGCTTCAGAAAGACAATCCGCGAAACCCTGTTCTTGTTTTAACCAACAGTCGACGTGGCGTTTAAAAAAGCGATGGTTAGTCGCGAGCTTTCTTCTCTGGGTTATCGGTTTCTTTATGATCTTGAGGAAATAGGGGAAAGGGAGTAGGACTTATAGACATGGCAAACGAGGGCATTCTAATGGTTTCTTCCTTTTCCACCTCCGTATGCAACGTTTCCTCCTCAACCTGTTTAAGAATCGGGTTCTGTTGTCTGGTACATTTCCACTATTAAGCAGAAGCAGGCAAACCCAAAAAAAAGAAAGGGAGAGAGAAAATAAAGGGCAGCTACTAAGCCTTCCTACCGTCTGACCTCGTAAGCATCTTTGCTACCTTTGACTTGTGTATGTACACGGTATGTTCACTGCCGCTTTTTAGTCTTGCGTTCAGTGTCGGAGTCGGAAAGCTAGTGTGTGACAGTGACGTATATGGGATTTCGACATCTTTGTTCTTAAATGCAAGAGAGCAAAGCAACAAGGACACTTGATGTTGTTCCGTGCGAGCACGTAAAATTGTTATTGATGTGAATGATGGCATACACAAAGATGGACAATAATAAAACCGTGAAGAGACGTTGGATACAGCCCTCTCTCTCGTTCACTCAAAGGCCGGTGCAGAGATCACGCTTAAGATTTATCTAAGCCTGCCACACGAAATGCACCACAAGCCACAAAACCACCAAAGAAAACAGTATACAGCCCGTATAGTAGCATTTCTCCTCCCAGCGTGCCGGCTTCTGTTCTTCCCGCCCCTGCTGCAGCCAGCTCCGCTGCCAGTTCGGCTGCCAGTTCCGCCTCCGGTTCTGGCGGCACTGGGTCTGGCGGCTCTGGGTCTGGCTCTGGGTCTGGCTCTGGGTCTGGTTCTGGGTCTGGTTCTGGTTCTGGTTCTGGGTCTGGCTCTGGGCCTGGTTCTGGGTCTGGCTCTGGCTCTGGCTCTGGTTCTGGCGAGAGACGTCATTCGAGGTGCTTTTGGCGTCTTTTTCCCGCAGTTGCGTCATCGACGTCGTCGCGATGTCGGCTTCTTCGGTCGTGTATGGCGGGGGTGGTGGCGATGACGACGATGATGAATATGAAGGAAGGGTTGGCGCCGCGGCGAGGCTTGGGGTCCTGATGGGTTGCAGCGGGATGGCTGTGTCGAGGTGGGGGAAGGAGAAGGTGAAGGATCTGTTGCTGTTGCTGATTCTGCTGCTGCTGCCGCCGCCACCGCTGTGGTAGGCGTCGTTGGTGTTGTGGACGGCACGACGGAGCGGAGGGAAGGGCAAGCTGGTGTGGCGCTGGTGCCTGTGCTGGTGCGTTATGGTGGTGGTGGTGCCGTCGCCCAGATCCATCTCTTCGATGAGGTCGAAGTCAGCGTCATCGGCCACGCCTGCCTCGACGTCCCTACCGGTCGCCCTTTTCTTGTCTTTTCCTTCCTTACCGGCGGACGCGCCGGTCTCGGAAGCCTTTGGGCGGAGTTTCGCGGGGATGATTTTTGAGAAGGGCATGTTGTATGTTCGTGTGTTTTCGGGTGTGTGGAAAAGAACAGTTTGCAAAAACCTGGTGAAAAGTTACTGGATGGAGAAGAAGAAAGAGAAGGAGAAGGAGAAAAGTCTGAGAAAATATATTGGGTGATTGCAGGCAGAACTCAAAATCTGCGTTGGCGGGTGACGAGTAGTACCAAGGTCCTACATGGACCCTGGGGCTAGCATTTCCATGTACCAGCGACAAGACCATGAGCCCATGCCCAACGCTTTTTTCTTTAGCCTATAGGCTCCCCGAAGCGACACAGTTTCTCAGAAGGAAACAACACGTGGACCTGATCAAGCCGTGGAAAAAGGGAATCTCAAGTGCGCTCTCATCAACCGCCGACCAAAAAGGCTATAGCCTCCCACACCTTCAAACACCAACACTGAACCAAGAAAAAACCAAAGGACAGCAAAACGTCATCATATCCACATCAATTTACCAAAACCTCAACGCTGCCGACACCGCAGTGCTCCAATACTATGTAAAAGCGACGCTTCGCTCTGCACAACAAAGACAAACAAGCGCTACACAGAAGAATAGAGAGAGAAAAAAAGAAAACGAGCTTTAGCCCTGCTCACTTTCATAACGACACGTTCATTCGTCCGTCGTAACATAACCTCCCTTCCTTGCTACTTCCATCCCCCCCTATCATTCCCATCAATAATCCGCCAACTTCAACCTTCTCCCGATGTTCCGCCTGACCACCTCCTTGCTTTCGCTCGCTGCGAGCGCGTCTTGCTGCTCGTGTTTCGCCTTGAGGGCGGCTTGGAGCATGCCCGAGTCGAAGAAGCCGTCTAAAAGGTTGGAAGAAGAAGTATAAGTATATGTTTGTCTTTAAAAAAAAAAAAGAAACAGGTGACCAAGAGAAGTGAGTGAGTAAAGGTAGTGGAGGAAGGGAGGGGATGAGGAGAATGAATGCTGCCTAAGTGGGCCTGCCAGAGCCCCCGGCTACCGTGCCGAGCACCACATCGCCCGGAGAAGAGAGATCGGTAAGAAAAGCAAACGTGGCAAAGCTGACGAATTTCTCAAAACATTCAATTTGCGCGAGAAGAAGATCGAGAGAGGAAAAGCTCTAAGTCTAAACGTCTAAAGTTCTAGACTTCAACGTGCAAAAGTGCGGGTGCTGCCGTCGCTTGACGACAGCTACTGGCCGCTTGAGCACGCCCGGCGGCAGCGACACACGCGGCGAACTTTCAATCTCCTTCTTCAACGGGCTTTGGAACGGGGAATGTGGTGGCGTAGGCAGGCCGTCGTGGAAGGAGCACGAGCGCTCCCTCACGGCAGCGGCGACATCATTCTCCTCGCTCCCTTCACCCCCTTCGCTACAGGTGCAGGTAGAGCGAGGGGAAGGAGGGGTTTTGGAGGAAGAAGGGGATGGAGAGGTGTTTGTGGAAGTGGAGAGAACGGGGGAGGAACGGGGGTGAGACTTGGAAGAGGAAAAGGAGGAGGAGGAGGGGGACGCACATCCGCCAAGACCTTCGTCGTCGCTTTCTCCCACCATGCTGTCTGTGGTGGGCGTGTTGGCACTGGCTTTTATGCTGCTTGGCTCTCCGATAATCTTGCGGCCGCGGTTCTTTGCGCGGTTGGCCGTCAATTGTTCGTGGTGCTCCTCGGCCTCACGGGCGCGGCTGGCGCCCTTCTGCACCGATGCGCCACGGCGCCGCGTCTGGCGGAGGAGTTTGCGAATCTCGAGGAAGTATGCTTCTATCGCGTCGATGAAGCGCGCAGTCTGCCTGTGTTTGGAGCTGGCGCAGATGGAGATGGTTCCGTCTTTGATGATGTATCCTATGCCGAAGCCGTCACCAGACGTAGGTCCGAAACCAAACTGGCGTAGTGATGGGTTGCCACAGTTCGACGTCGACAGGATGGTCGTGTTCAGACGGTCCCAGCCGGCGTCGGCAAAGAGCGATGGCATCCTGTGCTCGACTGGCGGACCGACCGGCCCTGTTGAGATGGAGACTCCTTCCGAAAGGATCGAATCACGACCCGGGCTGCCGACAACTTGTTCAGAGTCCATCGGGCTGCCGCTCGAGTCACGAAGAGAGTCTGTGTAGTCGGTAAAGGAACCATCCTCGTCGAGCTGGCGCTGCCAAATGCAGTAAAGTGCGTACAGGTGTCTGTCTTGGCCTTGGGCCTTTGCGCACTCCCTGGTGATGGCGGTATGCTTTTCACATGCTCGCCTCAGAGCCTCGACCTTGTCCGCCGCCGGGTTGTCGTTCCAGAAAGTCTGCACGAACTCGACCGACTCGGGGGTTACCGGCCTGATGGCTTCCGTTCGTCCGTGGAAGAACATTTTGGTCATGGCAGGCTCGTAAACACACTCCATGCGTCCGTAGAGCCCGTAGTATGCGGCTTGGAATGCCATCTGGACAAATGCGTCGGGAGAGAAGCCCATGGACGTCATGAAGTGCTTGCCGTAGTGCATGAACTCGAGCGTCTGGAACTCGTTCTGCTGGATGAGATCGGCCAGCCTTGTTTCAGCAAAGCGCAAGGCAGTGCTCAGCTCGGGCACCATGTCCCACTCGAGCTTGTGGGGTGTGGTGCTGACGTCGCCAAAGCTTGCGGGGTCGCGCTTCGAGGGGTCAGGGCTGCTCGAAGCCCACAGACTGGGCGCTTGGCCGTTGATAGTTCGTGCAAAGCGAAGAATGGTGTCGGTAAAGACATCACTAGCGAAGCGGAGGACGGTGTGGCCATCGACACCGGTATGCTCGAAGTTGATGCCGGCACTGCCGTTCTTGCAGACGATGATCTGAAGCTTGTCGTACCATCTGTTGGTGCAAGTGCCGACTTGCACGCCACGCTCGATCTTGCTAGTACCACACAGCATGTTCATGCAAAGGTCTGCACCGGTAGTAGGCGCAGTGTAATCCAGACAGAGGATGAACAAGGCCGAGTCGACGATGTTCAGACAGTCCGAGTTGTTTGATCCTTCGTCTCTGTGGAGGACGTCTCTGAGGCCAGACCAGATCTTCCTGTTCTCTGTGCTGAGGACACCGAGGGCTCCTTTTGCGGCATCCTGAATGGGTATCTGTGCAGCATCCTCGACGATTGCCTCGAGATTCTGGGAGATGTCCTTCTCCGTCATGATCAGGTCGGAATTGTCGTCCAGGACGTCGAACCAGTAGAACTGGCCATGGCACAGCACAACAACATGTTTTGCGCTCGGGTCCTGGCCGATCTGGCAGCCGTTTTCCGTGGGTATCCTGGCGGTTCCGAACAGTCTAGAGTACTGGTACATGCAAAGTGGCTGGCCACGCACCGTGTCGGGGGGGAGTTCCTCTTTCCGAACAGCGCGCACGAAAGACAAGGCCGACACAACCAGAGAGGCGGCGCGGGTGACCTGGTTGTTTCTGGCCGGCGTCGGATCATCCTCCAGTAGGAAGAAGGGGTTCAAGTTCAGGACGACGGGGTTGTCGAAGTTCAGGTAGGAGTCATACCCTGGGTCAGATTAGCCGGAATGCTCGCGGGTAAAGTGTGGCTGGCTCAATGCTTACAGAACTGCTCGATGTAGTTTGACTTGCCGGCGGCATACTTCTTCAGCTTCTCCTGGAGCTCTGGGCCGTCACTCTGCAAGAAGTCGCGTATGGCGGCGCGGGTCTCTTGGTGTTCTTTTGGTGACTGCAAAGGCTCGAGCGCAGTAAGGTACTTGTTGCATGACGACTCAAGCTCCGGGATGGGGAGCTTCGGCAGGTTGTCCTGGGCAGCGAAGGTGATGCCGGGCTTGGAGTTTGGGTTTCTCGCGGTGCCGAGCGGGTTCTGATCAGCTTTGGGGAAGTCATTGGTGGCGTCCTTGGCGGCCTGGGCCGAACGCTGGTTCTCGCTGCCGGCGTCGGACATGGCGGACCCGTTGGTGCCGTTGGAACCGTTGGTGCCGTTGACAGCGTTCACGGTTTCGGGGTCTTTGGCGAGGGTGCCGTTCAAAGAGGTGGGGGCTTGGAAGGTTCGGACTGGCATGGCAGCGAGGGGTCAGACGGATCAGGCGTAGAGGGGCGAGATGAAGGTAGAGACGTTCAGGCCCCGCAGAGCAGTGCGGTAGAAATAGTGGCAGTCTTGAAGGCAGTAGGCGGGCATGGAAGCTTGCGGCTGGACGCCGGAGAAGAAGTGGAAGGGCGAAAGGCAGGAGGGAGTGGCCTCGGGCGGACGAGGTCTTTATCATCACAGGCCGGGGTGGACGAAGGGGACAGGCAGGGCACACGCAGCAACCCCGCGGCCCAGGGAACCATGTGGGACGACAACTAGCCACCGCCACGCATGGGAGGGTCCTGGGCCCGGCGAGACGGAAGCGCAGGACATGGGGTGCAGCGGCGGAGCCCAGGCGGACGGCGGCCGCAGCATGACGCAGCAGAGGGAAGAGGTCACTTACCGAGCGAGCGAGCACGGGCGCGGTATTTGCGGGCGCTGAAGAAGGCACGCTGTGCAAGTCAGCGGTGCTACCACCCGACCTACCGCACGAGACGAGACGGGCCCAATGGCGTGGCCGGGCTGGGCCGTGGGCGCCGGCAGAGAGGAGGGCTGCGCGCTGCGGGCCAAAGGCGCGGGCGGGCGCCGAGGAGAGCAGTAGGACCGAGGAGCCTGGGCGGAAACGAGCGTCGCAGAGGTCGACGGACGAGAGGAAGTGCTGGTGGTTCGCGCTGCGGCAGGGATGCGGGCGATGGTCAGTGGTCAGCCGGCGAGCGGGAGCTTGTGCGCAACGCGACGATGGCACTGCCGTCGGCCAGCAGACGAAGGCACACGATCCCACGGGTTGCGCCTGCCTGCCTTTTTGAATGCTGCGACGTCTGCTCAGCGCGCGGCGCAGTGCGTGAGCGCCATCCTGGCCGTTGCGGCTCAGCAGACGCAGCGCCGCACCTCGAAGGGGCCGATGGGCACGGATGAACGGGACTTTCTTGGGACGTCATCACCCAAGCTCACCCAAGCCGCTCCCCAGATTTTCCCCCGGGAGCCGTGAGCCTGGGTGCAGGTCGCTAGGTCGGCTGCCTGCTGCCGTGCTCCGGCCTGCCCGCCCAGCCTCCGACCCCGCCGTCCAGACGCGTCGCGCCCGCGTCCACGCCCACGCCCGCCCTCGCCCACGCCCACCTCTCGCCCTGCCTCGCCCTGCCCCCGGCACGCCCGCGTGCGCCGCCGAGTGCCGACATGCCTGACCCTGCCCATCCCAGCTGACCGTTTCCTGTCATGTCCGATCTGCACCACGTTGTGCCCGACCGTTTTCCGGCCCATCGTTTTTCGCATCTGCTGCCCTCGCTCGACCGCCACCGCGTCACTACCAGTGACATCCTGACCCTCGATGCCGTCGACCTCGCCAAGCGCGCCCAGGTCCCCGTCGCTGAGCTGCGCAAACTCCACCACGCCATCGTGACCGCCCTCCATGCCGACCTGGGCCTTGCTTCCCTCGAATTCGCCGAGCCAGACGCGACCAACCAACCCGACGCCTGGCATGCCACCGAATGGCGCACCATCAGTACGCTCGATGATCGTCTGGACGCCGAGCTGGGCGGAGGAGTGCCCGCGGGCTATCTGACCGAGATAACTGGCGAAAGGTATTCTGTCGCGGCCTTTGAAAGCGGAGGAGCTGTGCTGAGACCATAGTCATCCATAGCGGTGCGGGAAAGACCCAATTCCTACTCACCTTGCTCTTTTCGGCACAGCTGCCAGCTCCCCACGGCCTTTCCAAGTCCGCGCTCTACATCTCCACCGAGGCGCCGCTCGCAACAACCCGCCTGGCCCAGCTCCTGTCCCAGCACCCCCGCCTCTCGAACCTCCCAGCCGCCACCAAACCCTCCCTCTCGCGCATCCTCAGCATACAAACCCCCGACCTCGAGTCGCAAGACCACATCCTGCGCTACCAGCTACCCGTCGCCATCCAGCGCCACAACGTCGGCCTCGTCGTCCTCGACTCCGTCGCCGCCAACTACCGCGCCGAATTCGATCGAGCCGGCGGCGAAAAAAACAGGACGGACGGGGGCAGCCACGGCCACGCCCGCCGCGCCGGCGAAGCCATGGCGCAGCGCACGCAGCAGCTGGTCCAGCTCGGCGCGCTGCTGCGCTCCGTCGCGCGCGCCCACGGCGTCGCCGTCGTCGTCGCCAACCAAGTCTCGGACCGCTTCTCTTCTTCTTCCTCCGCCCCCGCTCCCAGCAGCAGCAGCAGCAACCCGACAACCACCACCACCTCCCGCAATCCCTCCCACGCCAGCGCCAGCAGCCAACAAGCAGCAACAACAACATCCCGCGCCCCGACACCGACGACAACCCCTCCCCCGCGCCTCGCCCTCGCCCTCTCCCCCGACCCCCTCACGCTCGACCACCAACAGCGCTGGTTCACCGGCTGGGGCGACGACGTCCGCGCCTCCTCCTCCAACTCCTCGACCTCCTCGCACAACCTCAAAACCCCCGCGCTCGGCCTCGTCTGGGCGAACCAGATCGCGGCCCGCGTCGCGCTGCTCAAGGCGCCCGTGTACGGCCGGGCGGCGGCGGACTGGCCGGGTGGTGGTGGAGGAGGAGGAAGCGTGGATGCGAGAACGGGAACGGGGGCGGGAGCGGGAGCGGGAGGGGGAGGGGACGTCTCGCGGTGGCGGCGGTGGATGAAGGTCGTGTTTGCGCCGTGGGCGGGGCCGTCGGAAGGGCGGGGGGTGGAGTACGTCATTAGGGGGAGTGGGGTGGTGGCTGTTGCTACTGCTGTGGCGGAGGAAAAGCAGAAGGAGAAGGAGAGGAGGGCGAGGGAGGCGAGTGAGAGGGCGGTGGAGTTGGGTGGTGGTGGTGGTGGTGGTGGTGGTGATGCTGGTACGGAGAAGGCCGCAGAAGAGGCGAGAGGGGGAGAGGAGCCGCTGCCGGACCGACAAGGCGGTGATGGTGGTGGTGGTGGTGGTGGTGGTGACGACATCCCAGCAGGCGACGAACGGGGACCACGCGACAACAGGAGAAGAAGTAGCGACGAGCCCATCGGCAGAGAATAATCAGTAATGGAAATGCGGGCGTAGGTGTGAGCCGGAGGCGGGGTGCAGAAAGGAAGAGCTTGATACATACACATATACTTCCTCCGTATTCGCTTCCTTTCCCCCCCACTCTGTCTCTCCATCTGATACTCCTGGAAAAGCCGAGTGAAACCACATGGTCGGGGTAATCCAAAGAGGAAATCTCACGCACGCATCCTCGTTTGAGTAAAGAGTAAAAGAAAGACACGATGGAGAAAGGGGGGATATGTAGCTAACCGCCAGGCAATAATGATTAGACCAGATGAGATCAGTCCGAACCGAGAAAACATGGAGCTAAGAACCTAATAAAAGCGTTATACGGCAAAAGCAGTCCCGCCAGATATCTAAAGCGACTGGTTGGTGAAAACGAATAAACGCCGTCAGGATTATTACAAAGAGGGGGGGAGGGAAAAGAGCGCGGTGCTTCAGATGGGTGACCTTTGTTTTCTTGTTGTGACACGTGCATATGCACGATGCCTACACCCGCCCTCAACAAGAAGATCAATCGGGCAGGCACAGGGTACCTACAGGCCTGCTCGCGTTCTTGGCGGCTGCCGACATCCGGTGCCCGACGTCCCGACTCCATGGAAAGGCCAAGGTTTTCCGGGCCAAGGTAAGCAGGGATCATTGGCAGAAGAGGCTGGGCAAAAGATCGAGCAGTGTCGGGCTTGATGTGAGAGGTAAAAACAACTAGCAGAGTTGATATGCACAAAAACACGTCTAGAGGAGAGCTTGGCGCTCTGCGCTTCCTGCATTATTCTAGACTCCGTCTTGCACGCACTATAATCTTTTGCTTTTCGGGGAGACAGTAGATAAAGAGAAAAAACAAAAAGATCCCGCCTTGATGACCCCAGCCTGCTCCGCTGCCCCGTCTTTTATTCCTTTGCCTCATCCTCGTAGGGAAAAGATGCCCATCAATTAACCTTCGTGGTTTTACACCGGACGCCGCGCGGGAATCTAGAAAACAATACGCGAGAGAAGGAAGATGTCTATGACAGCTCCATGGCCTCGCCAGTGGCACCGGAGCCGTTGGGTATCGAGAGCGTGACATCGCCGTCGACGCTAATGAAGCGCTTTTCGAACTCGGTGACAAACTGATCATGTGTATTAGCCAACATACTAACCTGAGTCTTCTTGCTTTGCGGCTTACCTTGGCGCTGCGACCAGGGTCGTAGAAGAGCTTGTAGCTCCTCTGGACGTCGTCGATGGTGACCTCGGATGCCTTGCGCTTCTGAGCGAGGAGATACGACGTTGTAATAAGGTTGCTAGCGTATCTTAGATTCGTCTCCGAACCGATCTTGGTGAGCAGGGCAAGAGCGTCGGGGGAAAGGTCGATCTCCTCCTCCTGAGCACGAATTGCAATGATCTGCCTGATCTCCTCGGCCTGGTAGGGGGTAGTGCTGACGATGACTGTGCGATCAAGGAAGTCGAGCGGAAGGCCGTGCGGGGAGGAGTAGTTGGTGCCACGGATCTTGGTGTTGCCGCGGTTCGAGGCCATGATGACAATAGGCGCCAGCTGATCCTCCAGGGCACGGTTGACGAACGAGAAGCACTCGATGTCCAGCATGTGCACCTCGTCGATGAACAACACACCCGGGACCAGCTCAGCCTTGCCCTCCTCCTTCCACTCGGCCACCTTGGTGTCGATCTGCTGGCGCACCTCTTGCCTGATCTCGCCAGTATCACCGGAGAAGAGAGCGAGGAAGCCTTGGGTGCGCGAGTTGATGACGTCAATCTCATGGAGCGAGACGGTGTGCACGACTTCGCGGCGCTGCTGCAGCTCTCCATCGGGGCACTGCACAAACTTGGTGTCGGCACCCATGGCGTCGTAGTCACGCGAGCGGGTGTAGGAGCGGCCCAGCTTGGTGATTTTGCCAGAGGCCTTGTCGATGGAGATGACGTCGCCAGCCATGACCTTCTCCTTGGTCATTGAGTCGATCATCTTGGTGCCCATGTCGTAGACGGTCTCCATGTCGGTGGTCTTGATGGTGAGCTTGCCCTGCTTGTTGCTCTGCATTGAAGACGGCGGTCAGTGTATTTCTGCGCAGGCGGGGCGAACAAGCTTACACCCGTGACGCTGCGGTCTATTTGGATCTCCACAACCTCGCCCTCAATGATCTCGCTCTCTTCGGTTATGCGCACGCCGATGGACTTTCGGAAGGCCTGGGTCAAGGCCTCGGTCTTGGACATCTCGAGGGAGAAGATCTCCGAAGAGGCGAGCATGGTGAAGGGGACGTCGGGACCCAGCGACTGGGCCATGCCCATGGCAATGGCGGTCTTGCCGGTGCTGGGGGGACCAGCGATCAGGACGGCGCGGCCGGCAATCTTGCCATCCTTGACCATCTGCAGTATGACGGCAGCAGCCTTGCGAGCCTTCTCCTGGCCGACAAGACCCTGCGACGAGGCCTTGGGCTCGAGTGTATCGGGCTCAACCCCCAGGCCGCGGATGTGCGAGTGGGCGGCGATGAGGTTGAGGCCGCGGAGCTCTTTGCTCTCGGCGACGGTGGTGATGGGCTGCAGCGCAGGTCAGCGGGAGGCGCGCGGGGTCGGGCGCGTGCGGCGGACTCACGGCAGCCATGGTGGGTGGGATGCAATGGCAGCGGGTGGACGTGGAGGCGCGAAAGCCTTCTCTGCAGCAGCTGGCGGAACAGTCGCGGCGCCAGGCTGGGCGGGTGGTGGAAAGAAAGCGGCCGGGAGCTCGGGACAGGGCGGGGGACGTGCACGGAGGGAATAGAAGCAACAGAAGCGCGTCGCGGCTGCCTGTCGACGTCCGAGCGCGTCACGGCGGCACAGCGGCACAGCGGCGGCGACGACGACGACGACGACGACGACGCTGCCAACTGCACTGCCCGCCTCACAACTTGTCGCAACCGCGCCTGGAGCTTGCTGCGGTGACCGCCGGTGCCAGTTTCGTCGAGAGGCCGACCGGAGGGCGGTGCAAAAGGTAGCACAACGCAGCCCGATCGTGTCGCGCAAAGCTGCAGCTGGGCCAGCCCTGGATTGGACCGCGGACCCTGCGACGACTCACATTGCATCTGTCGCCCTCGGTCAGCACCATCAGCGCGGAAACACGCTTTGCGCTTCTTTGCGCTGCGAGCTCCCTCTCCCGCTCCCTTGCCTGCTCCTCTCGCCCCGCCCGCCGTTGCACCAAACGTTGCCTGTGCTATTCTTCAACGCCGTATCCAGCACCACCGCCGTGGACTGCGCCAAAGGCTGCGCCCGCTTGCCGTCGAGCAATGCTCGCTCCCTCTCGACGCGCTTCTGCTCGTGACCCTTGGGGCCGACACGCCTAATAACAAACTGCAGTGCGCCGCCGCACGAGTGCTCCATACGCCGTCGCCAGTCCTGTAAGCGCTGAAGCTGTCAAGTTCCCTCATCTTCCATCGCCCTCTTATAAATACTTGCTCCGCCCTCGCCCGCCGCTTCCTTCTTCGCCCTCGATGCAGTCCACATTCCGCTCGCCACGCTCTCAGACTGCGCCATGCCTCTGGGCACCCAGACGTGGCGCTTCACACTCCAGTTCGACGACGTTCGCCGTCCAGTCCAGTGGCTCATGCTGACATATTTCCAGACAGCCCGAAATACGTTCCCCATTACTCGAACCTGAGCCGGAGAACATGTCTAGCAACAAGCGACCCGGGCGCGATTTCTCGCCCCGGAGCGGCCAAGAGCACAAGAAACTCAAGCAGACCACCGGAGACACCACTACCAAACAGGTATGTCTTATCATCGCTATCGCCTTTTCCGTGTAACACATGGTTAACTCCACTAATGATTCATTCCTGTAGAAGCCACAACCATTGCGCAACAGTGGAAGCTCCACCCCAGACGCCGCAAGCCCCCTCGCCGACAACATGAAGGCTTCGCTGGGCAATCGGACAGCCTGTAATCGCACCGAGTCTAGGTCGAGCGTGAGCGCATCCGGCAGCCGTCCGGGAAGCCCGGTCAGGAGGAGGCCGTCCAGTAGCACCTTGGACAACCCAGCTGAATCAAGTGGCCGACCGCCTTTGCGCATCTCCACTCCGAACCAAGCTGGAAGGGCTCCCTCCAAAGTTTTGGCTGGACCGGCATCAGCCAAGGAAGCCTCTACTTCGACAAGTGAGCTGACCTCGCGTCCCGCACTCAAACGGGCCAACACCGCGTCAGGCGCGCCATCTAAAAAGCCCTCCGAGGATCAAAATAGCATTTCGCTGCCTCCTCCTCGCGGCCCTGCCCCGACTGCACCCATGATGGGCTTACCTGCGGTTGCTACTACCCCAACCACGACTAAAGCTGCTTCGGCGATAACGCCGTCAACCGCCACCGAGGCTAGTGCTTTGGCCTTGAGCCTGGCTACCACAGGGAGCTTTAGCTCCATGGGTGATGTGTTCAGGGATCATTTCAAACTAGTTGCTCAGTACACTCAGAATAATCTGGCGCGTGAGCGCTGCAGAGAACGCCTTGAACGTCTTCAGAAACAGGCTTCGGCAGAAGGCTCAGCTGGGCATGAAGCGCAGATCTCAGCGTTGCAGCGAAACCTGAAGATGGCCGACGCAGACATCATAGGCATTGAGGAGCGACTGCATTCTCAAATCGACGGACTGGAATCAACGATGAAATGGGAAGTAGAACACCGCGTTTCCGAAAAGATTGGTAACGTGAACGACAGAGTTCAAGGGCTTGAGGAAAAGCAAAGATCAAAAGACGCCAAGGTCAAGGCAGCCTTGTCCTCGTTGCAGGTGTCTGAGCCCCCCAACGGTTTCGTTCCCCATGACCGCCTTGAGGAAGCGGTCCAGAGGATAGCGAAAACCCAGCTTGCTGCTAAGTTTAAAGGTCCGCTTGCGCTCATGGCTTCTGTACCCGACCGATCGACGCCCAAGGAATTGCCCGCTGTAGCAAACCCGCCGATGGAACTTTCTGCAGATACGTCTACGGAGCCGCGATCTGGACTCGCCCAAGTGAAGAACGACTTGGAGATGTTCAAGCAACAGATCTATGCCAAGGATAAAGAAAGGGATACCAAGATCGAAAAATTGGAACAGGAGAATGCACTTCTCAAAGGTCAAGTTACACAGCTCGAGGGCACAATGCAAAATGCGAACAACGAGACCTCTTCCCTCGCCAACTCACTTGCCGCCCTCAACAAGGGAAAGGCCGACCAAGACGAGGTGTCTATCTTGAAAGCCGATGTGACAACTAATTCGGGCAAATTAAACAATGCCCTTTCTATCTCAACCGTTGTCACCAAGCTTCAAACCGAAGTAAATACGGTAAAAGAGGAGACGAAGACAATGTGGGACGAATTGAATCGCATCAAAAAGGATATGAACACTACCACGGACCCCCGCAGAAGAATATTCCCGTCTACAGCCACCACCGGCGTGGGCCCGCGTGTCGACGAAATCCAAAAGAGCGTAGATGCCCTGACACAACGTATCGACAACCTGCCAGCTGCTTCGGAAATCTCAAACTTACAAAAAGGCGCCGACAAGATCAGAGCGGATGTCAAGGAAATCCAAGAAAACCATGCCAAGGTATTAGATCGGTTGGATCGTCATGACGAGCGCACTGATCGCCTCGACGAACGTACTGAAAGAGCCGAACGGGACCTTTTCTCTGACAACACTCGGATAAATGAGATAACCCAAGATGTCAGCAACTTCGGCGATGATCTCGGCAGCCTCAGGAGAAAGGTGAGAAATATCGACCTCGACCTCGACAGCCTGGAAAAGGAAGTCGAGAATCTTCCACATGCTAACGTCGACGACTTCGGAAAGATGGATGGGGAAGTCAAAACCAGACAAGTCGAAATCGCGAAAATCCAAAACAAAATGCTCCGTCACGAAAAAGAGATGGAATCTCTCGGCTCCAAGATAAAAGGAATGTCCGGAAAATCCACGTCGAGTAGTAACAAGGGCATAACGGACAGGTTAGACAGCCTCGAAACCAAGCAGGACTCCATCACCACCATGGCGCAAAGCGTCAAGGCTTTGGAAAAGAGCGCTATCGACGCCAAGGTTTGATCCCCGAGAAGCGCACTGCGAGAATCCCAACTGATTCGTAAACTCGCCAGACCCTTGAACATGCCGTGGACAATATCGAACGCAAGTTTGAGCAGCGGCATGCCGCCTTGACCGAACCGTTTGATGAGATCCAGAGACGCTTTGACATGATAGAGCAGGGGCATTCCTCTCTGCATAACGAGGTTGACAACATTAACGCCAAACTTGATGTCGCAGATAAAGAAGGCCTGCAGCCCGATGAGGTCCAAAGGCGCTTTGACACGATAGAAAGGAAGCAGTCTTCTTTGCGTGACAAACTTGGCAATATTGACGCCGACCTCACAGCTGCAAGGCAACGCGACGAAAGTCTGCTCCAGTCTAGCGATGAGCACACCAAGTACATCAAACGGCTTGATCGCTTCTTGCGTGGCCACGACTTCATTAACTTTGAGATGGATTTTCCGAGTGGAATGGGCTTGATCCATCAGCTGGCCGATTTGAAGAGTGCCGTCCAGGCCGGGAGGCAGTTGAACCGGCGCCAGTCAACAGGCAATACTGCGCCCGTACAACAAACCGATGCTGCTCAGCCGACTTCTGCCCCGGCACTTGGCATGTTGGAAAGGCGCGTCACACAGGTCGAACGAGACCATGCTAGTCTGAAGACGACCACCAGCGTGTTGCGGTCGGATTTCGATGCCTTGGACAATTCGATAGAGGAGCAGTCTCGGTTGATTGAAGCCGATCTCGAGCAGCGGGTTAGAGATGAAGTCGCAACAACTTTATCTTCAGCCCATCTGCCCACACAGTCGACACTAACCACCGAGGACGTTGGATATATGATCGAGGATTTCGCAAGGCGAATCCGGAACGAGATGCAGGACTTGTACCGGGACGCGACAAGACTCAGAGAGATCGAAGAAGCCGTCTTCTCGAAGATGGAACAGTCGACTTTGAGGATCGTGAATGAAAAGCTTGACGGCGCGAACCAGAGGCTTGATATGTTCCATGGCCGTCTCACGCGGCTCGACCAAGATGTTCCCCCTGGCTACGCAGAGACCATGGCAGACACGCTTGCGTTCTCCAGGGAGCATGGCAAACTGTCGACTTTCTTGAAAGCAACGCTAGAGGCTGTCCGCAATCTGCAAAGCCGATACGATAACATTCTAACTCATCAGCTTGCTAACCACATATCGAATCAACTGATACCGCACATCAACCACAAACTCGTAGGCCCTATCCGCGATGCCGTTGCTCCAGTCGTCAGCAGCGACATCAGGCAAAATCACAAGCAGCTCAGCGAGAAGCAACAGTTGCTCGAAACCAAATTCGCGGACCTCCAGCAAAAGGTAAACACGACTAGCGATGCGGCATTGCAGGTATGTGTCCACTGCGGCTCTCGAAGATGCGATATCGTGGACTAAGCTACCGTTAGGACAACCTGAGGCAGGAACTTCTACGCTCGTGCGCCAGTATCAACGAACGTATTGAGAGGGAAACACGAAGGATCAACGAAGACATCCAGAAGATTGTGACCGACTTTGCGGCCTTCGAGGCCGATAAGACTGTCATGTGGGAAAGTCTCAAAGAACACCGGGACAACATCGAGCGCGCGCAAGACGACTTTGGCGGGGTCCAAGCATGTGTCGTCCGCATCGCGAAGCAGCTGAACCAGGACCTGGTGCCCCGTGACTGGCTCGAGCTCGCTTAATCGCCATGTCGCCTTGCAGCGTTGTTGGAGGCGGAGGGGTTTTTAGGAGAATGGCATGCGGCGAGCATCCTCACGATGCCCATTTTTCGAATGCCGTTTGCGGCCAGCGTACAAAACTTACCAATCGACAATAAACAAGGACTTCAAAAGACTTAGCCCCCTGTCTTTCCGCCACTCTGCTGAGAACATACTTATCAACACAAACTTCCCCCAGCTGCCTGAGATTGCGGTGGGGGAAAAAACAACAGAGCGGGGATTCGGGGCCTCTGCCCCAGCCCTTCTACCTTTCATCTCCCAGCAGGCTAGAGGGTACCAACCTCTGCTCGATTCAAACTGTCTTTTCGATACCCGGTGTTCTGGTTCTGGTTTTGGGGGGAGTCCATTCTGTCGCTTTGGGAAGCCAGAGAGCCATTGTTGCCCCGTCGTGCTTTTGCTGTTGTTGTTGCTGCTGCTGCACGATACCCCAGACGATCAATTAGCGGCTTTTGCTCTTCCCATCTGCCAATGGGTCTTTTTCTTTTTACTTTTCTGCCTTTCCCCTTTTTCATTTTTTTTCCTTTCCTTCATGCAAAAAGCATACGGAACGGCGTGATACTGTTTTTTCTCTCTCCCCCCTCATCCACGAGCGACGGGGATCATCACGGCCCTTTTTTTATCTTTTCCTTCTTCTTTTCCTTCTGCTTTTTTGCAGATCCTTTTATGGCACAGCTGGGTATTTTTAGCGAGCGTGCGAGTCAGCCAGCGTGGGTTTTGCCTTGTTCTCTTTGCCGATTCTCTATCTTCTCGAGCACTTTTCGTACAAGAACGGGTGGGAGTCATGACCATTAGCGAGGACGGACGGACGGACGTGATGGAAGAGAGTACATACAAGTGGGAAACAGGCAATGGGGTAAGTAAAAACAATGGGAAGGATTTCTTTCTTCAGGTCACTCTCCTCGGGGTCGCTCGTAATGCTCTTTGTATTTGAAGAATTTCGTGCACGTGTGAAGGAAGAGTAACGTGCGGCCAGTACGTTTTGCACAATCTGATAAGACATGTCTGCGATGGTCGGTTCTTGTCATGAATTTTTTTTTTTTTTGTCTCGGCTTGAAGGGGCCAAGTACTCACGCACCTGCAATCCGAATACACACACTATAAAAGGAGGAAGTGAGGGCGAAAGAGCAATTAGGCGAACGGGGAAAAGAAAAGCAGACGACGATTTAAGCGCACCGCAGTCTCCCCTCCACGTCGCTTCCTTGCTTTAGATCCCAAACGAAAGAATCGCTTGTCTCATGAGTCCCACCGGCACCTGTCTCAATTGAGATAGGGAGGGTGATGTCGTACACCCACCCTCCTTTACGTAGTGATCGGCACGACCGGCAGGCATGCACTGTTGCCTTGTTCCAGGCAACGGCTTCCTGCATGAGGTTTGTTTGCTTATTTTTTAGTCAGCGCTTTGGCGGCGGGGACGGCGGCGGCATATGTATTGCACGCCTATCTATTGTTGCACTTTCATTATGTTATTGCATCCCTTGACGATTCAGCGTCGTCCTGCGCGGAGCGGGGCCATGGCGATGAGACGGGCATTGAAAATGCCAAATATTCTACAACGACCCTCTACATTCCTTTTGCTCCCCACCAACAGTCAAAAACAATACTTACTCATCGAAGATTGGAGCAGAAGAGACCAAAAAAAAAAAGGATATCAATTTACAGTATCTACTTCAATCCGCGTGCCCTTTGTTCTTTTTCTGGCTCGCCGTTCTGTGTTGAAACAACACCACTCACCTACTCACCCACCACACCTTCTCAATTTGACCTTACCTTACCCCCACTCTCGACAAACATTCAAGCAAGAAGGTTGAAAACGCCAAGCCCATTCGCCAGCAATATACAAGCGCAGACAAAGAGAATGGGGGGGAAGAGAGGGAGAAAAAGGAAAGAAGAAAAAAAAAAGGCAATACGCAAGAACTAAGAGATCTATATTTGCCGCCGCGATTAGCTTCTTGCTTGCTCTGCTGTCAAAGAAGAACCCAACAACAGCAGCAGCGACAGGCTACGTAGTAACAGTTGAATACTCTCTATAAAACGTGGGATGGTGCAAGAAGAATATAGACAAAGAACAACCGCCCAGAACAGACAGATAGAACATTGCTAAACCATCAAAAGAAAAACAAAGAATCTTTGCTCTCTGTGTGCTCTGTGTGCTCTGTATACGTGTTTGTGCGCGCGCGTGTTTGTATATGTTCTTTTTTTTGTTGTGCAGGGATGGTGATGATGGGAGGGAAAAAGGCATCTGTGTGCCGTGCTGTGTACGTGCGTGCCGTTTTTCCATCTACAATCCCTTTCCCCCCGGTACCATTTGGACAAAAAGCAGCAGGGACGGGAAGAAGCACAGGAACGTGAAACTCCATCAATGCAGGGGTATATGTGACCGCTATGGGGTTGGCGCAGGAACAAACAACTCTCCAAATAAAAAGCGAAGAAAGCATGACAATGCTGGGAAGATTTGACAAAGAAATGAGTGAGTGTGGACATGAGTTTTACATCAAGTAAAGGAAACGAGAAAACAAGAGTTGGGGAAGCCCAGGTTGCCGCTTTTGCCCATGTTTTGGGCGTGCGGGAAGATTCGAGAAAAGGAGGAAGGAGAACACGAAGGAATGTCGTCTTTGTCAGGAGCCCGCTGCATCCAGCAATCCAATTTCACCATCTCACAATCAATAAACTCAAGACGCAGCAATCACCTGCGGAACTGAAGAAGTGGAAGAGCAACAATTAGCTTGAACGCAGTACAAGCTCTGCCAGCAGAGCAGAATTACAAAGCAGAAAGCAATTACAGAGTCGAACTGGAGGCCAGCTGCACAGTGACATGCATGAAGACAATAAGAAAAGAACAGCGAAACAAAAATAGGAACAATGGTTTAAGCAAAGAGAATGGGGATGGAACTTACACTCGCGCCAATACCTCCCAGGCCGGCGGCAATGCCGCGGCTGGCCTCCATGCGTTGGCGGCCGAGCCAGGACTTTGGAGTTTCGGTCTTGGTGCGCTGGAGCACGACCGTGTTTGACTGGAGCCTGTTGGCCATATCGTACCAAGCGCTCATTATGAGTTTGTTCTCGCGTTGAAGGGCCTGAAGCTCCTTTTGGACATCGACCTGTGGTACGGGGAAAATCGGGGACGTAAGTCAGCGTCGGCCACTTTCGCGCCAGCAGGAGCAGGTGCGGGTGGTATGAGTGGTGATTTCTCGCCGTACTGCCACGCCAGCCGTCGAATGATGAGAGGGCATGTCGAGACGGCACTCACCGATGCCTTGTCGCCCGCCTCCTTCTTTATGCGCTCTAGGTTCGTCTTCAACGTCTTGACCATCGACTCCAGATCCGCGATGCGCTGCGTTGGGGAACTTTGTCAGCAATGGTTTCTTCAGGGTCCTCCGAGGAAACGGGCGTCCAGTAGACAGTCCGCGTTCCCGGCTTCATCGTCTGCCGCCATCTCCCACTTGTGGGCGCGACGTTTGTGGCGCAACCGTCGGGGTATACAAAGATGCTTACCGAATCGCGAGATGAAAGATCGGCCAGACCGCTGCTCAACTTCTTGATGACGTCCGAGGCAATGGCGATCTTGATCTGGTCGGCCTCTTCGTCCGGAGCTTCGCGGTGGAAAATCAACTGCTCCTGGAGGAGCTTGAACTCGTTCGCTTGAAGTGCTTCGGCATCCTCCTGGCGGAGAATGTCGGCATTGAGCAACTTGTGGCGCAGCAGAGCCCTCCAGTCGTCAATCTCGTTGTCAAGCGTCTTGGCGTGCTTCTGAAGGTTGTCATATGCACTAAGAAGCTGGTCGTGGTTGTCCTTCAATGTCTGGTGGTCAGCACTGGATGCGCCATCCATCTTACCCGTTCCAGTCTGCTCAGCAAGCTTGGCCTGCAGCTCCATGTTCTTGGCCGTGATCTCATGGATCTGGTTAGTAAGGTTCTTGAGCTCAGCCTCGGCAGCATGCAGCTTGGTAGTCTGGTGAACAAACGGATCGTCCCTGTAATAATCGGTCAGATGGTCCAGAACGTTTTCGGATTCGATAGTGACTACGCACCCTTCCTTGAGCGATTGCTCATCCTGTAGAGCGGCCTGGAGGCCAAGGTTCTCCTGGAAGACGTCCAGATACTTCTCCTCCACCCTCTGGCATCTGGAAGTGAGGAGCTCAATCTTCTGCTGAAGAAGCTCCACGTCGGCATTGTCCGTGTTGACGATGATCGACTTGCGTGCGATCGACTTGGCGTCCATGTCGTCATCCTTGAGCTGATCTGCGAGAGAGCCGAAACCTTCGATACCCGTTGAGCGATCTTCGACTTCGCGGAGTCTCTCTTCGAGCTGTTGGTTCTCGGCCTGGTAGCGGTTGGACATGGCGGTGGCGGATTCGGCGCGGGCGATGGCTCCCTTGAGTTCTTGTTCCAAGCGAGATTTGGTCTGCTTGACCTCGAAAAGATCGGCCTCGGTGGTAGCGAGCGTCTGCATGGTCTCCTCGTTCATTGTCTTGAGCCGACCGTTCATCTCCCTGAGCTGATCAAGCTCCTGCTGGTCCTCGGTCAAGGACTGCAGACGCTGCTGCAGCCCTTGCTGAACCTTGACCTGCTCTTGCAGGTGCTCGACCTTCTTGCGAAGGTTTTCCATACCCTTGGTCTTCTGCAGGAGCTCGTCACGCTCAGCCTTGAGCAGCTGGTTCTCGTCGCGGAGCTCCTGCTTGGTCTCAGCGTCGCTCCTAAAACGCTCCAGATGGCGGCCCTGGCTCTCGTTGAGGTTCTTGGCCTCCTCCAGATCCGTCTCCAACTGGGCAATATAGTCGCGATCCTTGTCTGCCTGAATCTTAAGCTCGGTAACCTCGTCATCGTCAGTTCGACGGCCGCGGGTCTCCTGGAGGACTCTGGCTTCGACGAGCGCCTCATCCAGCTGAGCATTCTTCTTACGCTCATCGTCGAGGTCCTCGACGGCCTCAGAAAGCTTGGTCTGAAGCCGCTTGATCTCCTGATTCGCCTTGATCAGACGCTCTTCACGCTCGAGCTCAGGATCGCGCTGAATTGTGTCCGGGCGAGCCTCGCCATCCGAGGAGGTGATCTCCTCCTCGACGGATTCGTCCTGCTTCGGGGGCTCCATGGCCTTCTCCATGGCTACGTGTATGGTCTGGGCCATGATGGCGAGGTGCCCCTGATCGGTCGGTGGCATCCTGCTAACGATGTTTGTGAGGACGGGGTTCGCCTTTTCGGATGAGAAGCCGAGCATGAGCAGGCCCTTGAGCATCTGGCAGGTGATTTCGGTCAGCAAGTGGTCCAGGTAGTGTGTGGTTCGCCAGTGGATGCCTACCTTGGTGCTCTGGGCAACGTCGCTGTCGATTGCGATGGCCTTCAGGTCGGGATTGAACAGGCGGATCAGGCCCTCGTTCATGGCGACTTCGCGGAGGTAGGTGGTCATGGCCTTGTCGATGAATTTCACTGCTCTGTAGTTAGCGGCGCGGTGTCCGTGTAGCAGGATACGACCCATATCGTCGCCAGCGGCGAAAGGGATCAGCGTACTGTTCTGCCATCTCGAAATCCAGCTCTCGCCCGTCTTCTGGACGTCCTCGGGCAGGTCACCGGTGAAGTAGTCCGGGTCGAGGAGCTTCAGCATCTCCCACAGGAGGTGGCCATCCTGCAGGTCCTTCCAGTACTTGACGGGTTTTGACAGGCCAAAGGTGTTTGCACACTCGAGCAGGGCCTGCTCGAGCTCGGGGGAGGTGGCGTCCATCCTGGGACGCGGGTGTGTCGTGGGTGCAGCTGGGGCAGGTGCGGTGGTGGAGCACGCGGGCGTAGCGGGCCTAGAGTGAGCGTAGTGAAGAGAAGCTAGTTGTCGCCCTGTCCGACCATTCAAACATGGCTCCGGAGCAGCGGCGACATTGGATGTATATAGGACGGACGAAGATGCGGTCGCGACGGTGAGGTGAAGGTGAACAATGCCGAAATTGGCCCCGGACCCTTGACGCGTGCAAAGGGAGCCCGCCGTGTGACGCTAGCGCCATGCTCCTCAACAAAGCGTCCTTTGACCGCCATAACAATGCCTTTCTTGTTTGCCCGCCGTGCCGCTTTGTCTGCACCTGTTCGCCTGTTCTCGCCCGCTGAACAACGCTGCCGAGGCCTACATTGTTCGTGAACACCTCGAGTCAACCATCCGCCATGCACAAGCGGGCGGCCCGGCCCCGCCGCTCTCAGCCCTGCGTCGCGTCACCCGCGCGCCATCGGGCCATTCTTCAGGCTGCTGGTCGCACAAGAACAGCCCAACACGGCGCTTCCTGAATGACGCAGCGGGCTGCAAAACAAAGAAGCCCGCCGGCATTCATCGCATGGACATATTGCGCCTTGCTTATTATTACGTGCGTAGCAGAATCAAGTATGAGTCTTAACGTCTTAACCGCGGATGGATGCGTTCACATGTTTGCTTCAACTCCACGTGCCCAATGACAGACAGTAGTTGAAACCAAACTTTGATACTTCGAAAAACGCCATGTAAATCTTACAGACTACTACCATTCTAATGAGTGCGACTGAAAATCTTCCCCGTTCCATCGCCCCGTTTCATAAGCGTAAATCATCGGCTCGACACCGAGGGAATCGGGTGTCCTCCCTTTGGGGTCATGGTGCGCCGTGTTCCCTAATTCGAGGACTCACTCCAGGCGTGCACCTCCTGGTCTTCCTCCATGACCAAGTTGCCCCAGTTGTTCGTGGTGAACGTCTCCTTGGCTTTCTCGAAGACGCTGGCGGGCGCTTCGGCGAGGAAGGCGCTGTCCGTGAATGTTAGAAGCTTTGTTCGTCTTGTTCCGACTCGCGCAGCGGAGCGGGCGCATCCAGAGGGGGGCTTACTGGATCAGTGCTGTGGGCCTGTTAGTCTGGCTCTGAAACGCACGAGGTGGAGCGTGACTTACAGTACTTGTGAACGACTGCGCCCTTCTTTTGTCGGCTGTTAGTCAGAAATATTGCCGGTCGGATACGGACCGCCTACCTCTTGCTCAATCCACTGGATGGCATGGTCGATGACGCTAGGGCTGTCGGCGCTAACCAGGACCATTTTCTTGGGCGCAGAGCCGACGACGCAGGCGGCAAGCATGGCGAGCAACAGCGAAAAGATGAAGAGCTTCATGGTGGTGGGCGGCGAGGGCGGGCGTTTGTTTGGGCGCGTAGGTTGGCAGCAGAAGTGTGCGGGGTTGGTGGGTGTCAGTCGAGTGACGGGAGCCTAGGGTTTAATAAGGCCTGTCTAGAAGAATGCCCCGGAGGCCCAAAGACAACACAGGCAGGAGCGATGCGTTCATTGCCGCGCCCCTGCGTACCCTCCTGCCCATCCCGGCCGCCAATCGAGCCTAGCCACATGCGCTCTAGCGCTCGCCAAGCTCCGCCGCAGGCAGAAGAAAGCCGTCGCAGCCGCCCATCGTCAGCCAACCTCACCTCATTTCACTGCAAACACCACGCTGTCCCCATCCGCTTGCCTCTGCCGCTGCGACCAGAGGCGCTGCCAGCCTCCAGCCCCATATCCCCCCCGCTCCGCCCGCCGCCGGACCCCCCAGCGGCCCCTTGTGTTCCAGCGCGCCACGCTCGCAAGCTCCTCACGCTCTCGTCACGTCCTCATACTCGTGGGAAGGTATTGGGAGGAGGACGAACCGTTGGTCTGCGCGCGCACAGTGTGAGGCGGGTTTTTGTTGGCGTAGTGTTGGGCAGGTCCGGTTCTCTTCATCGGCGGTCATTCTATTCTGGCTCGCTTGGACAATAGCTAGCAAAGATACACGAGCTGCTTTTGATTTCCCGTTTCTCGCGAGCGATAGAGCAGAAGACCTTTTCCACACAACTCTTGAAAGTTGGATCCAGGCGCTGGGCTCAGCCGACTGCCTTCCGATTGCCAACCCAACTCTGTCGCACACCACGCGCCTGACTGCAGTACTAATCTGAAAGCACTTGCATCCGCCCATCATGTCCCTCCCGTCTGCAGAGGTCGCCGCGGATTTCCGCGATGCCTTGAACGATCTCAAGTTCAACAGCAGGCCCGAGATCAGCAATCTAACCATCATCGCGAAAGAGAATACTGAGCACGCGCAAGCAATTTCACGCGAACTTGAAGAGCACATTAAGTCGGTAGGTCTCCCCACGACTCCCACCCGAGGACTTGCACCTGACCCGCTGTGCAGACGCGTCCCGAGTACAAGCTGCCCGCGTTGTACGTGCTTGACTCGATTGTCAAAAACGTCGGAACCCCGTACACGGTCTATCTCGGCCGTAACTTATACAACACCTTTGTGAACACCTACACTCTCGTGGATAACCCTACCAGGAAGGCTCTCGAGGGCCTGCTGCGCACATGGAAGCAGTCGGTTCCCGAGTCCATGGACACCCGGCCCGTCTTCCCCGTTGACATCACCCGCGCCATTGACAACATGCTTCTCAAGTACAAGACGGTGATAGCCCAGCAGCAGCAGAATCAGCCCAGGCAACCAGGCCCGTTCCCAGGTCCGGATCCCAGAGCTACACATTCGCCCTTCCCTCCTGGAAGTGCAGCCAGGCAGTCGCCAGCTCAGAATGGGATGCCCTTCCATCCTCCACCAATGCCCGCCCGCCAGTCTCCGGCTCCTGCCATGACCTTGCCGTTTGGCATGCCACCGCAGGCCTACCGTAACTCTCCGGTCCAAAGTGGAACACCGTTCGCGCCGCCCACCGCTCCGTCGCTGGAGAAGATTCAAGGAGATGTAGAAAGGCTGATTGTAGCTGCTAAGCTAGACTTTGCTGCCAACCCGTATGACCCGGAGAAGCAGAAGCGGTTGAAGACTTTCTTAGATCTGCAGACTATTCTTAAAGCGCAGCAGCTGCCTCCTGATCAACTTCGAGCCGTTGAGCAGCAGCTGGCTACGCTTGGTGGCACATCGATTACGCCATCAGCGCCAGCATCCATCGCCCCAGTCAGCACGCCTGTAGTACCCCTTGCTTTCCCTATGCCGACACAGACCCCCCAGATTCCTCCTATTTCCACGCCGGCGCAGCAACCTTCTACTCCAGCTCCCCCTATGGCACCTGGTGCCAATCCTCCTTCACTCGCGGATTTGCTCCGGGGGTTCAATAGCGCAACTCCCAGCCAGAATCCGACTCCCGTCCCACCTCCTGTATCGGCACCTCCGATGGCTGCTGCGCCGATGAACAATCCATTTTCTCTCCTGGACACACTTCGTGCTCAAGGCTTGCTGGGGAGCAGTTCTACGCCCATGCCAGCTTTCGCGGCTCCGGCCCCGTCCGCTAACACAGGATCGGCGCGCAACGACGTTGAGTTGACCAAGGAGTCGATCAAAAAATCCCGCCCCGAGCTGATCGGCCTGCTCTATGAAGCTCGGCCGAACCAATGCTCCACTTGCGGCCGTCGCTTCCCTTCGGGTGACGAAGGCAAGGTCCAGAAAAGAAGGCACCTTGACTGGCACTTCAGGGTCAAGGATCCAAACCTCGTCAAGCAGGCCATTCACCGCAGCTGGTACATTGGCGAGAAGGAGTGGATCGAGTACCGCGAGCAGGACGAGGCCAAACCGCCTGCGGAGACAAACGGTAACGCGGCCGCTGCTGCCAAGACGAATCAGCAGCGTTGGGTGCGGATACCTCTGGACCCTGAGCTCGTGAACGCTCCATGCCCGATTTGCCAGGAAAAGTTCACGCCGTCGAGGCTTGATGATGAGTTTGTGTGGCTGGACACGATTCAGGTCGGGCCAAAGTACTTCCATGCCAGCTGCTACGAAGAGGCATATGGAAACGCACGAAGTACACCTGTTTCTATTTTGGGCAAGAGAGGCGCGGACGAGGGCGCCAACACTCCGTCGAAAAAGATGCAGGTCTGAGCACGAACATGTACATGAGATAGATTGGATCAGGCGTTCTCGGAGGCGTGGGTTTCAGCGCTTTGGCTTACATGGATGCTTCGATTTGTGGGTTTTATGCACATGGAGAAGAAGGGCGGATAATTTCAATTGCATAGCCACGGGGTTTGCAGCAGGTTGGGCGATGGACAAGGCTGAGGCCATGGCTTTATGGATCAGTGTGCGGCAGATAGGAGAATCCGAGTACATAGCCGCTCATGGGCGGCTCTATCAATAACCCAGAATTTGCTGCACAAGAGAGATGCGAAGGCGCATGTCCGAGCATCTGCCCCAGTACCTACTGCGTCATCGAACGGGAACAAACGGAGCGAATCAAAACCAAGGAATGCTGATTCACGGGCGACGGCGGGGTCACGTGGGATTACTCATCTCGGTCCGCGGGAACAACTCGGTCAGAGGGGAACCTTGGTTGGCCCCAGCCCGTGCCAGCCAGCCGCCCGCGGAAGGAGCTGCGTCCCGCCGTCGCCGAGCTCTCGTCAATAATATCCGCCGAGACCTCCGCCATCCTGGTTTTTCCAGACATCCGCTCCCCCCAACCACTCCTCACCCCAGCTATCGACCCGCCCATCTCAGCGCGCTCCCTCCGCCCTAGCCCGCATCTCCCGCAGCTTTCTCTCCAACCAGACCCCGCAAAATCCGTCGCAATGGCTCCGACTGTGGAACAGATTGTCGACGACATCAAGAGCTCCATCCAGAAGCTCGAGGGTCGCATATCCGACCTGGAAAGCAAGGTCGAGGGCAAGGCCAGCAGCCTTACCGCCCCGAGCGCCATGCGCATGATTCTGATGGGTCCTCCCGGCGCCGGTACGTCTACACAAGCTATCCCACCCGTCGCATTCGGGCAAGCCTCGTGCCCCCGACATGCGCACGAGAAGGGGCGCCGACCAGGGCCGGATTGAAGCTTCAAGATAGATGTCAGTCGCACTGACGTCTTGCGCGAATGAACAGGCAAGGGTACTCAGGCGCCCGCTATCAAGGACAAGTACTGCGTCTGCCACCTTGTACGTCATCCCGCTTGCGTAATCCCGCGCGCCCCCCCTCAGCCGCGGCCCGGTACTGATTGGAGTTTCGTGAGAGCAATAGGCCACCGGTGATATGCTGCGCGCGCAGGTCACGAAGAAGACTGCTCTGGGTCGGGAAGCCAAGAAGATCATGGACGCCGGCGGTCTCGTCAGCGACGAGATTATGGTCAACATGATCAAGAGCGAGCTCGAGACCAACTCCGAGTGCAAGAACGGGTACGATCCCCTCCCTTCCCAACCTGACGTGACATCGGATGAGCGGCTGTCTCAAGTCTGATGGTCGAGCGGGACTCATCGAGGCTAACGCGGCAGCGCCAAAAAACAACAGCTTCATCCTCGACGGCTTCCCACGCACGGTCGCGCAGGCCGAGCGGTTAGACGACATGCTCAACGTCAAGCAGCAGAAGCTGATGCACGCGGTCGAGCTGCAAATCCCCGACGAGCTGCTGGTGGCGCGCATCACGGGCCGCCTCATCCACCCCGCGTCCGGCCGCTCGTACCACAAGATCTTCAACCCGCCCAAGGACGCGATGAAGGACGACGTGACGGGCGAGCCGCTGATTCAGCGCTCCGACGACAACGTCGAGGCCCTGCAGAAGCGCCTCGTCACCTACCACAAGCAGACGTACCCCGTCGTCTCGTACTACCAGAAGACGGGCATCTGGCGCCCCATCGACGCCTCCCAGGAGCCCGGCCAGGTCTGGCAATCCCTGCTCAAGATCTTCGACGACAAGTCGTCGTCTTCTAGCTCGCTCCTGTCCAAGATCGGCCTCAAGAACTAGATGTAATAAACCTTGCCCCTCCTCCGCCGTCCCCCCGCCGAAATTTACTTCTCTTTTTGAAAGTTTTTACCATGCGCGACTCCGTCTGGGGAATTTTTTTGTGATGCTTTTCCCACCTCGCCAACTGTCCAAAAGGGTTGTGTCGTCATTTGTTTTGTTGCCTTAAGTGGTCTTCGGTTCACCTTTATTTTTCCCCCTGCCTATTGCTACTGCTGCTGCTTGCTGGATTTAGTAGAAGACTGGGTCCATGGGGTGGAGTTGTGGTGGGAGATAATCATGGGTGGGGTGGGAAGGAGGTTGAGAGCGTGTTGGAGAACTCAAACATGTATGTGAGTGATGAGAAGTGCATAGGGATCTCGTCGCCAATCTCGGCAAGAGAGCGTGTCAACGAGCTATGGATGGTCAACTTTTGAAGAAAAAGCTGGAATGCCTTTTTTGGTATTGTAAGATCCCCGCTTGCTTGTTGTGTATGTTGTCCTACGTGACTTGTGTATGTGTGTATGTGCCAGAAGATGATGATATGAATCGTGTATGCATTCATGGGACCGGTATCCACTTTTCTTGATTCGTGCTGAGCAATAGCATCGAGGACGGATTTCTGACATGCTGCACATCTACTTGCGAGCTTCATTGCTCGAATATTACGCGTAGGACATCCTGCCCCTTTTGCAAAGGAAGACGTGAACGATATCCTTGCCACACCCACTCACTACCTTGAACCTTGATCTCCTTCACATTGGCGGAGCTTGTCGATTCTTTGGTCCTATATACATCCACAGATCTCGAAGATTCTTGAAGTCCAACTCTAGGTCTGTCTTTGCTGCGGACAAGTATGGTTCTTCCGCTTTGCGGCTGGTATGGGTTTCCGCGCCGACAAGTAGTGCCTAATTGCGGATGGCAGTCCAGATCAGGTAAACCAGAGCAGATCACGCGTCGATGCACCCATATCGAGAGCACCTTTAGGGCGGCAATGGCAATAGGCGAGTAGCCATGCGGCTGGAGTTCTCCTGAAAGGAGTTTGTGATGGCGGGGGGGGGGGGGGGGGGGGGG